TTAACGTAACGTACGTTTACTTTTACGTAAGAAATATATATATATATATATATATATATATATATATATATAAGAGTTTCAAAAAGGGATCAAGAGCATGACTTCGCCGGAACGGGGGATTACCACAGCAGCAGTCCTCGCTTCGCTCGATCGAAGCGAAGAACAGAACGGATGACCTCGAGTTCGGGAAGAGGATCGAAGGTGATGTGTAAATTAAGAGAAGGGTATGTACGCAGCTTTTTATTGTTCGCGGGGGGCTTTGTCCCTCCCTTCGACGGTGGGTATCCGTCTGGCTACAGGTCGAGCTGGGGGTTGTCGTGTTGGATGGATATATGAGGGATGAAATATGGATGGAGGATGAAGATAGGTGCTGTTGTATTTATGTACGTAGGTTGTTATTGTAACGATGCTTACACACATACATAGCCTGATGTAGAGGCAGAGAGAGACGTTTTGATGTTGGAAAGGTCTGTTGAGACATGAAAGGGAAGGGGACTGAGATGGGCAGGTATTGCATAGCGTGAGATGCGAGAATGAGCGATTCTAAACAGCACGGATGATATTTTCAAGGAGTGAATCCCTTGACCATTCATGGTCTAGTGGTTGACCATTCATGGTCTAGATGGAACGCGAAGAGTATATAGTCTGCCTTTCTTGCAAATTCCAGTGACTGTGCCGTGATATCTCTGGCTAGGTAGCAGCTGCTCTTCATATCGCAAGTCCAAGACTTGTACGGTACCTTTGGATCTCGCCCTTCATTCAAAAGGACCCGATGACCCAATGTGTTCCCATATACTCGCAACAGCCCCTGGCGGGAAGAAGATAACTCAAAAAGCCCGTCGGAGCCTGACTATCTCCTCCTGTAAACACCCGCCATCCAACTAGCCCTCAAAAGTGCCAAACCCCAAGCCATTCCCAGACTATCCCAAATAACGTTCAGCTTACTCCCGCCCACCTCCTTCCACCCAATCTGGACTTCTGCAACCCTGATACCAGGCGTCGTCCCAATCTGCCGTCCTTTCCTATCAATTACGATACCAGTGGGCGCGCTTTCAGCCAACATCAGCATCTCGACGTCAAAGATCCAGCCCTCGGCGTGCATGTACGGTATGATATGTGGGAGAGCAGCGCGCGAAAAGAGCTTGAAGCCGCATTGAGTGTCGCGTATCCGGGAGGTAGCCGGCGGTGTGAGGATTTTGAGGAGGGCATGGAAGGAGTGCATCAAGACATTGCGAATTGCAGATCGCTGTGTCCCCGTTAGCATTATTCTGTCCCATACGACCCCAGGTAGCACTGACTTTGACGACCGCTTCACTGCCAACAAGATGCGATCTGCTTCCCACCGCAACGCCTCGCTTTGGAGAATCGGCCACGGCTCGACATCCCTCTACCAGCTTCCCCAAATCCGAGAACGTCGAAGCTCCGTCCGCATCAGCAAAGACCGCAAAAGCCCCTCTCACATGTCTCAGCCCGTGAGTGACAGCTCCTCCCTTCCCCCGATTCTCCCTCAGCTTGCATATGCGCAGCACATCGTGCAGCTCATGCTTCCTTGAAAACGCCAGCGCAACCTCCACCGTCTTGTCCCTGCTCCCATCATCCACAAGCAAGATCTCGTACCCGCCCATCTCACTCCCATCCGCATTGGCGCTCCCCTTGGGCTTCGGTGCGCGTCCGTATTCGGCGTCGAGGAAGGGCACAGCTTCTTCCAGCATGATCTCCAAGCGCTCTTCCTCGTTGTAGGCCGGGATGACCACACTCATTTCCAGCTCTGCTTCTTCAATGTCCCCAGTGTGCTTCTCCTTGAAATCCCGAAGATTCTCGGCTTCTTTCCGATGGGTCAGCCACGCGTCGTGCCAGCATGGAAGCGGCTTCGGAGAAGACGTCGAGCCATTGGGTGTTGTCGTTATGTACGTCTTCTCTGACGCGAAAGGCGGGCGTGGTGTAGGTGCAAGGATGAAAACAGCCGCATATACCTGCAAGATTCAGCTATGGCTGCGAGGAATGGAGGGGCGGAGGAGTGCTGGGGCGCGTACAGCGGTCAAGACAGTGACAGCTGTTGTAAGTGCCAGAATCAGCAGAATAGGCCAAGGTGTCTGTTCGAAGTTCTCATAGATGACCCAGAGCAGCTTCTGGGGCAGCCGGAGGAGTGCTTCCATGATCCCGATGACCGAAATGAGTGACCTTCGCGAAACGAGTAGGTGATTTATGAAATGCGCAGGAAAAGATCGATTTGGGACATTGAGGGCGCGGATCGACGAGAGGGTAGCTAATTGTACATGGTCCGAAGTCAATTGACCAGTTCAGAGTGGAAGTGGAGAGTAAATCATCGTCGTTGGCGGCGGTACTGAACACGATTCATACGAGGCCTGGTCTTTAAGCTCCGCAGGGCAAGGCTGAGTCTGTGCCCTCTTTCTCACAGCTTTCTCTCTAGACTTCAAATGTCACGGATATTCCTGTTGTCATACAACTGTCACACAACACTCACGGAATGTAAAGTCCCTCTCTCCCCTCCAAATAGATAGATGTCTCGAGCGTATCAATAAAAGAAGCTTTTGTGCTTATCAATGTTCATTGCATCCTGTGTCGCAAGACACAAAGTGTCTCTTATCTGCAGCGTGTGTGTCATGTCCATCCGCCTCTCCTATAATACACTCACTTAACAAGCAATCCGTGATGATCGTCTCGCCCGTTAGAGCCCCCTAGCCAAGCAAATGCCAGTTCAAATGCGCATCTCATTATAACCACATCACTCAGCCAAAACTCCATACACCGCCCACCACCGCGCCGACCTCTCGCCGAGTGGAACCCTTGAAATGTTTCTGAAACCAAGATGGACTTTTCAACTGCCACTGTCACCACCGCCGGGACCCTCCCCAACTGTCTTGATAGCGGAGGAAATACTGATAGCAATCTTGCCTTTGCCGCCAGCGTTTCCGTTCGGGCTGCTGCTAAAGCTTCTCTTCTTTCTCAAGACGCTGCTTGTATTCGATGCCACAGAGCTTGTCGAATTCCGACGTTTGGGGTGCGAAAGCTTGCTTAACTCATCATCGTCTTCCTCTTCTCGGCGGCGTTTTTCGGAGAGCTTCTCAGGAGGTGACTGAACTAGTGAATTTATCGGAGTGGAAAGCCCGTTACTATCATCTTTCGGTTGCGGTGTAGGGGGCGTGTTCTCATCTGATCCAAGGATGCCGGCCGAAATATCCGTTTCCATGTCATTCTCTTCATCGGAGTTGTAATCAACCAATGGTTTAGATGCCGGTGAAGCGCCGTTAGAATCCGGGCGGCTAGGCGACACCTTGACAGCGGTGTCTTCTTCGTTATCCGAAGTGTTATAGTATTCTTCCTCCTGGTCATCAAGGTCTTTGATACCTGGGTGCCATCTGCCTCCTCTGCCTGCTTCTGGACGCTTGGGTGGCGTGTCCTCTTCGGTATCCAGGAGCGGAGCCTCTGCGTTCGGAGCAAATCCTTGGGTCTGGTCAAATCGCATGATGTAGTTGCTAAAGGTATCTACGTATGTGATTCTCACCAGCTTCTCCCTGTAATTCTCCACCAAATGACTGATGATGGTCTTGATGTTTTCCTTCTTGATGTGCTCGAAAAATTCCAGGCAAGCTGAGTTCAGAAGGTTGTCGCGCGGCATTGTCTCCAAAACCAAGTCCAAGATTGGCTCGAAAAGCATGCCTTGGGTCATTTGTTGATTGTAGAATTCGTCTTGGAGTCCAATTAGATTGCGGAAGAATTTCAAAGCAGCTAAGAAGGGTCAGCGGTATACCAATTGAAAGAAGGGGTGGTGATCTCACTCAATCGCAGATATTTCTCCGTACTTGAGAGAAGCTGAGCAATACGGTGACTTAGCTTCTCGGAGAGTACGAAGTATTTGCTGTGATGGGTATGCTGCCGAACGAAAAAGCAGAGGATTTCGATGAGGTAGATGAAGAGGGATACTTCATTTACACTGAATTCCGTGTTCTTTCTATATTTCAAGTCTACCAGAGGCTTGAACAGCTTTTTGGCCGAGTCATCGTAAAAATCCTTGACGAACTCTGCTTGTTGTGGGTCGGGATGAGGTCGCATTCTTGCAAGATCACCATTGTGCCTCGCCATATGGTCTAGTGGGCTGCTTTGAGATCCTGGATCAAGCAGAACCTTGATAGCATCAGCAATTTGTGCTTTGACTCCTAGATCGGCTTCTACGAGGAGCAGGTCAATCAAAGAATCAGTCAGGGGTGTCTGCTTCTCATTGATCTGTCGGAATATAGTTTGGCGGACCATCTGAGGATCGTGATCAATCATCGAGACCAGTACGTCGGTGCCTCCTACTCTAACACCGACATCGCTATGTCGAAGTGCAAAGTTGATTACCGAGAGCAATCCTTGTCCCAGAAAGTTGTTATAAAGCTGTTGTCTCGCGGGTTGTTGCAGGTTCTTCGCAATGGCACAGCATTGTTGGATAAAGAGTACGGCTTCCTTCTTCCTCTCTTGGTCGGGTTCTTCTGGTCCGAATACTCCAAATAGCTCACTGAGGAAAGCTGGATTCGTTTGCAAGTGTGTGACAATATCGACCTGGTTGAAGAAAATCAAAGAATTAAGTACGGAGAAAGTAGGATCGTCCAGGATCCGCGCAAGCACAACATCCTTCAAGTACTGCAGCCGATATGTAGCGTGGATTTTCCTGCGAATGGTGTCATCGTTGATTCGGACCACTTCCTTATATCTGCCTTCCTTTCCTAGCCAGAGACGATGGTTTGCCTTGTGGCTTGGGAAGTCCGGGTCGTACTCCAAGGCCCCTACAACACCCAAAATCAACTCGTCCGATACCACGAGGTCCATGATGCTGCTCTCATTCAACAATATCAGGGTCTTCATGATATTGCATAGTCGGTGCAGACTCGGTAGATCCTCCATATCTTCGGCCATTTCGACCAAAGGGATCAACTTCGGGATGTATTCCTCGGTTATAACGAACTTTGTCAGAGACTCCCGACCCTGATTTGTTTGGTGTAAGCCTCGCATGGTATGTTCGATCTCCGCGAGATTACCAAGACCTGGGTTTGGCATGGAGAGTGAGTTATTGAAGGGATCGACGGAGATATCGTCGGACAAGGCATCATCTTGGAGAAAGTCAGTCATTGACAGCACACATCCCGGATTATTGGACTCACCCGGTCCGCCAATCGCGAGCAGCTGCTGTTGAATGTTGTTGACGAACTTCCTGTGACCCAGTATGTTAGCTACCAAGACTCAAACGCCTCTCACTGAGCGTGCGCAGGGAGTTTGTACTAACCAGATGGTAGCACAGCCCTCGGATTCCTGGAAGCTTAAAGCCATGTCCACCGAAGTTGTTGGTTCGGTCCATACTATGAGGGTATCTAAAAAGCCGATATCAGCCTCGGCCCACAAACAGGTTCTCGATGGGATTGTACCTTGCTGCTTCTGGAACGAATCTTCCTTGCAGATTCGAGTCTCAAGAAGGGTGACGTCTGGCTTCTCCTCCGACTGGACAGTCACGCGCGGTTCTTCCTGACGAGTGACTTCATTCTGCGCGACTGGAGTTAGCAGGACATTCGGTCGACTGCGATATACCAGACGTGACGGAGGCGCAAGTATGAAGATGCGCGAGGTGTACGGGACAGGTATACGTACGAATGCGAAAGACGCGACACAGAAGCCGGTGCCTCTGTCGAACCAGTCATTATTTTTCAACTCGTAGACCTTGACCCTCTTTCTGTCGTTCGGCGGATTAGGCACCGCTTGTGCCATTATCAATGGTTGTAGTTCCCCCTCGAGGTTCTCCGGGATGATGTTGGATAGGTCTGGGGCAATCTCCAGGTGCTGTTGTAACGAGAGAGGCGATTGTACTATGGTGGCGGTCATTCGCCTTCGCGCCTGGAGGTCGATCGCGTGTCGATCGGCCGCGGCGAGGGACGATGGGGAGGGGGGGGTCGCTGTGCAGAGCGGGCGCTTAGAGGGACGCGATAAGCAACATGTACACGCGAATGTTTACTTTCGCGGTCGTCTGCGGCGCGGCTTCGCGGTGCGGTGCGGTGTCGGATTGTGTTGTGTTGTGCTGTGTTGTGCTGTGTTGTGTATGACGGCGTGTTTGAGGTTGGGGTGAATCTGGAATGGGATGATGTTGCGCCGAAGAGCCTCTCACACTAGCGGCAACGGGGGAGGATCAGAGCAGGTCAACGCCAACGGATAGGATGGGGAATAAGGGATGAGGCACGGGAGTAGAAGAAGAAGAGGGCGAAAAAGAGAAAGAGGGCGAAATGATAGGAAATAATAGGTGATGTCCGGCAGTTCAATCAAAATATGAAGAGAGCTGATGTTGCTTCCCCTCCAAGTATCTATTTCTCTTCATCCCATCTCACTCTAGATCATCGCTTCCTAGAATCTTTGCGTCCGGCCAGGTGGGATGAGAAGTCACAGTCACGTGGACCCACTGGCCTCGAAAAAAAGGTCGGTGCGGTGCGTTCATGAGATAATTAGATAAGCCGGTCGGTGGCACGAAAAAGGGATTCCACCTTGGACCTCGGCCTGATCTCTGATCTACCTCTCGGTTTCACTCTATCCTCTCGGTTTCACTCTATCCGAGTGTAAGGTTCAACGTCGGAATCTGAGCCCGATGTCTTGGTTCGTCGACAACCTCATATGCAGCAGCCAGCCGTATGGCTGAACCCCAAAAACCGTTGTAAGATGCATTGAATCATCGATCGGCCATAACATCCAAGTCAGACAGCCATATCTGCTGAGCGGGTGTAAGAGAAATGTCGGCACCGATGTCATGGACAAGTAAACAAACGACAGGTAAAACGTGACCGGCCCCGGGGGAAAAATCAATATGATTCCGCCAAGCAAGCTTGAACACCTGGTATCAACAAAACCACATCGCGCAACATTGCAAAGGACGAAGAAAGTTAAGCAACGTGGCGTGGCCGGTGCCGCGTATCTCGCTTAATACGCAACTCGGCCCCCTAATGCAAGACTCAAGTACGGAAGGGCCTCCGGTATTTGAGCTTAATTCAACGGTCTCGAGATCCTCGTGCCTGTACGGGCTTGTAAAATTCACGGACGATCCTGATCCGAATATATCAACCAAATGGGATGAAATACTGAACGAGAGAAGTGTCCCGATCGATCAATCAATCAATCTCCCCTTCTCCAGAGCCCATCACCAGCTCGCGGCACCTCGTCCTCCAACTGCCCTGGCACGCAAAACCCAAGCCTAAGCCATGAGAAACTTCCCAAAGAGCAAAAGTTCGACCCTCGTAGAATTTCGGTGTGTTAGACACAGTGCCAAGAAACACAAGGTGATAGTGAGAAATCAAACACTCTGGTAACGCTATAGCATTATGATTGGCGCTATTGCAGAGACGCTCCTCGTCCGCTGGCTCATCAACATATGTTGCTCCTCTTGCTGGCAGCGACGTCAACCCCGTGGCCGTGTCGACGGCGAGGGAGAGGAGACCAAGGCGCCAGCACCCCTGAGGTTGAGACCTAGGAAGGAGGGGACGATGGGGACGGAGGTTGTTCATATTACGTAGTCGGCGATTACGTAGGGTCGTGGTGCTCTTGATGGTAATTGCAATTGTAAAGTGGGCTTGACTGCTGGCAGGAATAGTAATGTTGTTTTATAGATCTGAAACTACCTGGCAACTTGGTTAGACTTGCGAATTTACTAGCAGATATTCTTTCACCAGGTATATAGCGTTCTGTAATGCTTGGGACTCGGGATTTCACCCAAAGATGATATAATATAACTGTACACCACCAGGTGATTTATGCTGTACAAACCGCATGGTCTTGAACGTCGCGAGAAACAAACCTCCTCCTGTCTCCTAAGGAATAGAGAGACACAGTTGCAATCCTGAGGTAGATAGATAGATTCTGTAAATCATACGCCTCAACCCGCTTGAAACATAGCAGTCTCTGGACTACCAGCAGACTCACTGTTGGAATATAGGGATTTGCACCCATTCCCTCGTATGGATTGGCCTCTTGGCTACTCCCACGTATATAGCTCTCAGCACTCTGATACTATAATCACCAACTTCTACACTCTTGCTTCTATCACTCACGAATCAAAGCAGATCCCTACAGGCGCAAAGAAGTCATAAAGCTGACAGTGAGTTTTGAGCGTATATAGACTATGCCGTCCGCTCGCTAGCACAGCATCTTTTGATTGCTATATTTACCAACTAAATCGTAGCGAGAGTATCAATCTTCATACATTGTTCCAGGCGTAGTACTTGGCGGAGCTCAGTCCGTAATGCGATTACAGGGCAGTCGAGACCAGGAAGCCCGCTGGGGTTTCGCCAAAGTATTCGCGGTCGATCGATTCGAACTTGCTTCCAAAATCGACTTACATATACCCAGTGTCAATAATCAGCAACGAGGTCTTGCCGCCGATTGTCACAGGAGCGACGTAGGGGACGTCCTCTTTAATAGCCGCAGCAACGCTGGCATTACTGGTCAGGTCGAATTAGATTGGTGGTCACTTGACGTCTCTCTATTAGTTATTATTGTGTGCATATGCCCTGGGAGCTTGATATCACTTAAGCTCTGGAGAAAAAGGCTTGAACGTTTAGTTGTTTTCCCACCCCCGCATTTTGCAGCTTCCGCAATTTTCGTGTTGCTATATTGTTATAAGTATCTGCAAGGATCCGGCTCTCGGTAGTAAAGGCTGTCTAGGATCGACTAAATACCATGATACATATTACATTGGCAGCTAAAGCGGATTCCAAATATGAGGTAAAGACGGGTTGGTGATGGGACTTGTTTTCTGCAAGTCTTTATGGGCCGATTGGACGGTGAGCGAAAGTAGTATATATATACCACCACCACAACCCAGTCATACTGGAGAGCCAAATAGGCCCTATAATGGGAGCGGCGGATACCTATATCACCGGTGGCTTGAGGATTAGGATAAATTCGGGAGTGATGGCAGAAGATTTTTCGTCCCCTGTTTCTGTGCTATCTTTTCCTAGTGGCCTTGATGCATTTGACAGGTAGCGGATACCAAGCACCAGATTCTCACGCCACCATCTATGGCTTCTATGTTCTGTACTCAGTCCTCTACATGTAATCTGAAGCGCGCCCTCTCAGACTCGGAGCTCTGCAAGGTACTGTGAGGAGGCCCAGATATCTAGTATCTACAGATCTATCGATTTCTTTTCTCCACCTGTTCGGTGTTCCTAGTAGTCGAAACTACGAATAACCTATATTCCAATGGTAAAGGTTATCTATGTAACAGACCTTGGCCATCAGAATTCCGCACGTGCGGTTAGCGCCTGTTTTTGCTGCGGTTTTTTTGCTCGGTTCTCTCCGAATCTTGCTGATCTCGCTCGGTATGTTTTTTGGGAAAGCTGATCCTCTTTCCCCTAGTTCGTAAGACTCCTGAAAATATCGAATCGGCGGACTATATGTCGAGGACTTGAGATAGGGGAAGTATAGTTGATTGGCTTTGAAGCTTGAGGTTCCCTGCCTTCTTCAACTGCGGAAATAACCTCTAGGGAGTGAAGTGGGGACTTGCATACATGCATGCTAAACATTTATATTGCATATGCCGCCCTTTAGTATATATCGATCGGATCCGAAGAGCTAAGCCGTGACCCTGCCGCATCGCTTGCAGCTGCAGTGACTACCACAGGCATAGCTTTTGAACACCTGTCAACGCGGTTAGTTACTTCTCCCTCAAGATTCTCGAAGATATGGAAGGTTGGCTGTCAAGAGCTTTCAGTACAGGCGTTTGGAAAGTACAGGCGTTTGGATAGATAATCTTGCGGAACGGGATTTTCGTGCTGGGAATAGGGTGTCCCCATCAATGGACTTCCCGTTACGTTGAGACGATACTCGTATTCAGACGATGAAAACCCGACTGCCTACTCGAGTACCATGGGCATATGGTTACCCGAAGTCCCAAATGAAAAATCTCAGCCGCATGCAATAATGCACTAGGCTGACTGATAAGCATTTCCAAAGAAGCGTGAACGAGAAGCTTGCCTGCATATATTTCATGCAATAAAAATGAAAACTGACGTAAGCGGACATAGCCTCACGGGAGTATTCCCAGAAGAAGCAGAACTTGGAAAACTGGATTGATGCTTCGTTGTGCTTGGTTCCCGAGTGGATGACCATCGTACACAAAGGCGCCGAAGAGATAACCCTACGAGCCTCGACTGCACTAGCATCGGCAACACTACTTGGAGGCGTCGTGATGGTGAGACCTCTGTTCAACAGCTCTTCCCATGTGCCTCGTGTGGAGGGTTCACTGGTTTTCTCTCGGGAACCCCCACATCGGTATAGCTATTCCAATTGGAAGGGGTCTTCGGATCTGATCTGCTCAGCAACGCCTCTAAACTTTCCCGGGATATGGAATACCCGCTCAATATTTCGGGAACCTCGGGAACCAAGAATGATATCGACCAAAAGAGGCTACCCACGGGAATATCAAAGGAAAAGTGCAAACGACAATGCAGGTAGAATATCTATCACCAACCAGGGCAAGCTGACTGAATGAACAACGCAGAGCGGTCGAAAGATAGGAAACGTTGCGAGAATAACATGAGGATATTCCCGGGGGATCGATTGCGTGTTTCTTCTTTCGATACAAGCAGAAACTCCTTGGGGATGTGCAAATGAATATCAGTCGTACAATCAGTACAAGCAGTTCGACTTCACAGCCACGTTTCGTCGTCGAGCCAGCGAGTATCCGATGCTCTTCAGAATTCCGAGGCGGACATTCGAAAATGCCTCTGTGGATCTGGTTGGGATGATCGGGGTTGTTGCCGTCGTTGTTTGTGCCTTGGGGGAGAGTCTGTGATACTGATCTGCCGGCGCTGGGCTGAGCTGGGGTCGGATGGCAGGCAAGTTGCAACGCACGGAGCGGACGCACGGCTACGAGAAGTATATTTCCCACCCGGATGTTTGGCATGGATGATGGGCAGCGCGCTTATTTGGTTTTTGGGGTTTCGCCCAGAGCTGGATCCTGGTGGTCCAGTGGATGCATAAGCAGCTACCGGTATCCCTTATCAACCTGCTCACTCTCATCTTCACCAAGTACCTCTTGCTCTTCCTCCTCCTCTTCCTCCTCCTCCTCTTCATCTACCTCCATCTCCTTCTACTTCTACCTCCCCATCCTCTTGATACGCCGAGAAACGTCAATATAGTAGTCCTGTACCTACTGTACCTCAATCTCAACGGCCGATCCCGTCGCCACCTTCCCACGAAGCGAAACTTCGGGATTTCTGCAGGTACGGTGCGGTAAATCGATACGTACGGAGTAGGTACCGGTATTTTGCCCTCAAATCCCGGGTCTTACTTCAAGGCTAATAAAGTGTTCGTCTCAGCACCAGCACCAGCACCAGCATCCGTGCCCCAAGTCTGCGCTGGCCCATCGTCCGGCCTCCCCCGCTCCCGCATGGTCTTGAAGGAACTTTGGGATCGATCGACACGCTTGCTCCGTTAGCTATATAGCCGATTTCTGAAAAGAATCTGCCGAAACTCTTCTCAAAAATTAACATGTCGTTGTTTTCGAAGATCAAGAGGTCGAAGAAGGCGGCAAAGGAGCACAAGGCAAAGGAGAAGCAGAAGGATCCCAAAGAGGCCGTCAAAGTCCCCTACAAACATGTTCCTACCCACGCCGCCATCGATGCCCTCACTGGTGCCCCCTCAAGTTGGAAACAGGATGATCGGCCCAAAATCAGGGAACAGCACAGGAGGAGGAGTGAGATGGCTACCAGCCGGACAGGAAGCACTCTATCACATATCCAATTCCCGAATCCTAACTCGAATTCGATAGCAGGTCCCAGCAACTTGCTAGCTCCGCCCCTACCACAAAATAGCAGCTACAGTGGTTACAATCCCGCATGGTTCGACCGCAGCGGCGATGTTTATCATTCCACCGATAGCCCCAGACAAGGCGAGCATAGACAGAGCAGATACAAGCCTCAAAGAGGACATGCGCTCCATGATTCTGGGATAGGGCCAAGTCCATTGGCAAGCAATGTGCAGTCCGAAGGTGATATCACCACTCCACTGCTCGAGCGTAGCTCTGGCTGGCACTCGACATTGCCCTCCCATGATTGACAACCAACTGACCAAATATGCAGAAGCTTCCCCAGCTGTAAGCTCTGGTAACAGCACCAACTCGACCGTCTCTTCCGACAACCTCGAAATTTCTCGCCCCACACCTTCACATCCTTACCTGCTGCAACGACAGAAACCAACTGTGTACGGCGATCAAGATATTTTCGGTCGCTTGCATACCAGCACTACGCGAAAGCTAGGCGAAGCGCCTCTCTATGTCAGCCCGCAACCTTCTTCCAAGCCCAAGTCTGCAACAACCCCAGTGTCTCAGGAAGAAAAGGCCAAAAACCCACGATGGTCTTTCCTGGGGAAGAAAAACACAGCCGCTGTACTATAATCGCCAGATGCAGGGATCCTGCCTTTTGAACATATGATCCATGTACAGAGGTACAGCAGGATGCAGGTGGTGGAATATTGGGTTGAGGATCCTTTAAATTTTTATACCCAACTCGCTGTAATACCGGGAGCTTACAGCATCCAGCTGGATGCTTCTCTTTTTCGCACGGCATATCCATCTGTATCAGCATCCGTCATTTTCATGACAGCATCTTCGGTCACGGATCTTTAGTCTCTCGTCGCGTCTCGGATAATTTTTCTTGGCGAGTCGACTTGAACTTGTTTTCGGCGCCACGGAATATGGCTGTCTCCTCGGGGGTACGATGTTGCACTGCCACCAACCTTGTGCATCGATGGATGAGTGCCTTGGACGATCATGAGAAAACGATGGAAAGAAAGGTATTTATTTGGCCGCTATGGTCCCGCCTGGACATATAATTTTTGCGAGGAGTTACTTCAGACCGCTGGGCTACAGTACAGCGCCTTTACTTTGAATCGGTTTTCACTTCTGGCTCTGAAGATGGATAGAGAGTGATGATGGATAGAGAGTGCATGGGAAGGCCTCGGCGGGATTGCCAACTGGTTGGACATAATCATTGCTTGATAGAGGTTTATTTCCGGACACACGAGCACTGTATATGCATACGCGCCCCTTGAACAAAGATTAAAGGCTTCACCATCAACAGGCTGTAACTGGACAAAATATGATCCGCATTTATGTGTGAAAGTTCCTCCTTGCCCCAATTTGTCGTATTTTCTTATCTTAAACTTCTTTCCTACGTAAAGTGCTCTTTGCTGACTGCATGCAACTCTTTTCTGGTGAATATCTCATATCCTCGATGTACACACACACATCGTGCCCTAAAGCACCTAGGTACCTAGCTATAGTAGTGTATATACACATATATCTCTTACCATCCTCCTCTATCATCCTTCTCAAGCCAGGCAACTTCTCCCCAGATACAAGAATTTCTCTCATTATCGGTCCTGTTTTGTCGCTTTGGTTGACCGGATCTTCACTCTGCTTGAGCTACTTGGTGGATGGGGGTCGAGCTACTCGCCTGCTGCTGCTTACTATTGAACGGTCCAGGCCGTCGATGCCTGTTGACGTCGGGCTTCCGTTCGTTACGCTGCGCTGCTCACTGCTCACTGCTAGCCTCTCGTCACTCTTTGTCGCTTATTACATATCAGCAACTTCGCATACCCCTCACTGTAGGGTCGATTGCTTGCTAGAAGGCGCTGTCAATACGGAGTACAGTGTTTTCTGGGAATCGACAGCGTTGCAATAATGCAATCTGCAATGCCTCTCTGAGTTTTCCTTTGAAGACAGGAAGCGGAGAGGAAGAGACTCACCCCTCGACTTGTAGTTGTTGATCGATGGGATGGATCTTGTAGATGTTTCTGACCAAGGAAAGCAATAACTGCCCCCGTGTATCAATAGGTGGGGGGGCGGCTACGATTCTTTACCTGTACGAGGGGCCCCATACGAACCTTCAGCCTTGTAGGTAGCCAATTCCATACTGTTTGGAAAAGCCGATGTTGAATCTATCGACACGTTCTCGCTGGAGAAGGGGATTGCAATAATGGATACAAGCTTAATGCGTCTACCAGTCTTGCAATTTGAGAGAGTAGCTAGTAAAGCCTTGCTTCTTAATCACAACCGCTTCCGCACACGCAGACCTAATTTTTTTTTTCCCATGGTTTACGAGCCGCGCTTCCTCCTCCTCTTCCTCTTTCTCTCGACACCGTCAACTACTCTACTCGATATTGCTTGCTTACGGCAATCTGCTCTTACACGTGTATACTCGCGCTCTCTTGCTATCAGAGGCTTCTATTCGACATACCTATCACACACAAAGTTATTTCTACTCGGATCAGCACACAACCGTGAAGAGAGATAAAAAAAGAAACTAAAGAAGACACTCCAAAAGGGCTTTGGGTCAGCGCGCGCAACCAAGGAAAGTGGCGTCTTGTTCTCGCGCTTTCGACGACGACAAGGCGATGGAAGAGAGAGTTTGGGAGCGAAGAGAGCTTGTCGGAAGGGTACCTACTACTACTAGGTACATTTTACTCCGTAAGGATTTTCGGATTCGCGTGTGCGTCAAAGCTCGTTGCTCCAACCTACCGGTACCTACCTAGTCGAGCAAGGGGCTCGATAAGTACTTACTACTGTACTTACTACTTCTAGGTACTACGATACGTACTACGTACTACCTGTACCTTACCCTCTATCGGACTTGGCGGAAGGAAAGCTCCGCCGAGCTTTTTCTTGGAAGTCGAGAAAGGAATACGTACTTATCGAAGTGTGGACTTTGATTAAGCATAATCTTCTTGTTTTCCGCATTATCGATCCTGTCCGTACAGGAACGGAGTGCTTGACCGTAAACCTCAATCATGAAAACCTTTTTATTCCTTTTTTTTTACTTTCGAAATGTAGTCGGGGGTGTTAGGGATGATGGTACAGTAGGTCGGTCGGTCTAAGAGAAGCTTATCGAGGTTTGGCGCTTGGAAGATCGATTTGATAAGTAGACTGTAGGCTTTATATACCTAAACCCTTCGCTTTGCACGTCTCCTTTACCCCCTTGGGAGGTCCTGGGACGAGGAGCGCACGCTATGCCTTGGTCCGCCAGACGCAAGTCAATAATACTAGTACTAGTACTACTACTACTACTACTACTATCAATGAGTATTCTCTCTTCATTCTCGCTCTACGGAAACGATCCTTATAGATAACCGCATCCAATCTAGAAGGAAAAGCGGATGGATGGATTTAACTTTTCCCTACCCCGTAACCGTGCCATACTCTCCGATGTTGTAATTTACTTTTTGCCTGTTGCCTGCCTGTCCCCTTTCTGCTGCTCGCTCCCTGTTCTCATTTAAATTTTCAGAATGGTTGCTCTATTGCGGCTATTGCTGCCTCCTGCGTTCACGGCTCGCTCGCAGCGGGAGTTTCCCAGATGTTTCTCTCTCTCCCCCGCTGTGAGGACCAGAGAGATGGATTTTCGCAAGCGTCAAGTAATTGAGGATCGTCCCCCCCTCAATAGAAAATTGAAAAATCTGTATCTGTCTGTATCTATCTACTACATATCTGCATCTGCATCTGCATCTGCAGCGCCAGAGACGCCACGAGCAGGCAACCGAAAGCTTGAAAAGCCCGACGTCCTCGGGCTCAGATCGGACGCAACCGCAGCCGCGTCTAGGCCTCGAGCTTGGGGTAGACAGGGAGGAGGTTGGTTGGTTTATGGTTTATGGTTTATGGTTTATGGTTTGATTGATTACCGCTACTGTACATGAGTGAGCGGCACGATATGCGTCTCGGTCGTGTACGTCCCGTTTGATCTTGATGCTGATGCTGATGCTCGGAAAGGGGGATATGATTTGTTATGATATGCCTGGTATTGGCCGTGGGGATGATGTAGCGTCCTCGCGGCTATCTTGAACGACATTGGCAAGGGACTGTGTGTGTGTGTGTGTGTAAGTGAATGAGTGAGTGAGTGCTCACTCCGATGACAGATTTTGTTCGGAGGCGGGTTTATCGTTTGTATGATTGGATTTGATCTAAGTAACAAAGAATCGATATCAAAGATGAATCAGATTCGTGGACCTGGGTGCTAATCCCCAGTGCCGTCCGTCTATTTACGTATGCCTATGTGTAACGCCATGCCGGCTTTTCTCGCTCGTATGCATGCCCACCCAAAACTCCCCCACCGGCGAGATGACTGTCATGGCCCAGGGCCCGAGTGATTTTTTCTCGCATCTACTCTCAGACACTCTAGGAAATCGTGGAAGCTTATAGACTCCAAGTCCTACTGACGCCCCCCCCCCCCTTTGAAAATTGAAATACCGTAATCCCTAACCTTCATATCCCTCTTCAACCACCCACGACACCAGAGCCAGCTAAGCGCGACTCCTCTTCGTGAGGCTCAGGAGTGGTCTTCGCAGCACCAACAACTTTCTTAGCTGGCTTGACGGATACATCTGGTGTCTTTAGGTCATGGGTTGCCTTCTCGTACCTCACACACCTCCCATTTTTCCTAAAAAACTGCAAGTCTACACCCTTAAGATTGGGCATTACGGCCCCGAAAGTATCGGTGAAGCTACCCATCGAGTAACAGCCCGATTCTTCGAAGACAGGGGAATCGAACCATAAATTGCCGAGGGCCAGGCAGGAAAAGTAAGCTGGGTTGTGGTGAACGTGGCACGTTTTTTCCTGGGACTTATCCGGGCCAGAGAAACTCCATTGGTGTTTATTCGTGAGGGACTCTGCGAGGGCGCCAGGCTCACCACCAGGGAAATCGGCTGCGAAATCGGAGAAGGCGAACTTCCCTGATAGAAATCTTGTGAGGTTGAGAAAGGATGCTGCGAGGTCGAAGGAGTAGAGGGTTGGGGTGGAGGCGGTGCAGAGGTTCAACTTGGGCTGTAGAGAACTTAGTCAGCTTGCGCGGTACTGGGATGGAATTGGGGGAGATGCTTACATCTTCGAGTCGAGTACAGCGATCGTCCCAAGAGACCTCTCCTTGCAGCATTTCGTGGTCGTGGAGACGATCACGGGATTCAACGTTCAGTCCGATTATATCCTCGCTTTTGGATAAATAGTTGAAGGCGCTGGGATGGTACGTGTGCGCACCATCTGACACCAGAAGATATCGTGCCGATGCGCATCCAGGATCCGTGGTGTTCAACTCCTTGATCACCCAGTCCGTAGCAGCATATCCTGAATCTTTGACTGGCGGCTTGGGAAAAGCCTTCTGGGGAACAGAGACGTGCCGGATTCTTGCGTCAACTGCTTTTAATATTACGTACTGGAGATCTGAAAAGGGGACTGTATCACCCTGAAACACGACTGCTCTCCAGTTCTGGTTCTCTTGCTCCTGGAGGGAACGAAGCATAGCCGAAAGTTTGAAGAGTTTGTCCTCTGCATTATTGTCTCGTGAAGCTCGGACGAGGACACAAACATCGGCTTGCCTTGTCTTGTGAGCCGCGAGTTCCTTGTCCCGTGCAAGGCTCATCTGGTTGACCTTGTCCGCCCATAGGTGCTGCTTCTCCGAAATCGACAGTGCGGTCTTCATGGCAATGCCGTAGGCGTCACCAAACTGGACGCTGGGTTCGAGGCTATTACCCTCACCCCATTCGTTCAAGGCGTTGACGAAAAAGAAGTTCTCCGATCCGATGGGGTTAGGGGTTGACTTGATCGTTCGAAACATCTCAACCAGGTGATTTTGCCAAGTTCTTGGGTGGCACAGGGGCACCGAGCTTGCTTTGCCGTCGGTTGCGTGGCGAGGGGTGTTATCCCAGCAAACCATTGTACCACGATGATAGACCCTGGCCAGCTTCTTGAGAGTAGGATAATTTGAGGGATCCAGACCTCCCGCATGAGGCGCGAACTCGTTGATGGCGTCAGGTCGGTTGGCCGCCCAAGAACCTTGGCCCTCCCCCCATCTGGTCTCAATGATATCAAGTCCTCCAAGTCCTTCTTCAACAGCCCATTGGCGCCACGCAGCATACATGGGCGGTCCTAGATCTCCCATGTGAGATGGATTGTACACCATGAATTGGATCCTCCCTTCCGACCGGATGTACTGAGGATGTTTGAAGAATTTCAAGAGCCAGTCAAAGTGCTTCCTCCAAGCAGCCTGAAGCCCGTAGTCCTGCGCAATCAGTACGTCGGAGGCATCGCCACCCGCCCCGTCCCATTTCGACGTCCATGGCTCGTTGGCCCAGCTCAGCATGAACGGGATATCAGGCTCCCCGTCTTTCAGCATTGCTTCGAGGATGTGCTCCATGATTGGCTTACCATCAAACCAATAGTGATGATACGCGACTCCATAGAAACCACTTTCTTTGAGAAAGCGGGCTTGTCGCTGTCGAGTCTCGAAAGCGAGGCCGTCGTACATCCCTCCGATGGACTCGTGAGGCCGAATAGTTTCCAGACCCCATTGATTGTGGGTCACCTTCCTGACGTTGGTCCATTCGGTGAAGTTCTCTCCGTGGAGCCTGCTGTTTTCTTCAAAGACGTAGTACTGAGGGAAAACGTATGCTATAGGCTTGATGGAATAGCGCGACGCGGATGCTGCTGGCTTCGGTGAGGGCTTTGATGAGAAAAAACTTGGTTTTTCTGGTGGAGGCTCGTCTTGATCGAAGTCAAGATCATCAGGTATGGAAAAATCATGTTTTGGACTCTGATGTTGAGAATAGGGCGATGATATTTGATAAATATAGAGCAGAGTCGTGCATATCAGAAGGACCAACACAATGGCTACTTTGTGAAAGGGACGGTTCGACTGGTACCCAAGCATCGTGGCACGGCGGCAACGGAAAAACGTATAAACAATAAATATGCTGCTGCTGTTGCTGTTGCTGTTACTTTCTCCACGCCGAATGGAGGACACAGTCCGCGCCGAAAGGGTCGTGGTGATGGAGTTTGCGTTAGAAAACGTACTCAGGTATAAGGAGTGTGAGGGTCAAGAGAGAAACGAAAAAAACCAATACGAGGCGGGAGGGACAAGAGAGTATATACGTAGCAGTATTGTACCACTCTGCATATTTGATCAAGGAAATCAAGGGGGTAGGGGAGGAAGTATAGCCAGGGCCAGAAAAGTTAATTTACGACGACGGTGGAAGTATATTTATTCTGCACCCACTTACCGCCCGGGCATTACCCCTGAGCTTGAGTTTTGATTTCCGAGTCCAAGTCTTGAGTCTCAGTCTGAGTCTCACTCAGTCTGAGTCTGTCTCTGGGATCCTCGACAAGGCTGGGATGGATGGATAGGCTCTCTGTGGGGGCGTTGGAAGACTCGAAGAAGTACGGAGTAAATAAGTCGTCGCACACTTGAGCGTACAGTGTGACACCAGAGACATTGGGAGCAGAACGCTGCTGTCTGTACAGCTAATAATTCGACGAGAATATTTGGAATTCTTTCCTGGACTCCATCCTCTGAGAGGCTCGAGGCTCGAGGCTCGAGAGCCATCAGAGAGGATCATCGCTGTAAGATGGCCAAGAGAAAGCCGAGTCTTTGCACGTTTGGGCGATTGCCGGCGGAACCAGGCTGGGCTGGTCGGAAAAGAATGGAAATTTCTGATAAGTATCCTCCTACTCGTTCCCCCAGCATCTCTGTTCCCATGCGATGATCTTCTTAGACCGTATATTTAGAAAATCCGACTCTATAATTGGGACGATTTTCGACATGGGCACAGAGCCAGTCGTATCTCGGTGACGGACGGATACCGGCAAGTGCGTTCCAGATCGGCAGTCTGTTCGAGATCAGCAACTTGGAAGGTAGCTGTAGTTGCTGTACTAGTTGTAGTAGCAGTAGTAGCTGTTTTGTTGTTGTTGTTGTTGTTGTTGTTGTTGTTGTCGTCGTCGTTGTTGTTGTTGTTGTTGTACCGGTATCCGAGGAGGCAGGGCTGGGGCTGTCTGTCCGCACTCCTAGCATGGAGCTTGGACGAAGGGATCCCTTCCATTGCAGCAGAATCCAAACTCACCTTCCAAGCCATGGATATTCCTACGAACTTTGTGTCATCCAAATCCTTCATATCTGTAACTGTTTAGCATTTAGTAGTACTGGATTAGTAGTATGCAAAGAGCAGAAGGGGTGGGATGAGACTCCCGTTTTTTGGACTAAGAATACGGTGGGCCAATCCACTCAATAAGCCTGCGCTCACCTTCTGTATGGCTGGATGTTGAAACCCTTCTAGTACCACACCACTATATTTAGAAGAGGGAGTTGAGACCTAGTCCGCATCAAGTAGCTATTAAAAGGAAAGAAGAAGAAGAGGGAGAGAAAGGCAGAATAAAGAAGAAGACGAAGCAAATCAACGCGAATAGCTTGCCTCGTCTTCGTGCTTGGAATTCCCAAAGATTGCCGCCCATATGCGTTCTATTGCGAAGCCACAGAGACTGTGGGTGAGGAAGGACGAGCGGAGCGGAGCGAAGTCCATCGCTACTTTTGCTGTCCGTCCGTAAGGATACCGGTAGTACGTAAGAATTATGCTAAAACGTCAAGAGGAGAAAGCAACTACGTACGGGCTGTGTGATACACAGAGTTCGTTGGGTCTGAGAGGGCTGATCCAAAAATTAATTTTCAAAGAAGTCTATCCATATTGCGAATATCCCGCAGCCAAGAGCTACGAACTTCGTACGTACGGTAGTAGTATGTTGTACCGGTACTTGTAAAGTACTACTGCATACGTACAGTAGTATATTACAGTACAAATACTTACGTAGTAATAGGTAGTACAATCTCCAGCCTGGCTGACAGGCTACGGGAGTGAAAACTTAAAAGCAGTGATATCTTCCCAAGCCCGGCCAAGCCCGCGCATCCGTCTCGTCTCGCCACTCCTTCGACGTACGGTACTATTTCCGCATCCAATTTCTCTTATCTGATGGGATGGCATCTTTTTCTACGTAAGCCTGGTCGCTTCTGCTACCGGTATTTACAGAGTATAGCTCTGGCGGAGGTCTTTGCTTGTTTGCTGCGCCGTTGGCTATCAGACATCATTATACAGTCCTTGTATCAAGCATTTATTCACCGACAAGGTGACACCGACTTGACACCTACTTGACACTTACGTAGTACCGGTACTTGTACATCTCTTCGCTTGGGGAACCCGCTAGACTCAAGTGGATGGAAAAGCTAGCCCCCCTAGTGTCTTCTTCAACTGAGGCTTTCGTGGAAATCACTAAATACAACAGCAAAATCCAAAGCATGTTTGAGAGGAGAGTACACTTTACTTGTTGATCAGTTGGTAGCATAACACGTGTTGGAAGATTGAGTGACTTGCCCTTGCACAAGAGGTGATCTTGAATTAGGTATTATTTTATCAGAGGACGTTCTAGTTGGAGGGTACCTATGCTACAGTATGCCACCCCTCTATCATCCATCGTTCAAGCCCAACCTCGGCGCCGCGCCGTTTTCGCCGAGAAATTCCATGCTGCACAGACATATCATTCCGCACTCGTCACCCTGTCATGTTTACAAGCTCATTTCCCACCCTCCACTCCGACGACCAACTGCCGACCTACACCCGCATCTCACTAAAGATGAATGGGAAAATGACCACGCACGCTTTGTAGAACACGCGTATGCTCTCCTCAATCGCCAGCGGCAGCTTCCAGAAACCCAGGAAGCCCCCCATGACATCCTGCATAACGAGCCAGATGGAAAGGAACGCAACGGCGAAGAAGTGGTAGAACAGGACGAGTGGCTGGCGGATGATACCTGCGAGCAGCGCGGATGGGCCGTCGATGCAATTGCCTCCGCGTTGGAAATACGTGAAGCATCCTCGCTTAAGCGCGCTGAGCTGCCGGTCGTTGGCAGCGAATAGGGAGTACAGAGCCATAGAGAGGATGTTGATGATAGACGACAGGCGTTTTCGCTGCCAGTGGAAATCCTTCATGGCTTTCTGGATGGCTGCTGTGTCGCCGAGGTTGGGAATGCGGTCGGGAGCGATAAGGTCGGAGAGCAGGACGACGTCGTTGAATGCTACGGTCATGCCGCCGCCGGTTAAAGGATGCCGCATATTCATTGCGTCGCCGAGGACGACGAATCCTTTGCCCAGTTGCGTGCTGGGAGGAAGAAAGCTGTTGGGCATGCTGGGGGGGATTTTGCCATCGGCGAGGGCGGCTTCGAAGCAGGGCTGGATTTCCTTGGGAAGGGATGGGAGGACTACGTTCTTGATGTGTCCTCGTATTCCTCCGTTCTTAACGGATGCCGATGGGAGGTTCTCGGGTACATCAATTAAGACTCGTGTATCATGTGTGGCAATCTGGTAGAGTAGGACGGGTGAAGTGTCGCCCAGTATGACGGTACCATGGAAAGGAGCAGGTAGTGGACAATCGGTCAGCTCCAGAGCGTAGAATTTGCTTTTGGTGATTGGCTGTTTTGTGATGTATTGTTTCCTGAACTTCGAGGCGTATCCGTCCGCGATGATGGTAAGCTGGCCAAAGTAGAAATCATCCTCCTTCTTTCCAGTCTTTGGGTTCAATGTTTCCGACTTTACGCCAAGGACTTGCGGGTTGTGATCGCTCGAAATGGTATCCGTGACTGTCGTCTCGACCATGGTGATATTTGCTTGACTGGCACAAGCCTTCCGAAGCTGGGAGATGAATCGTCCATGGTGGAAAGCTCTTCCCTCGGGTTTGCCACCCTTTTCGTTCGTGTATTCCTGTCTTCCGGCCTTGTGCACTCCTCCCACATTGTAAGGGTACGGAATGTTGACTCTGTTCCCATAGTATACGACCTCATATCCATGGACGGGAATCGCATCAATACCCTCCAAGCAATGCGCCAGACCCAATTTCTCCAGGGCGGAAACACCCCCGGGTTGCAGCAGCTCTCCGACTATGCGATTGGGTTCCCGCATCCATCTTTCCAGCAGTATAACGCTCCGTCCTTGTTTTGCGAGCGCAAAGGCAACTGCGCATCCAAAGACTCCTGCGCCGACCACTACCACGTCTGCTTCGTGGTGCAGCCGCCTACGCTCTTCGCTGGAGGACTGGTAAAGACCGGTTGACATTTCGAGCGTTCTGGGTTTTGAGGGTTTGGGGGTTTGGGGGTTTTGTTGAGGATCTCTGAGGGGGGTCTGGAGAGCTTTTCCAATGAGAAGGTTTCGAGCTTGTGAAGGTTGACTGGATTACTACGCGAGTGGAAGATGTACGGAGCACGGAAGTACCTGCAGCTCGCCGTTGGGATCCGGAGTTGGGAAGGATGAATCCAATGGTATGCAGTGTCGTGCCACCGAAAGGAATGGAGGCGGTATCTTTCCAAAGGCCCAAGGGAGTTGTGCTGACTTAGGGACTCAGTTGTAAGTAATATTTATGACTCTGTACTCTGTCGACGCATGGAGTTTGGGAATTCCAGCAAAAGGGACTAACCAAATAAAGTGGGGCGGCGGTGGGCGGGCAGCACGATCACGATATTGACTGCAGCCAGAATGACTTTCTCAGGGGATCGTGCAACATTTGACTTGGACATGGGACGACACTGACAGCTCAGTGAGAAGGCTTGTCTGTATCGGGCGTCACGTGATTTCCGATACCCGTAATTCGATCGCTAGAGAGTTTACGATAATCTACGTAGTACGAAGTATCTACTTGGTAGCAATCCAAAACCAAAACTTAAAAAGATTGGCGTTAAATTATCAAATATCTCGTCAACGCTTTCATATCGTCGGTCGTGATTTCGTCCCTCTTACGTACCGGTACCTAGCATATCCCCGTCATGATACACATGTCACGTGTCTTCCACAGCCCCTTTCGGCGGTATCGGATGTACGGGTAGGTACCTTTCCAAATGCCCTGCGTAAATGCCGCCCTTTTTAATCTCTCCTTCGTTACTGTTCCTCAACTCTTCTTCAACTCTTGCGCTCGTGGGCGTCACCAACTATGTCTCTTCTTGCGAATGCCACTCAGGCAGCCCCAGAAACCTACTTCGGCATTTACAACGAACTTTCAAAGTACAATGTACACCTGAACATCTTCGAACGTCTTTGGGCAGTAAGTGATACCATCACCTTACCGCCACTTGCGCGCCGCTAACTCTCCACGCAGAGTTGGTACTCGTACATGCAAAACGATGTCCTCGCGACGGGAATCATGAGCTTCGTCATGCACGAGGCTGTTTACTTTGGCCGAAGTCTGCCGTGGATCATCATCGACCGGATATCATACTTCAACAGGTGGAAGCTTCAAGGGGCGAAGATCCCCACCGTCAAGGAACAATGGACCTGCACAAAACTCGTTCTCCTCAGTCACTTCTCTGTCGAACTACCTCAAATATGGCTGTTCCACCCCATGGCTGTGTCGTGCGGCATGGAGTATGGCGTCCCCTTCCCTAGCTGGCAGACAACATGTTTCCAGATCGCCGTCTTTTTCGTCCTGGAGGATACATGGCACTACTGGATGCATCGTCTCTTTCACCGCGGCTTCTTCTACAAGAACATCCACAAGATCCATCACCAATACTCTGCGCCTTTTGGACTCGCTGCTGAATATGCCTCTCCCATCGAGACCATGGTTCTTGGCGCCGGAACTGTTTTGGTGCCCATCGTTTGGTGTCTGGTCATGGGTAACTTCCACATCCTTACCATGTACCTCTGGATCACTTGTCGTCTCTTCCAAGCCATCGATGCGCACAGCGGATACGATTTCCCATGGTCTTTACACCACTTTCTTCCTTTCTGGGCCGGAGCCGAGCACCACGATGTCCACCACGAGCAATTTATTGGGAACTACGCCAGTAGCTTCAGATGGTGGGACTATTTTATGGACACCGAGTCCGGACCAGAGGCTGCTAAGAAACGACGCGAGCGCAGGTTGGCGAAGGATGCCAAGAAGCTGCAGTAGATGCCGGGCGCGGGGAGATGTACATACGGAACGAAGCAACTGCATGGGCCCAGAGAGACTGTGTACGATCAGATGTAGTGGCCGGGTGATGGATATGACTAGAGACGGCGGCATCATAGGACAGGATGGGTGCGATGCGTAGAGATTCTTGCAAGCCCTTGCATGCGTGTCTTATTATAGGCGTTCTTGAAATTCGGCGCAAGGAGGGTCCTCTTAGATCGCACATGGCTACTTGTAGTAGCTTATGAAAATACAGCCCCTAATACCTATAACCGATGAGAACTCGCGTCTCGTACAGCGCGGTGTCTCAATGCTCGCTTCTACAGACTTATCTTACTTAAACTACACTCCGTGCTACTATTACAAGCACATTCATCATACTCATACACCCAGCTTCTAATGGCTCCTTCGGCACATCACTTCCTCTCCTCTACTCACAACTCCTTCGGCCTAGGAGCGCAACAATCCCCACCCTCCTTGGCCACCCTATCCACCAACTTCTTACTCACACCTCCCACAGCATCACCATCACCACCATCATCAACCTGATCAAGCTCCCCACACTCCTCAGCCTTCCGGTCACAGAACTTCGCCATCACAACGTCCTTTTCCGAGAGGCCGGGAGGAGAGTGCGTGGTCCAGCGGATGAAGGTTGCGTTATAGACCTGTGGGGGAGCTATTAGCTGAGCTTGCTTTTTGGCAGGAGTGGGAAAGCGGAAAGATATAAGAGAGAGATATATAGGGTAGGCGAGTTTTATTTACGTTGGACCACTCAGGATGGTGTTTCTGGACGGCGCATTCCGCGGCTATGAGGTTCATGAATTCCTACATGGGTTTTTTTCCCCTTTCGTTAGTTCTCTCTCTCTCTCTCTCTCTCTCTTCATTGAGAGTTGAAATCTCTTTTTCACTTAACTTCCTCGTCTCTTCAACCCCGACCCCGTCACACCAGCAAACCAAGCGAAGGAATCACGAATCGACATATATGTAGATGTTAAAAAAACAAATGAAGAAATCCACGAACCCAAGTCTTCCTAAACGTCTTGAACCTAAACCGCCTCTCGACGCCCTTCCCGCTCTCCACCAGCGTCCACTTGCCTCCGTTCGCTCTCAGCAGGGGAGCCAGCTCTTGAGCTCCCTGCGTGGGATCGTAGTTGGAGCTGAATACAGGTCGTGGAGAGGACGTGGCGGTCATGGTTTTGCGAGATGTGGTGAAGTGGTAATGGTGTTTGGGGTGGCAGCGCTTGGACGAGGCGTGCTTGAGGAGGGAAGAAGAAGCAGAAGAGAGTGAGAAGTAGTGAGGACGCATTTGAGCTGCGTTGAGAGAGGAGTGAAATACCTTGGTGGGGTACCTATCTGGGTGTGCCATTCCATGCGCGAGGCCGGGGATGGGACTTGGGCGGATTGGGAGCGGGTCTCGTGATCTGCATGTGATCTACCTGCCCATGGGGACGGATGTCCTGGTTCTCGGGGGTTTTCTGTACCTTTGGAGACGAGCAATTGCGTTATGTACTACTCTGTGAAGGCCGGTAGCTGTTAATCTTGCAGAAATAAATCGCTCCAAGCCTTTTCGGATCCTCACCAATCGCACTGAGAAAGTGTCCAAGCGAGAGAAAGCATGTTCAGAAAGCCTACTTTCTCTAGGTATATTGGCTAGGTAGATTGAACTTGTACAGACTCTGTCTATCAAACAGCCTTCCGACTACAGCTCCAACCAATCCCTCTATCGTCACAAATTAAGGCCAACTCAGCGTCATGAGCACTGCGGAATATGCATACTTTACCCACCACGCAATGCGATTCACCTCCACGTCTGGTATCATGACCGGTAACACCCAAAGAGCTATCACAATCAACGTCTTGCGTTTGAGTCTCAGAACCGCGTGAGGTTCCCATACTTTGGTGCGAGGGAGTCACGGATCAAGGATCCATGGCTCGCGACTACAAGACAGTCCAAGTCAGCAATCATTCGAATTCTCTCATACTACCGAAATTTCAGATGTGACAGTATGAGGGGAGCGGGAAGCAAAGAAGCAGGAAGCGAGAAGCGGGATAATCAATAATTACCAGTGTCCACACATAATCTTGTCATCCTCTCGGAGCTCCACCGTCAGGGCGAAGCACACTCGGTGGACATTCTTCCCACATTGCTTCCGGCACCACACGATGTCCTCGCCCTCTTCGAAATCCATCAAGCAGGTCCAGCAGGGGTCGTCGTCGAGGGGTCTGCGTTTGACGACGCGGATGGCTGGTGGCTGGCAAGCAGTTGGCTGCTTGAGCCGTTCAGCCGGCACGGGGATCTGGGGAGCAGGAGCAACTTCTCTGGCGGGATTGCGGGCGGGAATGATGGGTGCTGCAGCCGGAAGGTCTGTAAGCCGGGCTTCGAATCGAGGTCTACGTTCCTCTCTGGCTGCCTCTTGATCCCGAACAAAGCCAGAAATTCTATCCGCCACTCCTCGGATGTCGAGGTTGGGGCTTTGTGGTGGTAGTCCCTGTTGAGGATTGGGGTTGAGCTGCAAGTGTGCTCCGGCTGGGTGTGGAGGGGGGTGGTACTGTTGTGCCTGGTCTGGGACGAGTCTGGTCTCGTGCTCAGATTGGGCATCGATTGTTCTACGATTGATGTAGTGTTGAGGGACACGGTCTGGCACTGATGGGTCAGACACGACACTCAATTCTTGTCGCTGGTCATCACGTCGTCGTCTTTCTGCTGCATCAGCCGCAAGATTGACACGAGCAGGTCTTGGCTCTGGCTGAACTGGTAGCGGAGCGGGTGCAACTTGAATAGCCTGTGGTCGAGGTGGACGAGGTGTTGAAGCTGGGCCTTGTTGAGGCAGTTCCACCCGTAGAGCAGATCCATGGGGAGCTGGCAGAGGGATAGGTTCTTCTTGAGGCTGAACGGGAGGCAATCGTATCCTCTGAGCTCTTGTCCTATCCCCTCTCACACTCGAGGCCAGCTTCGCAGCAACAAAAGCCTCGATGGCCTCTTTCCACGTCGTACCAACGGTGTCAGCCTGCGAGCGAGCTGGATTCTTGTGCCATCCCGGACAGCTGGTAAGTGTTGCCATCTGAATAAGTTCCCGTTCCATGCGCTCGCTCACGCCGTTAGAGGTAACATCGACCTGTGCAAAAGCGTCGAGCATCTGACAAACTTGGACTTTGCACTCCTTGCTAAAGAAGGTCTGGTAACATCGCCTCGGTAGCCCTCGAGGAACTCCTCTTTGCTTTCTTGGGGTGACCCAAGCGGTACATTGAATGAAGTCTTCGGAAAATTGGACCCCGAGAACTTCTCGAGGGTCCCAATAGACGGTCATCTCGAATAATCCTGTGGTCGAGATCGGATGTATGATTATGCTTATGAGGAGAAACAGATCTGGAAAATCCAGAAGGACGCTCTTGAAGAAGGCAGGAGGTTTTCATATTCAGATCTGTAACTTCCTTCGCCTAAAGCCTTTGTTGTCGTGCGACTCGATGCCACGCGAGAAGCCTAGTATCTTCCTCCCGCCTTTGACGAAATCAAGTTGCAGCTCAGACAGTTTTAAAATTAACGAATATTGGTGACTTTCGACACATTGCTGTTATTCTCGATTAATTGAATATACTCATTTGGTTTTTGCGCTGATTTGATTTAGAACCCTACTTTTTTTTTATAAAATGCTGTATTATCGTTTTCAATATCTTTTTCATTTGACAACAGTTCGATAGCCGATGATTACTTTTCTTGCCAAAAGCCCTTGCTTGAGCTCCTACCTTAAATAGAAAGCACAAGGCTAGCAAGATTGCGCAAAAGGACATCGATGGTGGCAACGTGCGAGCGACGAAGAGAACAAGCTTGCAAAGGAAGAGGATGATAGATTGAATCCCAGGTAAGCGCAGGAAGAGACATATATCTCTTTTCCACAGCGTATTCTAGTTGTATCCGGAATCTCTACGTCGACCATAAATAATCGTGCGGCCATCAATAGTCAATAGGGGGAGTAACGGTTAGCAACTTAGCAGATCTGACAGCACCAGATTTCCTACTTGCTTTTTCCGAAAAACACGCATGAATACGGTAGATCCGTCCACTTCGATGTCGAGGTACGTACACCCCTACCACTGCCAATCTAATAAAAGGGGGTTTACCCCTCTGCCGACACGCTCTTGGACGTGGGGAAAAACGAGGAAAAGCATAAAAAGCAGCGAGGTCTTTTGCAGGTTCTCACGAGATCTTGGCAACTTTTTTTTCTTTTTTTTCTCAAAAATTTCCCCCTTTTCCTGCGGAGTAGATATCAAAAGTAATACTCAGCTGTCAAATCTCAAATCGTAAATCAATATAGGAAGTGAAGATGGTTGAGATATTATATATATACAGACGGATTGAATCTTTCGATTATAATTTGCATCTCTTCTAAATACTCGGTTTTGGCTCTCTTTCGTAGGTACTCACCAGAATTCGCCAAACGACCTGCTTCAATATTACTCTCCCCCCACCTAAATAAAAAGTAATACTAGGTCTTTTGTGGGCCGATTCCAAGGGGTATAGCAGGGGGTAAAGAAAGGGGCAGTAGTGGGGTATAGAAGGGTTTTAAGCAAATTGAAATAGAGGCCACTTAACATGACTCATCTTTCGTGTCGCTTGGAATTCTTTCTTTTTGCTTAGAATTCTTATGTACTCGACTCGTTTTCAATCTATTGATAGCCAAAATAGATATTAATCAGTTATTGAATTCACCGATTCCTTTATAAAACAGCTTTTCTGCGACTTTTGCTTTTTCTTAAACACCGAAAAACGATGTATGCGCTCTTTCGATCCGATCGAATTTGAATTAAAACTGCTTTCGATTGGGATATGCCTCGGATGGTTCGAAAGAGATATCAAAAAGAGTATTCATTTATTTTTCGATAAATTCGAATAGCTTGCAATCGGCCTTTACATATTAAAAAAAATCGATGCAATCGACAACCGATTATTTCGTAATAAAGTTAGTGAGCCTCGAAACTAGTTTTAGCTTATCTTTTTTAGATTCATTTCATTTAAAGTTATACTTTTTTTTGGCTCTTAAACTTCAATTACAGTAGCTGATTACGAAGCCGAAGCTATCAAAACGGAATTTTGATCCTTTGGAAAGGGAAAATGAATCGCGAAAAAAAGGGGGATTTTCGAATGATCTAGCGATAATTGCATAACCATAACGATTTGCTCGAAAAGCTATGACTTGATCTCGGAAACGTCTTTAAAAATTAGCCTTCTCGAACGAGATTTAAGCTTATGGAAGTGTTACGGTCGTGGCAGGTCTTGTGCATGGCTCCAAGGATTGGATGGTTATACTTAGGATTAGTTAGCCGAGGTCACATCACATCCCGCCGTAGGGCATTCATGTACCGGTACTCTCGGCCCTGTATTATAGTTTTTCCCTCCTCGTCTTTCTTTCACACTACTTAGCGTACAGATTGGTACCTACTACAATACTACCTTTGTTCAGCCGTAACAAGAAGAGCGTCTACAGAAAGCTAGGTTACTGTCATAATCGAGAATGATCTGGACGCGGTTCAAAAGATCGATATCGATTCGAATATTTATAATATAGATATTCGAAGTAATAGTGAGACTTGACGTCGCAACTTTAAAGGCCCTTTCTTAAAGTGGGCGAAACAATTATGTCCCGCGTCAAATGCTATCAAAATCAAGCGAAAATCTAGTAAAATTTACGATTCCAATCGCGTGCATCTTAACGAATATTAAAGCTATAATGATAAAAATAATATAGTAAAATCGAGACACTCGTAAAGTGACGATATTTGAAAGACTTATGTATCAATATATGTTATAAACTACAAAAGAAAAGAAAATGTAGATTTCCAGGAGGATTATTAATCGATATTTAAAGATTTAATGCGCTTGCATCCAAACATAAAAAATGAAGCTATGATAATAAAAATTATATAACTAAATCGGCATACTCGCAACGTATCGATACATCAAGATTTCATATATTGATGTAAATTATCAAGCGTATAATTGACGGAAATAAAAGTTTTTAACGCTTTTTAAGAATTTTAACCATATGAATGCAGCAAAATCAAGCGGATCTTTTATTAAATAATAATATATTAGAATCCGAATAACACGTTAATCAATCATACTAAAGTATTAAAAACTAATAGCTTCCTATGGTCATATTATTCTACCAAATGAATTTTTAATTAATAAGCTTTTAGTATATTAAAAGAAATACATAATAATTTAATTTCCGACGCGGGACATAATCGTTTCACGGGACATACTAGTAGTAGTAATTGTTTCACGGGACATAATTGTTTCGCTTACTTTAAGGAAGGGCCCCTAAAGTTGCGACGTCAATTCACACTATTAGCCTTTTGAAAAGTTTCACGGTATAATTCATAACGGAAAAAAGCAGATCAAAATTTTTCGTAAGAAAAAGAGTAAGGTTTAATGGATTCGAAAAAGCATAACCATATAATATTATTGTAAGTATAAACTTAATCGAAAACAAAAAAGAGAAACTCGATTAACTTACGTAGTAGCAGCATGATACAGCAAAGCTTCTTGGTATCGATCGTTCGAAACGCAAAATAATTTATATCGGAAGAATATTTTAATGATCGATTAGCTTTTTTGTTTTTTGGAATTGAATTTAATCGAATATGTTTAGAGTAGAATAAAAAAGTATACTTAAAAACATATTTTCTGCTGGATCGCCGGTAGCGTCGTTCATTCCTAGCGTGCAGCGCACGTAGCTTCTTGCAATTGCAAAACTGTTAGTAAAAATAGTATCTGATTTCTGTCTGCTCCTCAAGGTTCAAGGGGGTGGATTACTTCTATACGATTGAAAGGAACCACGTGGACTAGGTAGCTACTACGTATATAATAGTACTACTATTTACACGGAAGTTGGGGGTCCCTGAGGGTATGCCACGCTAAGCGAGAGATGCCCATGTAAGCGAGGCATGCTCATCCGTAACCGAGCTGACCCCAACCAAGCAGGGTCGATATTGATGTACTGACATTTTCTATCTATTCACAACCCTTAATCGATTTCTTTTCAAAGACTACGAAAAAATATATCGAAAGCCACAAACGCTATTCATAATAGCTACTACTATATCGAATCTTTATACGAATCGTGGTAAAAGCGTTATCAAGCTAGTAGTATAATCGATGCTTAAGAAAGGCCAACTCTATACTGTACTAGATAAAATCTCAATCGGTGGATGTTTTCTTTATTCCGATTAGCTTAAAACCCTTGTATACTTTACTACTACCCCTGCTGTACCCCTTGCTACCACGGTACAGGCCTAAGTATTACCCCTCGATGGTGCCTCAAAAGTTTAGTTTCCACTTTAAGCCCCCTGGTTTCCCTACCCTCGAGGGGTAATACTTACGCCTGTACCGTGGTAGTAGTATATGCCCTGGAATCGGCTCTCAAAAGACGCAGTATTACATTTATTTAGTGGGGGGGTGGGGGGGGGGGTGGAAGAGTAGTGGATCATGATTTCGCAATGCCTTAATACTACTACGTACTACCGTGAATTGAGTGCCGCTCTAGGCCATCCAATAATGCTTCCCTTGTGCGCGTTAACTTTAAAGTATAAAAGAGCCGGGCCGTCGGGAAGGAGAAGAAGCTTTTCGCAAAGTCGGTCTGTTGCAAGATCTCGAGGGGATGTACGGAGTAGATTTCAGAAAACAGCGAGTTAAGCGCCCTATTGATTAATTACTCCGTATTCTCATGATCTGCGGTATGCAAGAAGTGACGCAAAACATCTACCTCTTTTTTTTTTTTTTGACCCATATTTTTCGTATGACTTCGATGCGCTCTATGACTTCAATTCGAGCGCTTGAATATCGATAAGAAAGAAATATGGTAGAGTAAGAGTACCTAGAGACTACTACAAGATTACGGCAAGATTACCGCGAGACTATTGAACTTAGTGGCAACCCGACTGTATGGAGAGTCAGGTCATAAGGTGACTTTACGGAGAAGTTGTGCGGATTTGTATACTGTAGGGCAGCGAAACGGCTTGTACAACCGGGGACCGAGCACCCCCTTTGTTTCTACTTACAATTCGGGCCAGGCTTTACAATTCGGTGTTGAATCAGACGAGCTCTCCACGAGTCTTATTCCCCGCTTCGGAGATTTATCAACAAAAAAGGCAGTTCGCTACATTTATTCCACCAACCGTTTAAGCTTCAAAAAGAAGGGGCTGGGTTCCCTATGGACGGGTTTCTCGTTTAACTTCCGGACGAAGTTCTTCCTTCGTCGCCCTTGAACATACCACTACAGTAGGTTGTAGGAGTATAACATGTTTCCTACGGTCCCTTCAGATGAAGGAGTTTTTCCCTCTCCAGCACTTACTTCGCTATACGTTCATTGGGGTTTGGCAGCTCTTAAAACGATCTAAGTATGAAATTCCTCAAATCTTTTTTGTTGGCTGCTGTCAATCTGCCCTCGTTTGTCTTCGCGGCCTGGGGCTACACGGATAATGGAAGTGCATATGTCATTGGTAAGTCTTAAGTTCCAGATCGATCTGCCTACTTGCTTACGATTGACAGACACTGGAACCGCTCTTGTGTTCGCAGTGTCAAAGAGTAACGGAGACATCACTTCCATGAAATACAATGGTGTAGAGTACAACGGCTATGGGGGAAAGAACTCGCACGTGCAAAGTGGCTTGGGCGCATCTACCGTGACCATCCAACAATACACAACACCGGCGAACATCATCAAGGTGACAGTGGTATACGGTACCCTGATTCAGACATATATCGCAAGATATGGTAACGCCAACATTTACATGCTCACCAATAAAGGAGATGCCTCCGTTCCCGCTCTTCGCTACATCGTCAGAATCCCGCCAGGACGTCTTCCAAGGCCTCTTACAGATTCGGATTACTACGACCCAGGCTCTACAATCGAGGCTTCAGATATCTCTTTGAGCAGTGCAAACGGTTACACGAAATCGAAGCATTACCAGGGAAGCAACTACGGACGTACGATCGACTATGACTACGTGGGAAAGTCCACTTCAAGTGTCGGAGTGTGGCTCATCCGATCAAACCGTGAAAAGGCTTCAGGTGGACCATTCTTCCGATCTTTGACCCGTGGGTGCTCCCCGGATGCAGAGGATCTCTATGAGATTCTTTACTACAACATGGGTACAACTGATCCCGAACGCTGGGGCTTGCAAGGTCCTTACGGTATGTCATTGGAGAGAGAGTCTGATATTTTCTTTCGGATTAAGCCCATCTTATCCTTCTCCCGAAATAATTATAGCAAGGTAGTTACTGACTTCCCGGTGTCGTATAGTTCTCTCCTTCACCAACGGCGCTACCCCTAACACTGCTCTATTCGCTCGCAAAGCTGATGTAAGAACAACCGGTTTCCCCCTCTTTCCAGTGTATCCAGAATAACCTGCCCCTGAGACTAAGCCCGAGACACTCGAGTACGAAAGTTTGCTAACCTCTCGACTACCCAGTGGTCTTGGATGGACACGCTCGGTATCAAGGGATGGGTGCCCAATTCTGGTCGAGGAAGCGTTGCCGGTGTTGGAATCGCAAACATGAAGTCCGGCTACACCTACGTCGCAGCTCTCTCGAACTCCAACGCTCAGTATTGGGGAACTGCCAATCCAACTACAGGAGCTTTTAGCATTGCCAAGATTCTTCCTGGCACGTACACGTTGACGATCTACAAGGGCGAACTCGGAGTCTATACTTCAAGTGTCACCGTTACTGCCGGGGGAAAAGTAGCACTGAACACCATCACGCCAGCCGACGTATCCGATACCGTGGCCATCTGGAGAATCGGAGAGTGGGATGGAACACCCAAGGGCTTCACCAACTTCGACAAGACCCCTATGCTGCCAACATACATGCACCCTTCCGACAAGCGACTTGCATCATGGAACCCGCCCAACTACATCGTCGGCACCTCAACTGCTGTCGGCTCCATGCCAGGATACATATGGTCCGACGTCAACAATGGGCACCTGATCTACTTCAAGCTCTCGGCCGCTCAAACCGCAACAGCCCACACGGTCCGCATCGGCATCACCCAAGCCTACATCAACGGCCGTCCCCAGATCAAGATCAACGGCTGGACGAGTAGCATCCCTTCTCCGTCCTCGCAAGCCTCCACCCGCAGCTTGACGGTGGGAACCTATCGCGGCACCAACGCCATCTTCACTGCAAGTCCCCTCGCCTTCCTCCCACGATCCTCTCCTGTCCGCTCTAACAGATCTCCAGTACAACGTCCCAGCGTCGGCCTTCTTGGCTGCCGGTACCTTCAATGTCATGACCATCAACGTCGTCAGTGGCAGTTCGGGCACCGGCTACCTCAGCGCGGGTATCTCGATCGACGCCATTGACTTTCTCTGATTCTACCAGGAAGAAGACGTGGATGGGTACCCATGGGATGGGGTGCCACACACCGACTCCTACCTTCATAATTCATTTCCTTTCTTATGTATCTCTTGACCCTTGGGTCTCCGGAGGTCTATTCCTTTCTAGTTCTCCGCTATACCTGTACGGACGGACATATTTCAGTCGCCATGAGTTGCACGTTTCAACGTTTCAAAATTACGAATTTTATTTTCTCCGTCTCATCTTTAATTTAATTCAAGGCGATGTGCGCCGACTCTCAAGCTCAGCTCGAGTTCTTTCTGCGTTGGTGATGTGTTTTCGTCAGTCTGTACGGGGAACTAAATCCCATTGCCAAGTAATTGGGTGGTGATGGATGGCAGTGCTGACGGCTTCCTTTCCCTCGCTTACCTATGGGGCCCTGATAGGGGGCGCCTGGGTGTGTCATTTTTTCCATTCATATGTTTAGCGTCTGAATGTACGACGGTGAACATGGTGTTTCGGTCGTCTGTATTTATTCTGGGGTGTTTCTGTACATATCTACTTCGTTTTGGGGAACGGTGGGAAGGGATATCGAAACCAAACCAAGACGAGGAAGAAAACTTTAGCCATCGCAATTATCATAATTTACAACCAGGTAGCTCACTACCCGATACTTCGTACATGAAAAAGCTGCACTGGACGCCAAAACCGTTTCGAATCGCTTGAAGCACACGTCCAACTCCCTTAGCCAAACCAAAACGCACACGCGAACCGTCACGAGAATGCGAAAACCCTTCCGAAATGCAAACCCCTCTCTTGCCCTCGACAAGCAAAAGCACCGAAAAGGGCATCAGCGCTCATCTCTTGAAATAGTCAGACATCGAAGTCTTCTTGTCCCCATTCATGTTCTTCCCAGCCTTGGCGGCGAAATCCATTGCCTTGTTCGCGAGCCCGCCAAGTCCGGATTGCTTCCCTCCGTTCACACTCGCGTTGGCATTCTCGTAACCGTTTTGATACTGCTGTCCCTGCGGCTGGCCATACTGCGGCTGTCCATACGGCTGCTGTTGATACGGCTGCTGATACGGTTGCTGCTGGTAATACGCCGGCGGTGCCCCACCACTGCCGCTCATCTTCTTGTCGTCCTGCTCATAGTAGTTCGGGTTCTGATCATTGTATGATTTGATTTCACCCTGGCCTTGGGGAGGCGGCGGAGGAGGAAAGTATTGCTGCTGTTGGTTTGGGTGTTGGTTCGGGTAGTTTGAGGGAGGAGCGTAGTTCTGGTTGTAGTTGGATGAGGAGGCGGCCTGCTTTTCGGCTTGGCGGCGCTCGTTTGATTTGGCGATTTTGTTGACGGCGTAGATGCCGGCGCCACCTACGATGGCGGTCTTGATGAGGCCCATAGTGTGTTGAGTGTTGAGTGTTGGAGAATTTGGGTGTTAGAGCTGTATTGGCGGGAGGTTTCTGACTGGTATCGTTTAGGTAGGTGAAATGAGAGTTGTTGCTGGCAAGATATTCTACAGGATTCAGGTGATTCTTGCTTGCATGAAAAGAAAACTCGGGAGCCCGGATGAGCCTATCTTATAGTAGAAGTTCGATGTTTGAGGAAGTCATGGCGCAGCTGCTCATTCGGATCCATGCGCTGTTTTGATTGGAAGACTCGTTTAGCAGCTCGTGGCCAAGCAGACGTCTGACATTGAGCGTGTGCCACTGCCGTGAGTTATAAATAAATAACAACATATTTCTGATGTATATATTCAGCGCCGGCAACCTCGCCGAAACACGGTAGGCGAAGCATGAGATCAGTTGGCACCAGGCCAGAGCCCTTGAGAGAAAAGAGAGAAAAAAAAAAAAGACAAAATAGCAGAGACGTAGAAATATATATGATCGTCGGCTACCATGAATTTGATTTGTAAAAAATCACGTCCTGGCGCAGGGACAGTAAAATTTGCCCCTTTATAATGCATAGAAAATCAACCTACTATTATATCGTAAGTATTTATGTATAGAAAGATATAACGTTTTGAGTTTGATACTAATCAAATAATCAAGTTTTAATTATAAGTTGTTATTCTTTTATTGTGTTGGGTTAAAGTAGTAAAAATAGTACTTTTAGTATACTTTTATTGTACTTTTCGACTCCTACTGGTCCGTGCATTGAAGGGAGTATATGTCAGAATTGCCGTGTTAATACTAGAATAAGCGAAGAACACGAAAATCGGACTTTTACTAAAACCTATTAAAAGAATACGTGTACCATCGCTAACTCTTATTTAATAGTTAATGCTTTTTGTAATATGATAGATTAGATCATTCATTTTCGATCTGTGGAACATTTTTTCTTAATTAAGGTTGTGTATGTTAAGATATCTGAAGCAGACATGTAAAATTGAATTATTTAGGATAGCTTTTGGCTATATTTTCACTATATTTTAATGTATTTGGTCACCACAGATGAGTGCATCTCTATATTCTTAATTCACGTCTGCAAAGTAAAGTTTTCTGAGCTTATAGATATTTCTTTCTTCTTTTTTGTATTAGTAGTTGTTCTTTAATAGGCGGTATACCGTTACTGTCCCGCCTTGGTGGTGCGACAGGACGGGATTTTTTACAAATCAAATTCAAGGTAACCGACGATTATAACATAAAAATTCGAACCCTCTATCTTCCGTAGACATTCGGTTTTTGGAGAGCTTCTTGATAAGATCCGACCATGGCAGGGGATGGATAGACAGTATACGTGTTATGTTCTACACTTATAGTTGGTTGCAGAACACATCGCTCTCCCTCTTCGAAGTATCCTTGATGAGATAGGGTATTGACTTGAATCTTCCCCGTGTTTTTATATGTCATATGACGCGTAGGGATCAAAGCGTATTCATTACTGCAGGACGGAATGCAATTTAACAGGTCATGGCCTGGCCGGCTTCCCCATGGCTGACCGACAGGAAGCCATTCCCAGCAGGAAAAGGTAGCGATGGCCCGCCTCCCTTAGTTGTAATACCTATAGCAGCGAACTCAGCTTCGCATTGACGAGGGGGAGCACTGACTGAATGAAGAACGCCGAGTACAGGTTGAACATTGTTTTCACGATACGGAGTACAGTAGGTTGTTCATGAAGTTGCAGGGCAAAAAATGTCCAGCCACGCAATCCGGAGTGGCTCCGCCTGGGGCTCAACTTGGGGGTAATAGAGGTTCAGTCGGTCAAAATCCCGATAAATCCAGAGATTCAGATGTTTAGATGTTGAAATGTTCATCCGATAAAAAGAATCTGGGACGCAAGTCAATTGCGTGCTTGTCGTGTTCGCTCGTAATTGAATATCCGACGAGCGAAAATATCGAAGTGAAAAGTGAAGCTACAAAGAAGTTGCAGGGGTCTGATCTCCCGACGTTTGCCGCGCCACGATACCTCCCTACTCGTCGAAATACCCATCTGCATATCTATTTCGAAACTGACCTACATATGCCTTCCACCTCTTCCCTCCTCCCACCTCTTTTCTCCTCCCACCTCCTCCCTCCTCCCTCCTCCCTCCTCCCTCCTCCCCACACCCTCATCCCACCGCAAAACCATTCCGTTGCTGAAACAAGATATATTAAGCAGCCATGGCAGACGAGAACCCCGACCGCATCCTCTCTGAGCCTCCGGACTCATCAAATACCCAACGCGACGGGACTGGAAGCACCGGGACACCACCACCACCACCCAATGTCACGGCTACTACCACTGCCAGCACTGGCGACGACGTGTCTCCTGTCAATGGCGACTCGAGCACCGATTCTGCGCCCCCGCCAGCTGTCGATCCAAATGCAAAGGCCGTACACGAAGTCGTCAACTCGGAAATTGGAATATCGACCCTCTTGAATCGTCTCAAGCAGAGCATAGCTTCCGCAAAAGTAAGCCTTTTCCACCCCTTGAATCCTGAAGGCCTTCGTGCTAACCAGATTCCCTAGGAGTTTGCTACGTTTCTGAAGAAGCGTGCAGCCCTTGAGGATGAACATTCGAACGGGATGAAGAAGCTTTGCAGGGTTACAGCGGAGAGCATTCGGAGACCAGACCACCGGCATGGCTCATTTCTACAATCTTATGAAGAGGTCATGACGATTCATGAGCGCATGTCAGATAACGGGGCACAGTTCGCAATTTCTTTGCACCAGATGCACGACGACCTGGGGGAGATAGCCACGAACATGGAGCGGGGACGCAAGCAGTGGAAGACGACTGGCTTGACAGCTGAACAACGAGCTGCCGACGCAGAGGCAGCTATGAAAAAATCCAAAGCCAAGTATGACTCGTTGGCTGAGGACTATGATAGAGCCAAAACTGGGGACCGTCAACAGACCAAGAAGTTTGGCTTGAAAGGGCCGAAGTCTTCGGCACAGGTTGAAGAAGACCTATACCGGAAGTTAAAGGCTGCAGATGAGGACTATGCGTCAAAAGTGCAAACGGCACAGAATCTGAGGTCGGAATTACTGGCAAAGACAAGGCCTGAGACTGTGAAAGCCCTCGAGGACTTGATCAATGAATGCGACTCGGCGTTGACACTTCAAATGCAGAAGTTTGGTAGGTGGCAGTTCTCAAAAGACGGACACCAAGGTCTAACCTCGCTCCAGCATCATTCAACGAGAAGCTCCTTCTCAGCAATGGACTCAATATCAGCCCACTCAAGGGAAATGAGTCCATCAGCAAACCTCGTAGTCTTCGGGAAGTTGTCCATGCTATCGACAACGAGAAAGACCTTAGTAAATATATTAGCGGCTTCGCCAGCCAGGTACCTCCTCGGACCTCGGAGATTAAATATGAAAAAAATCCGGTATGTTACATTCCGAAATTTTCCTGACGTATATTGACTAGCCCTAGGTGTTGAACAACCCAGCGCCAGCCCAACGTCATTCAGATACTACCGCGTCTTCTAGATCGCAACAACAAGGCCTACCACCCCAGTCTATGGGAGTGACTCAGTCATCACAGCAGACACACATGAGCCACCCGTTCAACCAGCATCCGCCCACGCCTGCACAAGGACCTAATTCTTCAATGCAGCAGTACGGTACAGCACCGCCTGGAGGCCCAATTCGTGGTACATCCTATGGTTCTGGCCCTATGGGCTCCAGTGGTCCCCCCCAGCTATCTTCTCTCCCATTCCAAAACTCGCCACCTCCTTCCCAGCACCAGTCCTATCACCCGTCTGCTGTAGCTACTCAAGCCCCTTACTCCGGACCTCCTCCCACTCTCAGTATAGTCAATCTACCACCACTAAAGCCGGTCTTCGGTTTGAGCCTGGAGCAGCTGTTTGATAGAGATGGGTCGGCAGTACCTATGGTCGTATACCAGTGTATACAAGCCGTGGATCTTTTTGGACTAGAGGTCGAGGGCATCTACCGACTTTCTGGAACTTCTTCACATGTATCCAAGATCAAGGCACTGTTCGATAATGGTAATTCTCATCTTCGAATTTCTCACTGCGAAGCTAATATGCTACAGATGCCTCAAAGGTAGACTTCCGCGACCCTGCAAACTTCTTCCACGACGTGAACAGTGTTGCTGGTCTTTTAAAGCAGTTCTTTCGTGATCTTCCTGATCCACTGTTAACTGCTGAGCACTATGCCGGTTTCATCGAAGCTGCCAGTCAGTATCTACTTTTCTTCTTAGCCCCATGTCACTAACATGCTACAGAAAATGAAGATGACATAGTTCGCCGCGACTCGTTACACGCCATTATCAACAGTCTTCCGGACCCCAACTATGCGACGCTTCGCGCACTGACATTGCATCTCAACCGTGTCCAGCAGAACTCGCCTGTAAATCGGATGAACGCTAGCAATTTGGCCATCGTCTTCGGACCTACTCTTATGGGTGCAAGCACTGGACCGAATATCCAAGATGCAGGCTGGCAAGTTAGGGTCATCGATACGATACTTCAAAACACCTACCAGATCTTCGATGATGACTGAGTAGTCGAGCTTTGATTTGGACGAGCGAGAGACGCGGATTTATTGATGTAAATTACGGCTGGTTTTGGGTTTCGGAGCGACGCGACTACCAATGAGAGCAGTCCGGTTTGGGCAATTCAATAGTGAAGTTTGGTTTGAATCATGTCGTTGGTATTGATTGGGCTTTGAGTATCTTCGGGAGTGGCTCTATCATCCCTGTTCTGTAGCTACCTGATTTAGGTAGGGCATTGGTTCTAGTTGATCAGCTCAGTGATACCGTATCAGTTCACGGCACCGAGGAAGACCAACTAACAGGCGTCTTTGAAGAAGGAAATGGGTTCAAACACAGATAGGACTCACCCGCGACGAGGTAAAGCAGTGAAAATAACCAACCGTTCTCCGTACAATCAGAGACTGGGAATTGTGAGGAGAGAAGCGAGTGAGTACCTAGACCGGACAAGAGTGGATGTGGGTGGAAAGAGAAGAAATCGATCCCGGTCAATCTAGTCATGTGGCCAGTCATGTGGTTTCTTGCCAGGATCAGCTCTTGAGCTAGACCTCATTATGGTGCAGGCCTGCGATTAGCTTTTTCTCTGTTCTTGGTTATAGAAAAGGCCGCGACATCTTCACATTTTCCCACCATTATCGTCTCATTGCTCTGAGTCGGCGGCTTGACACTTACTTCTCTCATCTCCTGCAAATTCTATCCGCTTGTCTTCCAAAGCTTCAACATGAGCCAGCCATCTACCCAGGCAAGCAATGCCATCATCTACCTTACTTATGGTGGCTTCCTGTACGTACCTCCATCTCGGACCTCAGCGTTATTGAAGATAAGTAGGATATTGGGATGTTACGGGAGCTGACCAAACATGCAGAGTGATGGGCTGCTATGTCGCCTGGAAACTTCGCCACCAGACAACGGTAGTTTCATCTCGAAGAAAACACCTCCAACGAAGCTCACGATGAACCAGGGCGAATTTCTCTCCTCCAACAGGACTCAAACTGGTTAGAATACAAAGCCTTCGTCACCACAGCTTCGGCTATCACGTGACGATGATCCTCGAGACTCATCCCCTTTCATAATGAACTCAGGCTAATGTGAGACAGCATTGCCTTTGGCTTTGAACTTCATCGCGGCTTGTTAGTACTCCGCTTGTAACAATCATGGAATCAAAACGCGGCAGCCGATCAGAACGCCCACCCAGCAAACGCAAGCAATATAGATGAGTGAGAGATCTTCAATAGAAGACTAGTGTGAAGAGGTTCGTATCTTACAACATCGCTGGTCCTTCTTTTCGGCTCTCTCTCTCTCCATATCTTCTCGGGATACAGGTAGAGAGTGTTTGAATCAGAGGACCAGCGCGGCTTCACTACGGGCGCGGATTCGACACAGCTACCAAGGATCCAACTCTCGAACAAGAGAGATCCCCGGTCCTGTGAAGAAGAAGCTGAGATTGCACCGTGAATACTCGATCAAGTTAATGCTTGCGTGGGAAAGTGTCTGCCGCTTTGAATCCCCCCCCCCCCCTTCCTCTTCAGAGCCTCAGCTAATCTAGATTCTTCACCCTTTTCAGCCCTCGGATCCAGCATCCTCTTCTCTTATCCGCAACTTGCAACCATCGTTGGTGTTCAGGGCGTGATCATATATGCTATCTCATCAGCTGCCCCATTGTTGGTCTTTGCATTCTTGACGCCGATCATCAGGAAAAAGTGTCCTGAAGGATTCGTGTTGACGGAGTGGACGAGGCAGAGATATGGCGTCGTTACGGCCATCTATCTATCATTTATGACGATGGCTACAATGTTTTTGTATATGGTGGCTGAGCTATCAGCGCTACAGCAGATTATGACTGCGTTGACGGGGATGGATGGGCTTCCAATGGTTATTGTGCAGTGTGCGGTGACTACTATTTACACATGTAGGTATCCTTTACCTGGATTTTGCTCAAGACTGACAGTTTAAAGCTGTCGGAGGATTCAAGATTTCGTTCATCACGGATAACATTCAAGCTACAATGGTTATCAGCCTTAGTAAGTATCTCCTCCCTTCTTCTCTGAGGCTTGAGAAAGACACTGGTTCACACGCTTCTAGTTATCATCGCCACAATTACCATCGGTGTCCAGACTAAAATCGATAAATCCCTCAGGGACAATTCCGTACTCCTCGAGCCCAGCAAACTGGGCTGGCAGCTTCTCTACATTCTCCCGGTATCTATCATCACCAACGTCTTCTTCCTTTCCAGCTTCTGGATCCGTGCCTTCGCCGCCAAGACCGACAGGGACCTCTGGACTGGAGTTACCATCGCCACGCTCGTCGTCCTAATCATCTTGACTCTCGTTGGTGTCACAGGCCTTATCGCAACTGTACGTGCACCCTCTTCCTCGTCGTGGCTCTTCGGATCCGAAATTTCATAACCGCATTCCTCGACACCAAAAATTTAGACATTTGAAAGCTCACATGTATGTAGTGGTCCGGGGCCTACGATCCTACCAACCCGGATCAAGACGGCAGCATAGCTTTCTTCCTCCTCCTTGAGAGCCTTCCCACGTGGACCATCGGCCTCATCCTCGTGATAGTCATATCCATGTCGACCGCGGCCTTCGACTCTATTCAGTCTGCCATGGTCTCGACGGCCTCCAACGACCTCTTCCGCAACAAGCTCAACATCTGGTTCATCCGCGCCTCTGTCGTCCTGCTCATCTTCCCCGTCGTCGTCATTGCCCTTAAGAGCCCCTCCGTCCTGCGAATCTATCTCATCTCTAACCTCGTCTCCACCTCGACCATCCCTGTGCTGGTGCTGGGACTGATGGATCGCTTCTATTGGTGGCGGGGCTTTGAGGTCGTAGTTGGTGGGCTCGGCGGATTGCTATCGGTGTTCGTCTTTGGGACGATTTATTTCGGAGATGCGGAGCAGGGTGCCAATCTCCTTATCATTGATAGTGGCTTGTTTGCCAATGATTGGAGCGTATTCGGGGCGTTTGTGGCGGCGCCTGTTGGGAGCATCTTGTGGGGGTTCGGTGCACTTGCTGTAAGGCTGGGTTACAGATTCGTCGAAGCTAAGGTCAAGGGCCATCGTTTCGATGCCTTGGATCGCCCTGCTTATATGCAGGAGCGGGCGGAGGGCGTGACCGACTATGTTGATGACCACGATGAGGTCCACAGCGATGCTCCGGCTGGACTTGTTGCTGTTGATTACAAGAGCAAGTTTTTCTAAGCGAGCAAGTGGAAATAAGGGGTTGTTGACTAAGACCCCAGCGTGGAATCTCGCATATTTTCTTGCTTGGTTGACGACCAAGAAGCAGTCGATATTGTGGAGTGAAGCGAGGAGTGGATGATGCGAAGCAGGGGAAGGGTGGTCTACATTTCCATGTGGTTTAGTGGATCTTTCGGATCCGGTGAAGATGTTGATCGTTAGAGTTGAAATGGAGCTTATATCGTCTTTGAAGTTATACTTGGTTACCATGCGGTCTTGATCTACATGCTACAAATCACCCCAGATTGTTCAGCAAAACACCCTTCTTATAATAAAGCGTATAATTTCTGGAGTGGAGCCAGGATTTGTCTTCTGAACTCTCTCATGTCTAGTAAGTACGTTGTACATAATCAAGTGCCTGCTCTTCAGCACCACATTTTCCTAGCCTAATGTACATTTTACAGCGGCCCCGAAATCCACACGCTCGAGATTTTCTTGCCACTGTGCCACCGCCGCAATGATCGACCCCTAATCAAGTATCCTGCCAGCCTTCTTGTCCCATTCTACCAAGTCCTCCAAAGTTGTCTCTTTCGTCGTCCCCCACACCTGCCACGGCCCCTCCGACGAATCCCTCATAATCCTCTGCAAGACCACAAACTCCGTGACGTCCTTCTCCCTCCCACTCCCATCCACGACCTTGCCCCCGACCGTCCTCGTCAGGCGCTGCCTACTCCTCACCCTCACAACAGCCTGTCTCACGGAATTCCCCTCTAGCTGCATCTTGCCCCCGCGATGAGAAATCACCTTCGGCCCGCCCAGATATTTCACCAGCTCCCACTCGACCCTCTCGCTCCTCGGGCGACTCGCAATCCGCGCCCGGAAGCTCTCAAAGATGCCATCGGTGCAGATCTTGCGCAGCGCCGGCAGGTTGCCCTCCGCGAACGCCGTGTACATCTGCTGGTGCAGGGCGAGGGCCGTCGGGGCGATGGCGCGGCGCTGGATCTTGAGGCTGCGGTTCCAGAAGCGCCGGCCCTGCTCGCGCGGGGACGTGGCCCAGAGGACGTACATCGACACGCGGTCGCGGAAGCGGATCTTCAGGTGTCGCCATAGCAGGCTGGCGAAGACTCGGGGGGTCTTGAGCGGGCTGGGGTAGTTTCGGCGGGAGGGCGTTACGAAGGTTTCTGCAGGGCGCCGGTTAGTTCGTAGGCTGGTGCTGGGAGGGAAACGAGTGAGAGAAAGAGGAGGGAGGCGTGCCTTCAAGCAGTCCAAAGTCTGAGGCCAGCGTCACTTGGCCCGCCTGTTCTTTCTGGGCGACTCGGAGACTTCTCTGTGGTGCTTGCCGGGGCAGCTGCTGCTGGCTTCTGTCTTTAGGGAATTGGCGGAGGGGAGTCTGAGAAAGACATCTTTGGGGAGCAGAGTGTAGGAAAGAGGAAGGCGATGCTCGTAAGGCTGTAAAGATCGGGCGCCGGAGGGATTGTACCATGGTGGGCGAGGACAATGGCGAGGGGATGCTATCGTGGTTGTCGCGAACATCCGAAGTTTTTTTTGGGAACAAATGATCGGCCAAAATGCTGGACTCCCAATGGCTGGGACTGTATCCCTGCAAGATTTTTCAGATTGGCGTCATCAGCGATTGTAGGAGTCGCGGCGATAATAAAAAGATATAGTGTCAGCCCAGCAACCTTCTCTTCATGCTAGCTTTATGTCCGGTGCTTTTTTCTAAAAAAAACAAAAAAACCACCCCGCGTACCTTGCAAGTATGGCTGTGGAACTCTCCTTTCGTACTATAACTCGACATCATCTTGGACCACAACACAACATCGAAATCCATTTCCCCTCTCGACCTCCTCGCAACTCCCCTTCCTAATACAATATACACACAAACCCAAGATCCGCTCTCCCGAACCAACTGCTCTCTGCGGTTCCCCTTCCACCTACCTACCTATCCACCCGACTGACTGACTACCCACCCTCGAAGTGTCCCCCAACTCCTCCTTTGCCCCCTACTCCATCTGCTTCCCCCCTCTTGCCTCTACTCCCCGCCGAATCGACACCCCGCGCGGCCAGACCACGCTCCCTCGGCCCCACGCCCTCGCGTCGCCGTTCTGCTCAGAGTAGAGAAGCGCTGGCACTTCCCTCTGCTATTCTACCGCGGCGCCAGCTGTGTGGTGTGATATGCGCTGACGTTTCTGCGGGAGTTGCTGCCGCTGGCAGGGGATCTGGAAGTATGGGCGTTGAATTGGGAGGTTCTTCTAGGGGGATGGGGGGGGACGGAAAACGCGCAAAAGAAGTGCAAAACATTGGGGGAAAAAAGACATAAGCTGTTACTTGGGAGTGCTGTTCGTCGGCATGGATCACTTTATACTTTACGACTGCCTAATGTCTCGCTGGTGCTTTACCCCTCAGACGATTAAAACCCTGTTCCGATATTCGAATTTGCAAGTTTGGGATCGAAACCGGTAAGGTTGTAGTGGGAATGATAGGAGCAGCAGGGCGAGATCCGTAGCTAGCTCCCTAAATACTGGAATCCGGGATGGCAGGCTTTAGGGGATGAATAAAATCACAATCAGACTCATGCAAATGATCGAGATTCGTGTATTAGTTCCATTATCATTGCCGAATCTACGCCCAGCCTGTGCAGATACAAGCAAGACCAGGCCAGACCCTCTGCTGAATACACATGTGCTGTAAAGAGCAAAGCAAAGCCCCAATGCAATAACAGCAGGAGCGCGGAAAGCAAGCATAAGACACCATCGTCCCACTAGAGCCCATGTCATCATTGCGTTCTTGTGAAGAATGCGGGTATCAATCGAAAACGCCCATGTTCGAAGTAACGTCGTAAACGAGACGAGGCAAGAAGTTGTGAAAGGAAAACGGCGGCAATCCGTGCAGACAGACTTCTATCGAAGGTTCTCGTGTGGGTGACGGCAGATGGGACAGGTATCGATTGGTCGCTTAGAAACCATGAACCTGGGACACGGATTGTGAGTTTTCTAGTCGTAGGCCGAGGGGGGAATAGCTGTACCTTGATAGTCTTGGCGTCAAGCTCCAGACCCTCTTTCTTGTCCGTAAGGAACTCTTGAACATCCTTGCGCTGGTCGCCCTGGAGCTGTATCACCTCTCCCATCTCAGTATCGACGACAATGGTGCCATTGCAAGCTATTCGGGATTAGTGATCGAGTTTCAAGTTTCCTGGTGATCTCGAGCTGCTCACCAAACTTCTTCTTGATGACCTTGAGGATCTTCTTCTGGTCGAATTTTTTGGGCAGACCTTGGACAGTCGTCAAAGTCTTACGACCATTGCGCTCTGTGGCGGACAACCGAGTCAGCAGGCACACGTGGCCTTGCGAGGAGGGGCTGTGCCGTGTACAAGGCGAGAAGTGGACTTACGCTGGATACGGATGTGGATGTAGTTCTGCGACTGCTTTGTTTCTCCGGTATCTTCGTCGGCTTCGGCGAAGGGGTCTGCAGAACGAGAGATGTTAGTTGCGGGTCCTCTGAAGCTCCTGCGATGAAGCTCCTGCGATTAGGCTTCTGCGATAGGATAGTAACTTAGGATAGGAACTGAGGGCTCGAAGGGAAGGGAAAGGTGAGGTTCCTGGAGGATCCGTGGCGAGCGCAGCCTTCTCGTGGGGCAAGCAAGCCCTGCTTAAGAATCAGGAGGGATAGGACTGACCGAAGGTCTTGAGGTTTTCGATTGACATAAACTCGGTAGTGTTCCTGTACTCTGGGCTGGGTTTGTTGTTGGAGGAGTTGAAGAGCGATACTGGTGTCGCTGGAGAGGAGTAAGGTTGTTTGTTGGAGGTGGTGGTAGTGGTGAGTGGAGATCTGGATGACGAAGGTTCTGCGAAGTTGAGTTGAGGTCGGAGGGGGACGTCGAAGGGTGGGGAGATGACTAAGCTAAAAGAACCGTCGGCCTCAGGCATCATCGACCGGATTGATCCTACAGGATGTGAGTCACTCTCTGATGCCATTCAGTTAATTATGAACTGACAACAATTGATCAACCTTCTCCGCTCGCATTGAATACGCGTTGGGATACTCCCAGGTTTGCAGATTTGACGTCACGTATTCGGGGCAGTTATAAAAACAGGCTTGCCCCATGAGCCAGCCTCACAGTCCAAGCTTATCAAAGTCCTTCGACAATTGTGATATGTTGTACAAGAATGGCGTGTTGAGCGTTGTCCATCATAGCTATCACAGGAGGTTACCAATTCCGGTACCCGCATAACAGGCTACTCAATACCTGCATGTCCTGATCTCAGATATTATTCATAGGAAACAAAGCCAACCAACCCTCTTTCTTGAGAGCGATCTATGGTCAATGATAGACTGAATACCATGCAAGCAAGCCGTCCAGATGCCAGGGCGTTTTGCAGAGTAGTATCCTTCCACTCCGGGCGCACACTCTCAAGCTTCTCAAGCTCAGAAAGACCTGCATCAACCGCGCGCACATGTTCTACAGGAACCTGTTATTATCGTACACCGTCACATCCTCTACCCTACGAAGAAGGTGCTGCAGCAGGCGCCTCGGTGCCAGTCGCCATTCCTGGGACAACTGGAGGAGGGAGGAAAATCGGTAGGTAAGTCTGTAAGACATGGTCAGTCATCCATCAGTATCAAAGCTCGAAGCAAAGCGTACCACAATGAGCGCCATGACTAGAAAACACACGTTAACAAATGTATCCGCTTGCAGAGGAAGGGATTCCCACTTACTTCCCATACCCACGGAGAAATAGGCTGGTTGACTCGCAGTTCTCTTCGCCTCTTGACTCTCTCCCAGCCAGTTCTGGATCGCCAATGCAAGAGATGCCCTACTCCCATCAGTATCCCACCATCCAGCCTCACAGATATGCTACATACCATCCGATGAACCTATTGCGCGTGAACATGGCAGCCATGGGCAGGGTGCTTCCTAGGGTACCGCTGATATCGCCTGGGGATTCTTTCGCGGTGGGAGTTTGGTATGGGATGACTTGAAGCTATTAGTTGATATTTCCGGAGGCTTTTTTTGCATGGTATTTGTAACATACTGAGATCAGCCCTCCGCATATCCTTCCTGCTCGACATCGTAGTGGTAGGCTTGGGCGAGGGTTGGCCGAAAAATGGTTGTTGGAATACGCGATGCGACTCGAGCTAGCTAATTGCTCAGGTCGGCGTGGGGGGACAGATGATTTAGCGTGTCTATAGTGTAACGGTACATTTTATCTTACTTTATTTTATTTTCGTATAATCTCGTTTATTTTCGTATATTTTCGTATAGTCTTGTATATTTTTATATGTCTTCGTATCTTTTGGTATATTATATACGCCGTATAGCAGAGTTCAAGCGCCTGATCCGCTGCAGTTGCCAGCCACCCGAGCCAGCGAAAGCCAGTCCGTGATGGGCCTGCAAGCCAAGAAATTTTAGAGCCCCCGTCATGAGCCTAGGTAAGCCTGGAAATATCCTTGCTTTGACCCTCCCCGGGACTCCACTCATCCATCGATAACAGACAGACTCCACCACGACACTTTGTACCACGATCACCACCACGACCACGACCACTTCCCCAATCGATCCCATCCGGCTTCGCATTCCGCCCTGCTGCCGTCGCTTACTCTTTCAAAACCTCATAAGCATATCCAAAATAACGAAATCGCATCTCCTTTGCCCCGACATGGACGAATCATGACCACGAGACCCAGTGTGGCCCGACAGCCACCTCAACATTCTCTAAGCTCGACAGGCCCTACTCAGAGACCTCCGCCGCTCCGGGCGCCCTCGCAGCAATTCTCTTCGTCTTCGCCGACCAGACGAGGCAATGAGTCGTTCGTGGACTTGACCTTCGAGGGGGGGGATGCCGCGCGCCCCAGGCTTGGGACCTCGCGACTGCGGGTCGAAATCTCGACAGACCCGAGGCAATCTGATATCAAATCCCCAAAACCTTTCTTGGCTGCTACTCCAACTTGGATGCCGACCCTTCCTCCGCGAGGCCGTCCACAGCTTCCCTTCGATGTACCGAGTGCTGGCCAGCGAGGCGCGCAAGAAGGCGGTCAGCAAGCAATCACTATAAAACCAATGCCTCTCCCAGTGCGGCCTGGACAGCATGCTCCGCCGACATCCGAGAAGCAAAGGCCGGTGCCAACAAGCACCACAGCTAAGAAGGATGCTCGCCCCAAACCATACAACCTGGAAGTTCCAGCAATCGCGCCTCATTACTCTCCTAACGGTATGTCACTTCGCATTAATCCATAGACTGCTTATACTAATCTTCTGAAGGTCATGCGGATTTCTACCCGTGGACAGGAAACCATCCGGAAGACCAGTTCTCCGAGACTGCCATCCGACAAGGCTATTTTGACAAGTCTCACACTTCCCAGAATGAGACCGGCTCGGCAAGATCTACTATATTTCCAGCTCTAAAGCATAAGAGCGGGCTGCAGACATTGTCGGCCGTATTCACCAATGTGCTTGCGCAAAGGCGGGCGCATGGACAGATAACTTCTGGCTCAACATTTAAACCTCCACCCCGAGTGACAGTAACCGACACAAAAAGGGAAATGTGGTTAAGGGACTTGGCGAACCCTACGATTTCTTTGCGCCGTCTCAGTCGCTCCATACCCCATGGGATAAGAGGGAAAGTGCTTTTGGACCAATCATTAAGCAAGAACATTCCTATCGAAAGAGCAGTGTGGCTAGCCAAGTGCGTCGGTGCAAATGAGTTGAGATCCTTCCGAAGAAAGGGTGCTAGTGGAACATTTGCCATGGGCGGCGAAGCCAAATGGATCCGAGACTTCACAGTTTGTGTCGAGCAATTTCTGGAGACTATTATCGGGACGTGTGGTGAGAAGGACTTCAAAGCCCGGATAGGTTATGCGTATGTTCCCTAGAGCTGCATGGACTTCTGGACTGATGGTGCTGTGCAGTATACGACTAGCGACAAATTTCCATGCTGAATATCTACTTGACCGAGAGCATTACATGGATTGGCTTGTTTCATCTTTGGAGAACAGCCCCCAGACAAAACTTCCCATGTGGCTCTTGGTTACTCAGATCTACTGGAAGGACCTCTTGAAATTCCGCAAATACGGTCGACGGTTGGTGGCTGCTTTGATGAACCAGCTGGCTGAGGTATGTCTTCGACAAGTCTGCAGCTCCATGATGCAATGCGTGATTTTTTAACGTCTTATTCAGACTCTAAATCATCCTGACCACGATCTCATGGCTCCACTCGTGGATAGGTTGAAGTTTCTCCTAAACGGTCTGATGACTTCCAACATTCATAACTTTGTCTCGCCTAAGGTATGGAATACACACAGGGATATTCTCATGGCCAACTTAGGCTCGGAAGACTTACTGCTCAAGTCTGTCTTGGGCGCTATTGATCGTAGAAATAGTCGTTTCGTCGCAGCAGGTGCTTCGAAGGAACCTAATTCTCGGCAACGTCTAATAGCCCTACTCGATGGTACTCTGTTCAAGCCCTCTTCGACCGATCTACCTCGATTGTGTTGGGACATCGACAATGATAAAGAATTGTTGGTTTCAACAGTGTTGAAGTGGGCAGCATCCTCTCATAGACCTGGACATGCTAAAGTTTACGTCGCTGCACGCATCCTCAGATCTTGGAGCAAGATTGGCCCTGATGTCACAGGGTCTATTCTCAAATTTCTCGATTCGTCAATATGCGACTCCATACGCTGCAAATCCGCGTTCTATCATTTGGTTTCCGAATTGGCCCGTTCAGAACACTTTTCGACGCCAAGATATCTTCAGTGGTTGATAGCTCGGGGAGGCATCTATAGCACAGCCGATCTGGATCCTAACGGGCCAGCGTCAACCAGACTTTTAGCGGAGCTTCCAATGGCAAATGTCAGTGATAGTATTATCGAGCTTCGGGCAGCCCTGCTTAGCCGTGGGGACCTCTCGGCTGATGAAGAGGATGACCAAGTTCATGACTGCATGGTCTTCATGAATAGAACCTTACCGGGAATGCAGACTGGTGACGATCTCGATCTGGAGCCAAATGAATACTCTGCAACATCTGGACTTTCAAAGCTTCCTTCAGACCTGAGCCGAACAATTCGATCCGAGTTAGGGTTTTGGCTCAGACAGAAGGTCAAACTTCAGATGATCCAGCCAACTATCCCACCACTGGATGACTGGGACGTTTCCCTGTTGAAAGGTGGAACTTCTGCAATGACAGGATCGGAATTCAATACAGTCCGGCGGTACCTTGAATACCTTGAGGACTACTCAGTGCTTGCTGATGTTCTCAAGATTGCTACGACGTCCAACGATGCGGAGGTTCTGGCTTCGTGCGCTGACACCCTGGACCTACATCTCAAGACGTTCGCTGCCATAGGCGCTTTGAACAGCTTATTCGATATTCTTATGAGTCGTCTACGAGCTTTAACAGAAGAGAACGTCTCAGTTCTGAGAACATTTCTGGTCTCTCTTTCGGATCTTGCTTCAAGGCTCCCCAACCAGCACACAGTTGCACAACAACTTGCTCGGGAACTAGCTCGCAGCGATAGGAAGACTGCTGCAGACGCATGTTCGCCAGTGTCGGACCACATGGCGATCGTGGAGACGGCAGAAGTAGACTTCACCGATGAAATCGAGAAGGTCCTAGCAAGTGGCAATAGTATGGACCAAGCTACTTTGGAGCGACTCTTTGGACGAATCATTTTACGACTCCAAGAATCATGGGAAAAATCGCCAGAGCAGCAGCGGAGCTGTGCCCTATTGCTCACTCGCCTGCGCACATTTGATGCCAAGCAGTTTGATCTGTTGATGGCGGCATGGGTCAGCAAAGCTCTACCGATGCAGAGTCGGCCCAACATGATGCAAGTGTTTGGCCCGCTAATCAGCTTTGGCTGTCTGGCTTTTCGAGATGTGCTTCTGGGTTGTGGTGCCAGCGAAAAGGAGGCAAGCGTGGGTAGCTCGTACGCCACTGGCACGTCTTCAGAGCTCCTCTGCCTTCTGGTGGCTCCTTGCAACCTCCCAGAAATCATGACCCACGAAGAAACATATCGCCTTCGAGTTAAGCAGAGCCATATGCAGAAGGATTTCCCTTCGGATGTTACATCAGTCATCCGTCAAGCCTTCGCAGAATCTTATTCTGGCATTCAACCTGCAGGCTCACACGCCCTTGAGGTAAAAACATTACTCGGAGGTGTGGATATGCACGAGCTCTATCAATTTCTCGTACTGCACGACCCTGTCGCGTTCACCCAGAAGTTGGCCGTGCCATTACTTCAAACCTCAACTGCAGAGACTGCGGCAGCCATCAATACAGTTATCGATAAGCTAATGCTGGCCGGCAGTCCCGCCGAGCCGATAACAACAGAGTTACTTCTGAATATAACAGATGATCTTTCTTTGCCATTCTGTCAGATCAAGCTTGCATCAATGCTGCAGGCACACGATACCACTATGGAAGGAGGCGAAGCTGGCCAGCCAGATCATCTCGTTGCTTTTGATAGTGCCATCGAGTCAGCTGTAAATTCTGGGAAGACTTCTTGGGCGAGCATCATTCCCTTGCTTGACACTTCGATAGCACAGCATCTGCGAAGGCGAGCCGATGTTCAGTTCCTCAGCCTCTTCCCTTCGCCCAAGACACCCAACAACGAGGGGTTCCTGATGGAAAATCGTATCAGACGTGCCGAGAATCTCTTGCGCATCATCGATGCCACAGCACATGGCATATCGACATCTTCTCCAGATCCAAGTAACACCAGCCTTGCTTCCGACATGGTCACAACACTCAACGGCATCCGGCTTCTCTTTGCAAACACCCAGTCTCAGGAAGTGAAGGACATAGTCATATCGAAATGGCTGCCACTGCTCCTTTCCTTCATGACGATACACGTTTCAGCATTCGAAGCCACCAAACAAGGAAACGAAAGCCGCGCAAAGGCCACTCTTGCTCTCGCCGCAGTCTTTCTCCAGCTCCAAGCTATTGATCTCAGTACGCAAGCTATCGTTACTTTGGTAGAGCAGACATTCGACCTAGCGCTTAACCTCGTAGACTCCCTCCCAGAAGACCTGCGTCTGCAATGTGTTCGCAGTATCCGGACCACTACCTCTAATCCACAAATCCCATATCTGTTCAGTATTGCCGCCAATCCAACAGAGTGGCTCGTTCTCAGTCAGAAGGAAAAGGCTCCTGTTATACCAGGCCAGAGTAATCCAGATGGCAACGGAAGGCAGGCAGAGAAGGAGAAACTGGCCCCGTTTCATTTGAGACGGTGGGAGTTGCTGGGGGAGCCGACGCCGAATGTGGGGGAGAATGATACTAGTCTGAGCTTGACACTTTTTGGTGCACGGCGGGGATGAGGAAAAACGTAGCACAGAGACAGGTGTCGGCTGGGTTGAGCCGGCACACGCATAGATGGCTTTGGATTGGACGGAATATGGCCAGCAGGTTAGCATAGGCGTTTTTGGGTAAAGCGTATGATCTTACGATATGAACATAATGACAGCGTATTCCTCCTGGCCCCATTCATCATGCAATCCTTCTGATATCTAGACCTCGTCCGGTCTGCCTTCTTCCCACAGTCGACGTTGCACCACCCAGGCAAGGGAAAGGGATGGAGGAATTGTCTATTTCTTTCTTGAAGGAGAGAATGAGCTGTCGTGGTGGGGTACATAGTTAATCTGAACCTGCTGGTTTTGGCACTTGGGAGCAGACTTGCTTGCTCTTTGCTGTTCATCAGATGCTAGACTTGACACACGCACGCTGAGGTGGACTTCAGGATCCGCAAGGGTGGGCAAACACGAGGAAGAAGCTGGCAGAACAAAAGGATACAAGAGAGAGGATGTAGAGAGGATGAAAAGTAACCGAGTCACTGGAAGTAAAATAGTCATTGTGTGTGGTTGCAAGTCGCCAATTAATTGAAAATCAATTAACTAGTGCCGCCAGAGATCTTCCCTCGTCCATCGATATCAGGTAGCCCCCGAAGCACCATGTACGAAGCATAGCCTATCCCGAAACCTTCTCGATATCCCTAGCCAACATATATCTTGCACCAAACACACAGAGAAAAGGAGGTAAGTGCCATAGCATTTGAATGCAAATGACTTGTTTGTTGGAAGACCAACAGATTATCTACCCACACTAGAACCAAACTCCAACCTGATGCCTCGAAGAAACAACATTGTAAGAGATTGATCTTTCAGTAAGTGAGACAGAAGAAATTTACCATCCAGCACCCCAGGTATCGCTGCCAGACACAGGGGTATCCCATTCAGGAACAGCAGCTGCCTTTGGTGCAGCAGGGGCACGCGGAGCAACCTGATGGGGAGCAGCTGGCTGTTGAGCAGCAGGGGCACGTGGAGCAACCTGATGGGGAGCAGCTGGCTGTTGAGCAGCAGGGGCACGTGGAGCAACCTGTTGAGGAGCAGCTGGCTGTTGAGCAGCAGGAGGCACGTGGAGCAACCTGTTGAGGAGCAGCTGGCTGTTGAGCAGCAGGGGCACGAGCAACCTGGTGAGGAGCAGCGGCATTCCACTGTGGAGTGGCCTGTTGCGGAACAGCAGCCGGAACTGGAGAGCCCCAGTTTGTAGCTGTTTGAGTAGCCTGATGGTGTTGGGTAGCTGTGATTTTGAGTTAATCATTGTTCTAGAAAGAGAGTGACACAGGATAAATACCATATTGACCTTGAGGTGGACCATAGTGACCTTGGGGCAGAACATATTGACCTTGAGGTGGACCCTGCTGAGTTGAAAGAGGACCTTGATATGAGTTAGTTAGTGTTTTATGAGGAGAGTGGTATGGGATATATACCATATTGACCTTGAGGTGGGCCATAGTGACCTTGAGGTGGGCCATAGTGACCTTGGGGCGGACCATATTGACCTTGGGGTGGACCAAAGTGACCTTGAGGCGGACCCTGTTGAGTTGGAGGAAGACCTGTGAGTTCCAGTTAGTCCGTGTCAAATAAGAAGAGTGGCAAGGAAATACATACCATACTGTCCTTGAGGGGGACCAGCCTGGGCGACTGGAGCCTGAGGGGTGAAGGTTTGGACCGGAGCACCGTAGTGCTGTGGACCACCGGACTGTTCAGCTGGGAGACCAAACTCTTGGGCTGGTCGAGTTGGCTGGAGGGCTTGAGGAGCTTGAGCATTCCAAGCAGGAGCAGCTGGAAGACCGAACTCTTGGACTGGCTGAGTTGGCTGAGGGGCTTGGGGAGCCTCAGCTTGAGCATTAGGAGCAGATGGCTCGGCAGCCTGGGCCTCTTCAGCAGGAGTATCAACTGATGCCTCACCCCATCCGCCTCCGTTGCCAGATCCAACACCCTCGCCATCATCTGAATCATTCTCGAACTTGAGGTCTTCGATCTTGCCAGTTACATTGCCTTCAGCATCAGGAGCGAAACCCTCAGGGATGTATTGCTCAAGGAAATCAGGAACGATCTGTTGAGTCTCCAGGAGAGTTTTGACCAACACCTCCGCAATATCAATGTCCCGATCATTGAAGAACGAGGTAGCAAGGCCCTTGTTCCCAATACGGCCGGTACGACCTGTTTCTAGTTAGTTGCTATTCGGGGATTAGGGGGGAAGACTAACCGATTCGGTGAGTGTACTCCTGGATACCGCCGTATTGAAAAGATGGCAAGTCGTAGTTGATGACGTGCAGAACATTGTGAATGTCCAATCCTGAGAGAGAAAGAAGTTAGCAGCTGCCCTTGAGGCCTGGGTAGGGAGAACATACCTCGAGCAGAGACACCGGTGGCGATCAAGACGGGGGCCTTTCCTGAGCGGAATGCACGGATGGAGTCCTCACGCTCACGCTGAGTACGGCCGGAATGAATAGAAGTGCAGGGGATGTCCAGGTTGAACAGGTAATCATCAGTCTCATCAGCGGTGCGCTTGGAATTGACGAAGATGATGGTACGAGCTGGAGGAGCCGACATCAACAAATCGAAGAGAGCCTTGCGCTTGGCATGGGCATCAACGAAGACAATATCTTGCTTGATGTTGACATGGCTTGAGCCAGCGCGACCAACACGGATGTGGACATGGTCGTGGGAAAGGTGCTGAAGAGCAAGCTCGTGGGCAATCTTCGGGAAGGTCGCAGAGAACATCAAGTACTTGATGTTGCCCTCCTCCTGGTCTGTGAAGAAATACTTAGTAGCTGCACTTTTGAAATCAAAGAAGAAAACTTACCACCACCGGACATGATCTGCTTCAATTCAAGCTCCCAATCAGTGTTGAGCATCTCGTCGGCCTCATCAATGACCATGTAGCGCAAGCGCTTCAATGTCAAGACGTTGGGGCGGTTGATAAAGTCGCACAGGCGACCAGGAGTACCGATCAACACATCACAGCCCCGAGCGAGTTGTTGAATCTGCTCACCCAGAGGGCCACCACCATAGACAACGCAGGGTCGAAGCATGGTTCTGTAGCAGAAGCGGCGAGCCTCGTCGAAGATCTGAGTCGCTAACTCACGGGAAGGGGCAACGATCAAGACCAGCGGCTCAGCGCGAACTGGAGCAGTGATACCAGGCTGGAAAGTGACAGGGTTTGGGCGGGGAGCCGCAATCTTCTTTGCCTTTCCCATCAACTTGGACAGGATTGGAATCAAGAATGCAGCAGTCTTTCCGGATCCTGATCGGATTAGTAAAGAGAATGCAAGAGAACGGTAGTACTTACCAGTCTGTGCACACGCAACCAGATCATGACCCTCAATTACGCAAGGAATCGTGAATTGTTGAATGGGGGTGGGAACATCATAACCAGCAAGCTTGACATTGGTCAACATAGCAGGGTGAAGACCAGCGTCAGCAAATGACTTGATAGGTTTGATGCGGATTACGCCCTCATGGACAACATCAATCTTGGCAATACTGTAGAAGTGTTAACGGTTACCAGTCTCCAGTGAGAGTGGTGCATGGTACGTACGCCTCGAAGTTAATACCGGACTTGACATGGTTTGCAGAGCCAAACAGCATCTTCTCAAGCTCTGGGTGAGCAGGACCAATGTCGCCGAAATCCTCATCCCACTGGTAGATGGCAGCATTGTTGGCCCACTCGCCGGGACGAATGCCTCCAACAGCCTCCTCGATCTCTGCGTTAGGTTCAGCTTGGAAAGTTTCGGGAGCACCCTCAACGCCACCCTGCGTATCCAACAACTCCTTGGTGGATTTGTTGTACGTATCGTAGTCATACTCAGTCTTGCGCACCCAGCCATACTGCTGAGGCGTCAAGCCAGGTGGTGCCTCAGGGGGGCCATGATGGGCTCCATCAGGAGGGCCATCAGCGGTGGGCAAGGCAGCAGCCATGTCCTCGGTGTTGAAGTTTGACATCCTGACTAATCTGCGAGTGGTCAGTCAAACTTATTGGGTGATTGAAAGAAGGACGAAGTGGAAAAAGGGAAGTGAGGATATATGTCTGTGTGAGATATAAGATGAGTTGGGGTGAGTATACCTTTGGTGAAGATGTCGTGATGACGTCCTGCAAGGGGAGACTCGAGTTAGTTGAGCTGAATCAAGATCGAAGTGTTGTGGTCGAGTAGGAGATGGAGAGCTTGGGAGTAGGAAGAAGAGGAAGAAGAGGAAGAAGAGGAAGAGGAGGAAGAGGAGGAAGAGGAGGAAGAGGAGGAAGAGGAGATGGGGCAAGGTGGCAAGTATATTCAGCTCGGTCTCTAGCGTGCACGCAAAGGGGAGGGACTTACTTGTGTTTGAGAGAGACCAGAATGACCAGGTACTTAGGTGCCTAAGCCCGGATAGAGTATGTGAAGGGGATGTCGGGAGAAGTTGATCAACCTGGAAGAAGTTGGTCAACGAAGGAAGTGTGGTTGTGGTGGTGAGGAGGAAGGGGAGACAGGATTGGGGTTTAAGTACTTGACCCGAGGAGAAACTTCTGATCGTACTGGGAGGCCGCTAGCGTCGTGCTGACTTGGCGTCTCGACTAACCGAGCTCCTTCCCTGGTTGGCCGAAATGTGCCCTCCATGATTGTGGAAGGTGCTATCAGCTACTCCAAACTGACAACTACTTATTAATTTGATTATGTAGCTGCTATTGAGTGAATGGGGGGGGGTTAAAGCAACTCGGAGCATCTCATAGACCGTAGCAGAGTAGCGTAGCCCGTAGATCTGGTATAAAGAGAGAGAGAGAGCTAAAGGTATAGCTAGCATCAATGACATAGCTCCGAGCAGTAATCTACAGAGGCACAAGGTGATATTACTATGTGGAGAAGCTACGAGTACTCCAGGAGGTGTAAGAAGTCTGCTGTGGCTCCTATTATGGGAAGTACACAGTGCAGTCTTATCTGCTAGACTTGGTTTCAGATTCAGAAACCCCGAAAACTCGAAGCCTATTGCGGATTCCCTCGCAAAACTACGCCTATCATCTACAGCACCTTGAAGCAGAGAAGCATAGAAGCATCTACCAACACTCTTGCCATTCAGTGGCCCATCGCTCAAGCCTGGTTGGTGCCTAGGACTTCGCGCTGCTCCAAGCTGACCCGAGAACCTACGCAGCAAAACGCAGAAATTCAAGCATGCAGAAAGCTTTGTTCGACACTTCGTTATAGCAGATTGAACAATCCTAGCGCGTTACGAGTAAGCAGAACCCAAGAAAGAAGGGGAACTTCTGGCTGCCACTGACAGAGACAGAACGAAGGCTCATTGTCCGGTACGCCTGCTATCATCAAAGTCAACATCAACATCCTCGATCTCCTCATCCTCCTCCTCCTCCTCCACGATGCAAAGAGCTCTACGAGAGCCCCCTTTCCTTTCGCGGAAGCTAAGACTCAAGAATCGATAGATCATTGGAAGAAGTTACAACGACATGAGTACGGAAGGGACTAAACCACCTTCTACACCAGACTTTTACTCTGCCTCGTCTTTAGTTCTAAGTTACATCACACCTTTCCCGCCTCTGGGGTAATCATGAGCAAGCAGCTTTCCCTTATTCCCAGCATGCCAGGACACGCGGAGGACGTTACGGGAGGCGAAGGCGCATACACAAGATAGCCGAAGGTGTCAACAGCTGGTCACATGCTCGGCTAAATGAGAAAGAGGCGAGCTGAAAGGGATTGATGGCGCTCGGACGGTTGACGGCCATGACCCCATAATAGGGGCTCACCCAGTAAGTAGGCTGATCTTCGGCGGCAGCGAAGTCTACCGGGTATCTGCAGAAGCGAGGTATCAAGCAGAGGAATGGAGTGCTGGGATAACGCTGGAGGCAAATTTACTACGGGAAAGCGGAATTGGATTCTATTGAGGACTGGAGATGAGATATTGAGGTTGAGATTGGGCGAGTCTGGAGCATAAGTATCTACTATACATAAAACCGAGGAGATGGATCAACAATCATTACGAGAAAAGGAGGAATGGATTTACAATAGTAGGTACACGTACTTCTACGGGTGGCTACATGCAGACCAAGGACTCCAGACTCCAGAGCCTGCCGCCCGTATTTTGGAAAGGAAGCTCTGCAGATCCTGATCACTCTTGGCATGTACTTCTACTTCCAAGCAAAACACCAAAGGAGCCAGCAGCGCCCATATGTTCATGTGAAGTTGTGCTCACTCGGTGTGAAGTACCTAGCTGGCCACCAATGTATGTGTTACCCTCCTCTAGAGAGCAATCTCAGATGTAAACACTGGCCAAGTCTCTTGACCTCCTTCTATACCCCTCCTCTGCAGAGTTGGGAAGCTCGTCCAGCTATACAAAATCCAGCTCGCAAATATAAGTTTGTGGTGCTGACCAAGGCATTCTTGACATCTGTGCTTTTAATTGAGAGCAGAAAGAAGCCTGACGAGGGCATATGCTCACACCCCGGGCCGGTGCCGCGTAAACATCATCGCACCGTCTTGGCTCAGAGTAGCTTGAAGAAGAAGTTTCGACGCCGAGGTTCTGTGGTGGTGATCCAATTCAGCCCGGCAATCCTAACTATCTACCATATTGACAACCTGCAAAGTCTGGGTCAGCACAGTTCAGCAGCAGGAGTAGATTGAGATGGTTGCCTTGGATACTAAGATAGAGTCCAAATCAGATATATCCTTGAGGTCAGCTATTGACACTCAAAGTATCACCTGGTACTATCCAGACAGCCTCGAGGATGTAGCCAAGAGTTCTCCAGGACTAAGAATACGGTAGCCTATCTTATACGGCAGTACCGTACAGACAGAATCATAGCTTCTTCCTCGACCATGATCTGCTTCTACGGAGACCCGTCAACAGAACGTACAGATAGAAGATCGGGTGGTCTTTCTACTTCAAAGCCTCCATACCTGCTCACCATTTGGAGATACAATAAATTTGAAGCAGTGCTTGGAAACACCAAGTGCCCTTTGCGCCAATGTATGCTATTGCTAGCTATTCTCTGGTTGACGGTCAGCTGGTATCTGGTATACCCAAGTTACTGTACACACAGCCATTATTCAAGACCTAAGTCGAGCGGCTTCTTAGTCCGAGTAGGAAAAAGTCCTACTACATTCTCTTGCAATCAGGGACATAAGCATACCCCCAGCAGAATCTGATCTGCATGTTAATCCTACAGTAATAAATACCCCAGGACGAGTCGCAAAGAGTCAAAGCGACAAGCAAACCTGACTTGGTCCCGTCACCCGTTCCTCAATCCCACGCCGGCAGCACAGTTGACCGAGAGCTTTGATACCAGCTTGAGGAGACGTGAAATGTGCTTGCTTACCACTATATATGATCATCTATCTACGTTTGCTTATCGATATCCTGGCAAGACTCAACGTCAGCGAGCCAGTTTTTGTCAGGCATCTACCTATCTCTCTATCCCTTCATCCCTTCATCCCTTTCCCTTCATCCCTTTCCCTTCAACCCTTCATCCCTTCACCCCCTCCTCCGTCCACCCCCCATCCATCCTCCCTCCAACTTCCCCAACCAGCCCATCCAATCCCCAATCCCTACTCCCCACCTCCCAACCCCCCACAGAAAGGCCTCCTTCAACAAACCAACAAACCAACAACCCAGTAAACCAACAACCCTTCCACAGCCACAAACCCAAACGACAGACCAGAAAAGAAGCCGCTCCACACCACCACCACCACCACCAGCAGCAGCCGTCGTTCCAGCTCTCGTCACCCGCCTCGGCTGCGGCTTGGCGTCAACACATCACACACACACACACATATACATATATATATATAAATATCATCCCAGGCATAGGTAGGTACCCAGGGTTCGGCCGAGCTGTAAATAAGTAACAGGAACGCGTGACAAAAGAAAAAAAGAGCCAAAAAAAAAGACCAAAAAAAAAAAAAAACAACCCCCACACCCTCCCCCCCAAAAAAAAACAACAAAGAGGAAAAAAGAAAAAAGAAAAAAAACAGGAGGAAAAAAGAAAGGAGGAAATTTTAGGACCCACAAATACCTCACCTCCCTCACCTAACCCTGCCGGATCCAAAAATCGCAACGCAACGTAACGTAACGTAACGACGAGGGCACAGGATTGGATTCCAGCACTCAGTCCAGCACTCAGGAAAAGGGAAAAGCTGTGGGATTTGCCTGATTACCGGTACCTAGTCCCCCCCCTATTTAGCAAGCACTAGCAAACCCAAACCTCAACAACCCCAACCCCAACCCCGACCCCCTCCTCTCTTTCTCCTTTCCCACCCAGACAGCGACGCCCAAGGAAAACGCCCACGGGGAAACCCCAATTGTTTACTTTATATTATAGTACATGCGGTTTTTTTTCACCCCAACGCCTATCATTCATGCCTAGCCTGTCCCATGCGACAACAGCCCCGAAGGAGATCCCGCTCACGATTTCTTGTCCCCGAACTTCTGATGGATGGCCCTGATCTGCTCCTCCACATTGACATTCTGCATGACGTCCAGCCTGCGATCTCCCTTGTCGGGCGCCACCCCATCATAGCTTGTGGCTGCCTTCTTTCGCCGCGCCAGCTCCTCCTCCGAGACAATCGGCTGGCCTGTGACTCCGTCGAACAGGTCGCTGCGCTGGCTGGCCAGCCGCTTGAGGTTGTTTGCCACGTCTTGGGTCGACAGGTTCGTGGTCGCGAAGCGGGAGTCGGCTTTGGCCTTCTGCTCTTTCCATCTCGGGTCCAGGAGTTCAACTGCCGGGTTGGTTAGTCACTTGCTTATCTTGAGTTGGGGAAAGGAAGGGAAGGGGTGGCGGACTTCTCATGTGCTGGTCCAATTCGTTGGCAGGCATTTGCGTGCTGCAGTTCGGACAAACCACCATGTGCTGTTTGTTAGCTGCTCGGGCGGCTGCGCGAGGAACGTAGTTCTCTTTGATCTTCATCGGTGCAGCGACCCCCTTGGCTTCTGCTTGTGCTTGCTGAGCGCGCTGTCTCGCCTCGGTCCTTTCGCGGATACGTTGCTCTTCCTCGTCTTCTTCGTCTGTGTTGCGCATCCGAGTATCTTGGTACTGTGGTTGGTAGGCAGGCTCCGGTACAGGCGGAGGAGCCATCTGCTGCGATTGTGGGGGATTGGAGTTATAGTAGCTGTCATCCTCCGGCATAGCTTCCTCGATACGCATATTATGCGAGCTGACAGACATCATAGCCTTCTGATCCAGCGACGCAAACTGGAGATCCGAGAGCGCGGTCGGAGGAGGGAGCTGTGCCTGATCATCTGCTTCCGTGAAGACGACCGTCTCGACAACCACGAAATCATGCCAGTCAATCTGCTGGTATGAAGTCTTCTCCCTCTCCGCATCCTCCTCCTTCTTTGCCTTCTGCTGGTCCTGAAACTTGAACCACTCAGCCCTCTGCTTCGCCCGCCCCAGAACATGGAACTTATCAGCAACATTGGCCTCCAACTCCCTAATCCTCTCCTTCTGTAGCTTACCCCCCTCTCCATCCAACCCACCCGCCCGCAACAGCGTCGTATACTGATCAATTAACCGCTGGAAGAAATTATGCAGCGTGTGATTCGGGCGCAAGAAATCAAACTGGTAGTTCCCCGTTTCCCGTTGCGAAATAGTCGTCATGAACTGCCTCCCATTCTTCGCCACAAACAGCGCCGTCAAACGCACAACTTCCAGGTCCTGAGCGCTGATATTCGGCATGCGCGCCGAGAAGTGAAACTCCGGGGGCTCGGGCGGTCCTTGGGGCTTCACGATCTCGGCTTCGGCTTCTCCTGCTCGACCAGCTGCTACGGCTGTCCCTCGCCCCTCTTTGATCTCGCTGAGGCGCCATAGGTAGTACGCGTTGTAGGAGTCATTCGGGCTGAGGAAGGAGAATTTCGGGTTGTGCTTTTCTTTCTCGCGGATGCGGTCTACTACTGTTAGCTGAAGGCGCGCGCAGACAAGCTCGATTGACATACCTTCAAATACATTCCCATTTCTAGCCACATAGCCTGCTGTCTTTTCCAGGATAGCTAGAGAGGATCAGCAGCTGCGCGTGTTGACTTGGGAGGATGCGCACCCTTGATCTCTCTCGGAGGCAGCACAACACCTTGAGGGGCTTTGATTTCTTCGAGTGCCGCAATAGCATCGCCGTTCGTAGCGGATGGAGCCATGAGTTGGAGACTTGATTGCTTGTCACTGAGGTTGCAATGTCGAGTCCTCACTGTTGCTCCAGTTAAAGCTATCGAGGTTGAATTCGCGTCAAGAAACTTGAAGTGCAAGGCCAGCGTCGTGATTGGCCAGATGCAGACAAGGCTGATCTTTATTTTGCTCTAGTCGCATTTACAGTACGTGCCAATCCATTCTTGTCAAAAGGTATTCGATTATCATCAACTCGTTTACATGTATTTTGCTGCGCGTTTCTTGAATTGAAGTTGCACATCAGTCAATATCAACCAATACCAACATGTCAAGAAATCAGCCGAATAAAGATGTCAATAAATTTATTTCGTCCTGCATCAGGCTCCTCTTTATCTATACAGGCCCCTCATTACCCCGAGGGAACGACCGTTGCCATCTCTCATATCAGTAAGCCAAAAATTATGTTAAAAGGTATGTTCCGCCGAGCGAGACCAGACGCCCGGATCCTACCATTACAAATGCTGACACGCCGGTCAAATGGACGAACCCGAACTCCACCTTTTGAACGGCCCCTCCTATTCCACTGTAGACATCAAAGGAAAAGCGACCTGTAGGTACTGTCGTCTTGAGTCCTGGTACTACTCGAAAGCTCCTGGAATCGTAATTGAGAGTCGTTCCCCTGGCGGAGTGGCTCCAAGTGACTTGGTAGACTGTGTCGAATTGCTCGCACTTATCCGCTTTTCAACCACGTTCAAGGCCTGCACTCCCTCAACCGCCACCTCTGTTACAGGATTCCCATCCGACAATTCTGCACTCTTTTGGGCCGCTGTCTCCTGTGGGTCTACTTCCCGAGGTTCTTCTGCCTGGTCGTCCTTTGCAAAAGCTTTGCTCGATGGCCTAGACTTCGTCACATCGACAGGTGTGATATCCTTCGGCTGGATCTCCCCAGTTCTCTCCAACTCTTCACTGACTTTCCTTTCCTGCTCCCTTCTTTCCTGGCTGAGCCGTGGACTTTTCATGGTATCCAAGTGATTTTGGCTCGTGGGAACAACTCCGCCTCCTACTCGACACCAGAACATTTGCTCTCTCAATCTCACACTCTCTTCCCAAGCTGCTCTCTCTGATTCCTCATCATCTGCCCTCCAGTGGCCCTCTTTCAGTATTCGGAGAAACCCAAGGAAGTCACAGGTTGAGCGGACTCGGCCCAGACAGTACCTGCAAAGAGGATACCTCTGAGCATTATCGTTCTCGCTGGCCCTAAATCTGTGACTGCGGACATGAGCAGGGTCTTTCCGGGTTTCGCCGCAAAGGGAGCAGGCAAATGCATAAGGCTTCGTAGAACTAGGCATTGGCTCCACAACAAGCGATCCCTCACAGACTGCGCTGAGAACTGTCCGTCTGGCGAGCCACGACAGACCAGGTGCGGAATCGAGCCTCAAAGTAGGCTCAATATCTTCAGCCTGCGCTCTCTTGTAGAACTTGGTATCCTTCAGAGGAGTTAAAGAATTGGGCCCGTTGTATGATGCATTACTGGCAGTAGATGCGGGCGTCGTGGGTGTGGCTGGAGACGAGCCAGAGGGCCCAGTTGTGGACAGGGAGGTCGAAGACCCATTCGTCGGTTGTTGCGAGGTTGTATAGCTACCTAGACCAAGACCAAGACCAATGCTCCCGTAAGATCCACTGGACACCCTACTAGCAGCTGGGACATTCTTAGACATGCGTAACAAGGAGATGAAATCCTCATATGCAGATAGATCTGTTCTGAGAACTGGCTGCAAGAGGTGGGTGAAACTCATGGGGTATGATGGCGAGATTGGGTCATAGCTGGATTGTGGTGCCTCTGTTTCTGGTGTTCCCAAGTCCTTGCTATCGAATCTGCTGAGCGCTGGGGTCGAAGGCGCCGTCTGGTTCGTCTGATCATCTCGGTCTTCCGTCAAGTGCTCCATGACCTGCTTTAATTCCGCCAACTGATCTTGATGTGATTTCAACAAGCTCTCCGTATCTGCGAGCTTTGCTTTTAGCTGGTCGTTCTTGCGCTGAACAATCTCATGGTCTCTCTGTGCTTCTTCGCGAGCAGTGATCACCATCTGGACAAGTTAGATCTGTGAAAATATATATATAACCTGAAGACATACCCTATTTGCTTCTTCGAACAAAGCTGTGGTCAAATTCTCAAGCTCATGCTCGATTTGCTTCTTCTCCTTTTCGACTTGAGCCTTCTGCCTCTTCTCTTCAGCCAGAGCTGCTTCAAGCATAGCCTTTTCAGAACTGTGAGCCGACGCCTGGACCGAAGCTTCCCGGGCCCTCGATGCAGCATCTTCCCGATTCTCCCTCTCTAATTGCATGACACGCTCTCGAAAAGACTCCAATTCGTGGCGGGTCGCAGAAAGTTCATCGTCTATACTTGTCTGATGGTTTATTGCGTGTATGAGTTTGTTGCTCAACATTGCGACCTCATTGCTGAGATCCGGATGCTGAGACTGATTCGGCACCCCACTTCCCAATGAATGAGACGACGCTCTGCTCCGCGGATCTGGTAACGTGGTCATGTTCCCTTCTTCGTCGCTGAAAGGGCTCAGCACCCTGGACGGTATTCCTGGTGCGCTGGAAAAGGAGGCCATTGTGCGCAGAGCAGAAGCGCTGATCGATTTCGAGACGGGTCGGTTTGGTCTGTGAGGAGCGACGGCGTTGTTCACGGCTGGATTGCTGGAACATGATCGTAAGTGCTGCAAGGAAGGTTGGGAAATCGGGTGGTTGTGACCTGCGTAGGCGGCCATTTGCACGAATCTGCAGCCATGTGAGGACTATGTTCGGCAGGAAATTTTTTCAAGCAGCTTTCACTCACTCGGACATGTTTGCAGATTATCAGATGCCTTTCGATGTGTACGAGCTCGGCCTCGAGTCACTCCGGAGATGCTCTGGTGGAAAAAGCCGCTCGGATCTGGGCTTGTTTTGTTTGTTGGACAAAGAAAAGAAGGATGGACAGCAGTGCTCGGATGGACCGCGTCGAATTATTACTAGGAGATGAATACGGGTAGAGCAGACATTAGGGACCGGAGAGGGAGAAGTGAGGGGGGAAAGTCGAGATCGAGATCGAGGTCGAGGTCGAGGTCGAGGTCGAGGTCGAGGTCTAAACCGAGGTCGAGGACGAGGGTGAGGACGAAGACGAAGACGAAGACGAAGACGAGGGCGAGCGCGGTGGAGGCAAGGTGAAAGGATAAAAAGGTCAAGAAAACAAAGTGGATCGTCGGCCGCGAAAGTCTAAGCAAGTGACCAAGGAAAGCGCCACAACAACCATCCATGCCGGGCGAAAGTAAGGCAAAAGTAAGGCCTAGAGCGGTCATCAGCTTGCCTTACTTGCCTTATTTGTTACAATGATGTTCTCATGGCGCAGACAGGTGATCTTTTTTTGGAATATTTGGATTTCACGTTTGCACAGTCATTTCATATGAGCCCCGGGATCCATATTACTGCGTATGTACCGGTACTGTACCTGACATCGAGGTGGATTTCAGACGACCCGAAGCGATGGCATGGGCAAGGGCAACCGGTACCGGTACATACTTGTAGCCCGAGAGTGGGACTTGGCGAGAGAGAGACCGAGAGCGAGAGAGCGAGAGAGCGAGAGAGCGAGAGAGCGAGAGAGCGAGAGAGCGAGAGAGATCAGAGAGAGCAAGCAAAGCAATACGAAGGCCTCTCCCCCGTATTCGCACGGTCGGAGAGGTCAGCAATACGATCCGAACAGTAAACCTCATCCCTTCTTTGCTCAGTAGTTGTCTTTTCTTTCTCGCTTGCAAGTTACTTCTGGCCGTCAATCATTTTTCCCGAGCTGGGAAATCCAGGGTCACTCTCGAATATTCTGCCTATTGCCTACCGGTATTGCCTATGTCCAAAGGTTGCCCATGTTGCCGCACGGCCATGATGCAATTCCCGAATCCTACGCCCCATCAAGCTCATCCGTCCAGCAGCTCCATCAAGCTGTTCCTACGGTACTTGACGCCAGTGCGTTTGTTTACCTACGGTACCTGTTCATACACAGCAGTCTGATGAGCCCGTGGAACCCGTGGAACCCGTGGAACCCGTGGAACCCGTGGAACCCGTAGAACCCGTGGAACCAGGAACTTCATGACCCTGGTCAGGTGCTCAGGAGCCGGCCGTTGCGGATAGGTACTACTACTAGTACGTGGTACCGTACATGTACAACTACTTTTACCGGTAACCGGTACCCCATGCTACCGAGATGGCCATTTGCCACCAACAACTTTCTGCAAGTCCACGTGGTCGGGTACGGGCTGATGAGGCCTAAGGCTGCAACTGATATCCCCTACCTAGGTACTCTCCAGAGTTTACTCCGTAGAACTCGGGAGCATACGGGAGCGTACGGGAGCATACGGGAGCACCGGTACCGTCGAGCAGCAAAACAGGACGGATGATATCCGACTGATTTTCCAGAATACATGCAAGATCCCTCACTCCTTCATACGGAGCTGGGACGATCTTTCGTAAAGCTGCAGCTATCCGCACGTCGATCCAATGTTACTTCTCGTGTCGAGGGCTCGTGGACATCTTGCCCGACCACAATCCCAACCCTATACTAAAGGTAACAATGGCTTGCAAACTTGACCGCTCGATCACTCGATCGATCAACGTGGACCATCCCAGCTTCTCAAGGACATTCAACGCCATATCGCCATGGAGGTTACTCAGACCCTTGACCACAACAGGTCAGAGCCCCAATCTCCCCCAGGAGACTCGATTGCTACATCTCAAATAAGCGTAAAATCAACCATCTCTGCATCGAATCTCATGCTCCCTCTTACGGTCGGTGTAAGAAGATGGTCGTCCGAATCACAACTGCTGTAGTGTCTCAATGTGGGGGGATTTTAAGTAATAATACAAACGCGCCCAGCTCGTACTCATCAGTCTCAGTGCCCCGAAGATTCTCGCACGAGTACCGGTCACGTCGCGGAAGAAATACTTCGCTTATCTCTCATACAGTAGCCACGAGTGTCAAGATGACCGATGGTTGTGCATCACCGTCCCAGTGGCAAATGATCGGAGGTACAGCCGGACGTGGCCTGTGAAGCCTCGACCCCTTACTTACTACGTACGATCCAGGCGTAAGTATTACTCCCTGAGGGTAGGGTAACCAGGGGGTTTAAAGTGGAAACTAAACTTTTGAGGCACCCTCGAGGGGTAATACTTAGGCCTGTACCGTGGTAAGTCCAAGAGCCGCAACCAACATGTAATCCATTGAAGTTTGTTTTACACACCTTGCGAAGCTCCTTCCTCTTTGGCCAGTCAACCACTTCAACTATAATTCAGTGCCCTGCATCTCTTGTACTACGTACGTACTACTACAACTAACTATATACATGCATTCCTGTACTTACAGTATGTACGTAGTACGTACCGGTAGTATGAATCCGAATACCTGTGCAAAGATCGCAAAACTCAAAACTAAAAATAAACCCCCCCGGGAAAACGAGAAGAAATTCAGAACATACGTAGTACGTAGTACCACGTCCCCGGCCTAAGTACAGTATTACCCCCTGAGGGTAGGGTACCCAAGGGGCTCTATAGTACCTAGTGGAAACCAAACTTTGGACGCACCCTCGAGGGGTAATACTTCTACTTCTACTTCTACGTACTTCTACTTACGCCTGTACCGCGGTACGTACCTAGGTACCTACCAGAAGTACTTCTAGTACCAGTAGTACATGCTTCTTCTCCCGCGAAAGAGCCACCGGAACCTACGTATGTACCGGTATGTAGCCAAGCAAGCAAGCCAGCCCAGAAGCGAAAGCTCCCTAAGTAAAACATTCCTCTCTCTCCCCCCCCCCCCCACTCCTTCCATCTCAGCCCCCCACCCCACAGCGAATGCTGTCATCGATGCCGACAGTCCGGACATCGGCATTCCCCGACCACCGCAGGTCGCGCGCGCCGTCCGTCCGTCTGCCCCTGCCTCTGCCTCTGCCGGCAGCCCGGCTCCGTGGAGAGGGTGCAGGGGAACATCTTGGGGAACTGGGTCCGGCGCGGCGGCGGCGGCGGACGAGATCTGGTTGGCGAGGGTCGGCGAGGGTGTAGCACTGCTCGGCCGCGGGAAGGAGGGGGGGGTGGGTTGGATAGCTGGACTGTGTCCTTTTTTTTTTTTTTTTTTGGCGTTGTGGAGGGGCTGTTGGGGATTGGGGGGTTTGGGGTTTCAGTTGTGAAGGAGATGGTGGATCGTGTTTTTGTTGACACTTACTGGGAGGTTACTGTAGACCGGACCTTGTCGAGAGCGGAGTGTGGCTGCAGAGTCGGTGGCGGCGGGCAGGGCGTCTGCGTTTGCCAGGAGAGGAGACGGGCAGTGTCGATGTTGCCTATCTTGACCGGATTGATGACCCCAGCAGTAGCGAGGGGTGCGAAGAGGGCTGGCGAGATGGATTTCATGTTGGTGATTTCGGTTCCTTCTTGATGTTCTTTTTCTTCTTCTTCTTCTTCTTCTTCTCCTTTCTTTGTTAATATGTGTGTGTGTATGTATGTGTTTTTAATGAAAAGTAGATTATGGTGATGAAATGCCTCATCTCCGTGGAGCCCTCTCGTATATATACTCATCTTTATCCATCCCTCCTCACCTTTGAAAATAACAGCAGTGATAACTATAGAACCAACGATGAATAGCTTGGTCACTGGCTCCAATCACACAAGAACAGATGACCAGCACATCAACCCGAGTGCTGCCGTCTTTGCTGTAGAGGTATATGTAAACAAGAGACTTCCGGCATCCCCATTATCCTCACCACCGAGAAAGCAACTGGCGCCATGTACAGAACTGCGTGTGCCGTCGTTCTGACTACGCAGCGTGACGATAACGTGGCTATTGTGCCAGTCCGCAGACTCTGAGCGAGGCTCGAAGAAAGTTCTTCTTGTACAAGGAAGGAAGGACGCGCTCTACTCGGTGCTTGTTGACATGCTATCACTCGGTTCGGGTATCTCCCAATAGAAGAATACCGCAAAGAAAGGGGGTTTTTTTTTTGTTTTTTTTTTGTTTTTTTTTTTTTGTTTTTTTTTGGCAACATACCACTGGCCATCTGCTACTGGTCTTTCACATTCGGACGGCATGTCTGGAAGTAAGTCTCCCCTTGCCAAAAGGTGTGATTGATGATCGCCGCCGGTTATTCATGTCCGAGCGAGATGTCGTTCCAGGAGAAAATACACGAGCCCTATTTCCGTGAGGGTCTCGAGACGTGTAATCTACGTCGTCCTGCTATGGGTTTATCTGTCGGAGAAGTCAGGCAGGAACAGGAAGTGACTCTGTAGTACCTAGGCACCATGGAAGGTGTCTTCGAACAACTTGGTAAAAACGACGCGAGAAGGGTCTTGGTGATGGAAGGGCAGAGAAGAGCCCTATGTGAAGATGTGCATTTCTCATTCTGCCTTTTCGGGTTCCTGAAGTGGTGTAGCTACTAACTACGTAAGAGTCCTTCACTTGTTGTGCAGGCTATCTATCATCTTTGAGGCATACTATCTGTCTAGTCTACTAGATACTGCGTATATTTTCCTCAAGCGAATACAACATCATCATGCTCTCAACAGTTCCTCGTGGCTACGCTATCCATGTTCCTGTCCAGCTCAATCAAATCTCGATGAGCTCTTTTCAATCAGGGAAGATTATCTCTCAGAGAGATAAAGAAAGCCGTCGATACCCGCCAAACCACGACAGAAGATTTACGTTCAAGGCATACAACTAACTATGCAAGGGATAGTCTCAGACGACCGGAACATACTACTAGTATTGGAAAGACTCTACCACAGAGGCAAATTGCGTCGTCGTGGTTAACGCCGACAACAATTACGTAGGTGGTGGCTCCGAAGATACCCAAGAATGGAAGCAAACGCACAGAAACGGGGACGCCACCAAGGGAGCTGGAACGAGCTGAGAAGAGACAAACGATGCACCAGCAGATATACCTAGCACTCTTTTTATCTTCGTCGACTTCCCGAGGCGACTTCCTCTTCAGGCCATCCTCTCCCGGAATCGCCCCCAAGCTTGCATGATAGATACAGAGCCAGAGAAGGAATGAATACACCGTCTCCGCATTTGCGCCAGCACCGGCTCGACACGAGCCTCCGTCTCTTCTCTTCCCGTCACACCTCTCCTTACCGGCTTGGCAGAGAAGATCCTGTGATGGTAAGTGCGAACTGGCATGGGTTTGACGAACTTGGGTAGCTATGGTCTGAAGTTGCTGAAGAAACCAGGAGTGATGGAGAAGGCTAGTGTGCTATCATATGCACAATACATCTTCTGAGCTGGAAGAAGACATTGGAAATCGTGATAAGCGTACGTAAAAAAGGGGAGATGGACTTTCAGATCGTCGATTCGTGTCCTTGCAGACAGGACTTACATAGCTTCTTTTCTAATTGTCGTTGTAAGTAGTCACTTTTTGGGGAGCTTGTTTTGCTGGGGCGAGAGATAATAACTCCGTAGACCCAGGACTGTCCAACGGCTTGGTCGAGGTTCTGCTCAACCTTCATCATCGATGCTCCCCTTGCTGAGTCGTGAAGTAAATACATCGATTGAAAGGCTACCGAAATCGATCTCGAATACAGATATTTCTTGATCTTAAACGAAAAGAGATGTGCCAAACAAGGTCTTAGAATTTGGTAGAATTGGAAACATGATGATGTTGAAGATCGGATAAGCATCAAACATGGAAAACGCCAAGTGCTTTTGAAATCAAGAATGCTGGCATTTGCCGAAGTCCCCAAATTTATGGGGACATGGCAATACTTATGATGATATTCGACAGCGTTTGTCTTTTTGTTGTTGCCCTCCTACTCTCGAAAGACAACAATAAACGGGTGAAAGGGCAAGGGGATCGTTGAAGAGAAGTTTGTCATAGGTATCGCTGATATCCATACTTTAGTAGGACATAGTATTTTATGCGTTCCAAAATTCAAAGTCTCCTTCCTCTTCACACCAGAGGCACTAATCATGTGGGGGGGTTGTGGTGGAAGGGCGTCAAGGCGATTGCCCTTCACCAAAGAACAATAATGACTGTTTTGTTGAATGGGTATGTAATTCCACTGCAGGGGGCTCTTGAGCTACGCAGAGTCAAGAGCAAGTTATACAAGGGTAATTTAATCTTGGAACACTTGTGAGGGCTTGAAGGGAAGTGGGCATCTTCTTCTTAAGCGTGACAAATACGGTTCCGGGGCACTTAGAGCAAACGGGAGTCCAGGAATATATACCAGCGCACAACAGCACTTCACAATCGTTCCAATGTACAGTCGTTTGGTTGTATTTTGGCGGTGAATTTAGCTCCCATTCTCTGAGATACTGCATAGAGCCCATGTGTCATGCAATGCTAAGACCTTCCGCCAGAACTCATGATCATCCCAACCCCGAAGAAACCCAAAGCAAAAACCGCAAATCGAAAGCGCTTAGATAGTGGTCTCGTATGCAATCGGCACGACGGTCTCTGGTACGTTGTCCTTCATCGAAATTGTCCGCGCCTCTCTTGGCATCAAGGGTTGTCTCTTCAAGTGGACGTGTGTGCCCTCGGCCTTTGACTTCTTCTTCAGCTCGGCGTTGGTCTTGACACGGCGAACGAACTCCTCTCTCGATCGGGACAGGGAAACGTGCTCGACGCGGAGGTTGACGCGCTTCTCGATGTAGCGGTGCTTGACCTTCTTGTAGATGATGACACCTACTGCGCTCTTGGTAACGTTGTAGACAACGCCGGTCTTGCCGTGGTAGACTGGGAGGTGATATTAGTTCTGTTGATGATAGGCGCTCTTCTATTGTTGTGGCTCGTAGGATTTTTTTTGTGCATTCTTACCCTTGTGTGGCATTCTGATACCAGAGTCAGTAAACATTCTATAGTTTCGCATTCAATTGATCGTGGACTCACCCCTTTTGGACAGCTCCGTTGGCCTTAATGTCAACGATATCTCCAACCCTGAAAGTCTGTCAGTTTCCGGGCAATTGTATAACCTGAGGCCTGGATCTCGCAGAGAGCCGCCAGATAGCCCAGTCCCATCGCAGTATTTACTTGTATTGTCTCAGGTAGGTGGAGAGCTTGATCATTCCCTTCTTTCTGCAAACACGTTAGTACTCGTCCTCCTCGTTGCGGCGCGGCCCAGAGCGGGCTGGCGACTTGCCTAAAGTCCCTCGAAAAGGCATATCGAGTACCTGCGCGGAGACCAGCTGGGTGACCCATTTTGGCGGTATTTGTGGTTGTCGAGGGGGGGTCGTTGTCGTTGGGGCGAAAATGATATTCTTCAAGACCTCGTAACAGCGTCAACTCGGCATCTGGAATTTTCGTGTGGGAATCGCTTAACGACCACGTGATGGGGGCTAGCTCCCGCTACTTCGCCCACAAGTCCCACAAGCCATTTGCAAACTTCCCTTGGAAATTCAAAATCGTCAACACCGACTTCGACAACCACGAATCGCGACCATGGCGCCAATTTCGTACTCCAAGACCTACAAGGTCCCTAGAAGACGTGAGTTGAATATTCTGTGCCCTTGAGGTTCTGCGATTTGAAGGCAGACAGACGTTCTGGTCGAGATCGCATGCGCCCGGCCATCGCACAAAACCCCCACGAACAATTTTGCTGACTTCTTGTAGCTTTCGAGTCTGCTCGTTTGTAAGTTGGCCACTGTATCAGAGCTTGTCTCTCTACATGTCACTGATTCTGTCCTAGGGACTCTGAGCTTAAGCTCGTTGGAGAGTATGGACTACGCAACAAGCGTGAGGTCTGGCGTGTCCAGCTCACCCTCTCCAAGATTCGTCGTGCTGCCCGGTATAGAATCCTACCATCTGCGAGCCCAGAGGCGAATAACTAACATCCACAGTCAACTTCTCACCCTTGAAGAGAAGGACCCCAAGCGACTTTTCGAAGGAAATGCCCTCATTCGCCGTCTCGTCCGTGTCGGTGTTCTCGACGAGTCACGTATGAAGCTCGATTACGTGTTGGCCTTGAAGATTGAAGATTTCTTGGAGCGTCGTCTGCAAACCTGTGTCTACAAGCTCGGTCTCGCCAAGTCCATCCACCACGCCCGTGTTCTCATCCGCCAGAGACACATCCGTGTTGGAAAGCAAATTGTCAACGTCCCATCTTTCGTTGTTCGTTTGGACTCCCAGAAGCACATCGATTTCGCTCTCAGCTCGCCATTTGGAGGTGGACGTCCTGGACGTGTTCGCAGAAAGAAGGCCAAGGCCGCCGAGAAGAAGGACGGCGGTGACGATGGAGAAGATGATGATGAGGAGTAGATGCATTACACGGCTGACATTTGGATGGCTATGGTGTGCACTCTGCATGGTGTTAGTCGCTGGACACCGGGGCGTCGAACCTCGAGGCGTTAGAGATCTGCATCAAAAGCTACATTGAGCATTCACATCAAAATCTGTAAAACTAGCTGTGATTCCGGTGTTTGATCTGTGATATCCCAACACAGGGCACTCTTTTCCATGCAATGACCTAAACGCCCGCTAATGCATGAGGTTATGGTAATAGGTCATCCTTCCCCAAGAACGCCGCCATGGGATCATTTGCAGCCGTCCGCTTCCGCCTGTAATTCTCCATATCCTCTTCCGTGACATCTCCCTTCATTTCCTCGGCCGTTCTCTTCTTCGCCAGTATCGAGCTTGTAGATTCGTCGTTCCGCTTCTCTATGGTCTCGCTCTCATGTTCCTGCCACTCGATCTTCTCCACAGGCGCCGATTCTCCTCCAAAGGCCCCTCCAGTTCGAAGCATGTCCGCTTCTTCGAAGGCCTTTTTGCCTTCATCGCCAGTACAGAAACTGTTCTTGATCACAGAGTGACAGCAAGAGTACCCCCACTTGAAATTTGACCACCAGCTTCCCCATACAGATGTGTGGTTATTAATCAAGACATCTTCTGCGTACTTTGACTTTGAAGAAGCTTTTGGAGCTCCCTTGATAGCACCCGAATCGTCATACTCGATGTATTTCTCGGACTCCATAACGGCAGCGTCTCGTAGTCTGGAGGCGTTTGGGTTGACCTCACCCCCATACTTCTCCAGCAGCATCTTCTTATGCGCTTGCCTTTTGACCTCTGCTTCCTCCTTCTCCTTCTTGCGGTAGTATTCTCCAGAGGTAGGGTTTGCCTGTAAATGTAGCTTCGTGTCGCCAGCTTTCTCCTGAGACTCCCAAGCATACTTCTGCGCTTTCTCAAACTCCGCAGCATCTCCCGAAGCTCTCATAAAGCCCTCTTCGGCGACTAAAGCCGCAGCGGTATCTGCTGTCGCTCCACTATCCACCATAGATCTCGTCTTTGGGTCGTACTTGGCCGAATCCAGATCCAGATTGAGAAGATACTTGGCCGTGTCTTCTCGAATGCGGAGCTGCTTCGTAGATGTCTTTTGCTGTCTCCCCATGTCCGACTCCTCCGCATACTTGGCTCCATCCTCATCATCATCGTCCTCTTCGCTCTTCTTCATTTGCGCATTCTTCAGTTCCTCCAGTTCAGCATACTCGTCCGTCACGGCCTTGTACTCCCGGGAATCGTAGCCATTCCACCGATCTCTCTTCGCATCCCAACCCATATTGACATCCTGAATGATCTCATCAGCCTGGATATCCTTGCCCGTCCACTTCGCGCCTTTGGCTCTGGGTCTGCTCAAGCATTCTTTGGTCTTATGTGTCATAGCACCGCAATTTTCGCATGCGCCTTTGCGGAATTTGGTCGCGGCTGGACCAGCTTTTTTCCCTCGGTCGTACCATTTCGAGTTCTCTTCTTGGGCTTTTTGTAGACGTTGATGCTCGAGGTAATCGTTCTGGTCGTCTTCGCCGATGTAGAAGGGCTTCTTCGAGATGAAGGAGGGGATATATTCGTTGGCTTCCTTATTCGCCGCCGAAGGAGCCGCCGGCTTTCTAGGTTGCGCGCCAGCTGGAGGCATGTTGTGTATTTTTTTCGAGGATAAATTCCATGCAAGAATGATGTGAGAATGAAACCTTGAGGGGGTAGGGATGGGACAGTCTGCAATCTAATCACCCGTGACTTGGTGATCGATGGCGCGTCAATATTAAAACAACACGTCTCTCTTCACGCATTCGACGTCGAAACACTCGCGATGGGACCTGAGCCTAGTAATCCCATGATAGTAGACAATGTTGCTCAATTTCTACACGAATTTACGGCCTCTATTCTGACCAGGAGTCCAATCCATCATGGAACTCTTTCGTGTGCGACTCAATTGCATCGACTACTACCAGTCTACGCCTTCAAAATTTGACCCTCCCCTTCGAAGAAACATTAAACCTTCTCAGATATCCAAAGAACCAAAGGTTCCGGTGATAAGAGTGTTCGGAGCCACCGAAACAGGCCAGAAAGTATGCGCTCATATTCATGGAGCCTTCCCGTACCTCTACGTGGAATATAATGGGAGCCTTATTGAAGATGACGGTCAGTATTTCAAATCACAGTTGGAATCTCATAGCTGACTTCTTTATAAGTCGGTGCGTATATACATCGCCTTCATCTGTCTATTGACTTTGCTCTGGCTGTCAGCTATCGACGAAATGTATCTGACGACAATGCCAAATTCGTTGCGCGCATCACTCTTGTGAAAGGAATTCCGTTCTACGGCTTCCATGTTGGCTACCGATTCTATCTCAAAATTTATATGTTGAACCCCATGGTCATGACGCGACTTGGAGACCTCTTGCGGCAGGGAATCATCATGAAGAAAGTGTTTCAACCCTATGAAGCTCACCTTCAATACCTACTCCAGTGGATGGCCGACTACAACCTTTACGGATGTGGCTACATCGACTGTGGCAAAGTCACTTTTCGTGGGCCGGTGCCAAAATATGATGAGCTAGACAACATATCTCATCTGTGGCATGATCGTTCAATTCCAGCTGATTCTGTTAGTGACGAGTCGGAGCTTCCCAGAGTGAGCCACTGTTCTTTGGAAGTAGACATTTGTCTCCAGCATATCCTGAATCGCCGAGATATCAAGCCTCGCCCTCTCCACCACGACTTTATTGAGCGTCTGAACCCGCTGGCCCCGAATGAGAAGCTAGTCCACAGTATGGCCGGTCTTTGGAAAGACGAAACCCGGCGTCGAAAATCACGAATGACGAATCCGGCCCCTGGATCAAGTCCTTTTCCTGCGGAAGTTATGATATCTATGTCAGCAGATCCTCGAAACACACAAGCGGCTGGATGGATTCATGAAGAAGAATACCGTGAAAAGTTGATTTCTCTCATAAGCGAGGAAAAAAACAAGAGCGATGGTGCCAAAATCTCCTTCGAATCATTTGTGAAACCCACTCCATTCGAGTCCTTGGTGAAGACGAGTCTAGAGTCAGTTGAGGATCTGTATCCTGAAAATCTGCGCCCAACCTTAGGGCTAGCTCCTGGGACCAGCATTGATGGCGTCGACTTTGATATGAATGACACTGAAGCTAGAGTCATCGACGAGGGGAAAATCAGGAACTTCATGACAGATAACGATGATGACTTTCCTTACGATTCCGATGAAGAAGTAATGCGAGAGATATCGCTGTCACAGAGGAAGAGAGGAGACCAGGTCGAGGGGAAACACCTCGAATCGAACGACATTCATCAGCCGGAGCGTAAAGTTGACGATGAGTTTCGTCCTGCTGGCGATGCCAATGGAGATCAGTTGATAGACCCTCTGGACGCAGCTACCACAAGCAATTTAACAAGCGATTTCACAAGCTCATCCGAGTCTCACATGGGCGACATCGACATTGGAACAGAGTCCAGGAACTTCGAGGGCTCGGGAGATATGCACAGCAGAAGTCTGTCTCCCGCGGAATCCGTTCGCAAGGGGCTCAAGCGACAAGAGTCTCCAGTAGACCCTTCAAACTCTCACAGAAATCATAAGAAACGCCAGAGAATTTCGTATGCAGATGCGGACGCTGACCACATTGACCAATTTTCTGACCTGCCTCCGCAAGAAGAGATTCAAAATGAGCAGTCTAGCAACGGTCGACAGCCTGCTCTTCTAGGCTCGTCGAAGTTGTCTCCTGTAGCCAAGGCAGAACACCTGAGTACCAAATCTGGACTTCGGGGTGCAAGGGCGCCCGTTAGCTTGAGATCTTCACAGGAATCTATCAAAGCAAGAGATGCTTCTCAGCCAACATCCCTCAGGTTTCCGGTTGTCAAAGACCCTCATGACCCGGATACGATGTTGAGATTAAGTCAAAGGGGATCCCAGAATGCTCTCTCTGGGAGGATAAAGCACGTTTCATTCGATCCATCTCCGTCAACATTCGAATCAGAACGAGAAAACCCATCCAAAAGTTCTGTAATCCAGGGAAGTGTGGGTCAAAAACCCTTAACTCCTGCAGCAGCTATTCTGAGAAACATGGCCGTTGAGTACGGAAAGACAGCGACAGGGCGAATTCTCATATCAAGTACACTTCCTCCATCGAAGATTCATGTCGCCTCAACCATGCAGGCATCCGGACTCCCGCCGGTCATCTACCAGGATGCTTACTACAGCAACGAGGTCGATGTCCCGGACCGTCCGAGGGAGTGGGCTGGAAGGGAATTCAAACTTGAAAGCTTGACCGTTCCGTTCTTACCTGAATTTGATCCCACAGGTACATCGGATGCAGTGCTTGGTCAGAAACTTGGCGCGTTGCCGGACAAAGTGAAAGAAGAAAAGAGCTACCAGCGTCAACGGCAAAGTTGTAGCCTGCGTAGCTGGATGATTGCAACACCTCCTCCCACTTATGCAGAAGTTGCCGACTGGTCGCGGAGAGAACGCTTCAAACTGTCGCACAATCTCATGGCACAGAACTCTGGACCCTCTCGTGTTGAAGAAAAATCGGCACAGAGCAATCTCTCTCAAATAGACGGACCCACTCAGAAAAACAAGCATGGCTTCAAGTATACTCAGGACCAAAAGACCACTAGCGTCAAGCACGAGGCTCAGTACATGAGTACAATGAGTCTGGAGGTTCACATCAACACAAGAGGGAACTTTGTACCGAACCCAGAAGAGGATGAAGTGCAGTGCGTATTCTGGTGTCTCCAGTCAGATGATGAGGGCCTCCTAAACAACTGCGCAGTGGACGGAACGCATCTTGGGGCTGTTGTCCTCTCAGAGGATGGTGTCGTGACTCGGAAAATTGCCAGGCAGATTTCTATTGATATCCAAGAAGAGTCTACCGAGCTGGATCTTATGATCCGTATGGTCGAAATCGTGCGGAACTATGACCCAGACATCCTCACTGGCTATGAAGTGCACGGCGGCTCATGGGGATACTTGATCGAACGCGCGCGTCTGAAGTATGACTATAACCTCTGCGACGAATTCTCGCGTATGAAGGCACAATCACACGGGAGATTTGGTAAAGACAGCGACAAGTGGGGCTTCAACAATACATCGACGATCCGTGTGACCGGCAGGCATATGATTAATATCTGGCGGGCCATGCGCAGCGAGCTGAACCTCCTCCAGTATACCTTGGAGAACGTCGCTTTCCATCTCCTTCATCGTCGAATCCCCCATTTCACCTGGGCCGACTTGACACGCTGGTATGTCAATGGCAAGACCAGAGACCTGGCGAAAGTCGTAAACCATTACGCCACGCGGGTCCAGCTCGACTTGGAATTACTCGATGCAAACGAATTGATTCCGAGAACGAGTGAGCAAGCCCGCCTGCTGGGAGTCGATTTCTTCTCGGTGTTCTCGCGTGGCTCCCAGTTCAAAGTAGAATCTCTCATGTTTCGTATCGCAAAGCCCGAAAACTTCATGCTTGTCTCCCCAAGTAGAAAACAAGTTGGTGGTCAAAATGCCTTGGAGTGTTTGCCCTTGGTCATGGAGCCTCAGAGCGCCTTCTACAACAGTCCGTTGCTGGTTCTCGACTTCCAAAGTCTTTATCCCAGTGTCATGATTGCATACAATTACTGCTATTCTACCTTTCTTGGGCGCATTGTCAACTGGCGCGGCAAGAGCAAGATGGGCTTCGCTGAATATCAAAGGCAACAGCGGCTTCTCGAGTTACTAAAGGACCACATCAACATTGCTCCCAACGGTATCATGTATGCAAAGCCAGAGATCCGGAAGTCCCTACTCGCCAAGATGTTAGGGGAGATTCTTGAGACCCGAGTCATGGTAAAGAGTGGAATGAAAGTGGACAAGGACGACAAGTCACTCCAGCGTCTGCTCAACAATAGGCAGTTGGCCCTGAAGTTGATAGCAAATGTCACTTACGGATACACGTCAGCTTCTTTCTCAGGCCGCATGCCTTGTTCCGAGATCGCTGATAGCATTGTTCAGACAGGTCGCGAGACCCTCGAGAGAGCTATTGCTCTGATTCATTCTGTCAAAAAATGGGGAGCGGAAGTTGTCTATGGAGATACGGATAGTATCTTCGTCTATCTGAAGGGCCGAACCAAGGACCAGGCGTTCGATATCGGCGAGGAGATTGCAAAAACTGTAACCAACATGAACCCTCGCCCTATCAAGCTTAAGTTCGAGAAAGTCTACTTACCATGCGTCTTACTGGCAAAGAAGCGTTACGTCGGGTTCAAATACGAAAGTAGGAATCAATCTGAACCAGACTTTGATGCGAAGGGTATCGAAACTGTCCGCCGTGATGGAACGCCAGCGGAGCAAAAAATTGAAGAGAAGGCACTCAAGATCCTATTTCGAACCTCTGACCTGAGCCAGGTCAAGTCATACTTCCATCATGAGTGTGAGAAGATTATGAAAGGCTCGGTGTCAGTTCAAGATTTCTGCTTCGCTAGAGAAGTCAAACTAGGGACATATAGTGACAAGGGACCACCTCCACCTGGAGCACTTATCAGCACAAAGCGTATGCTGGAAGATGCTCGAGCAGAGCCCCAATATGGCGAACGGGTGCCATATGTTGTCATCACTGGTGCTCCGGGAGCACGACTCATTGATCGATGCGTCGCCCCAGAGGAACTTCTGGAAAACGAGCACAGTGAGCTTGATGCTGAATATTACATATCGAAGAATCTCATACCTCCACTTGAACGAATCTTCAATCTCGTTGGGGCCAATGTCCGGAACTGGTACGATGAAATGCCAAAAGTCCAACGGATCCGTCGAGTCGATGCAAATTTGCAGCTCCAAGGAATTTCGAAAGATTTGGGAATCAACAAAAAGACCCTCGAATCTTACATGAAGTCGTCTTCGTGTCTTGTTTGTAAGGAAAAACTGGAAGTCGAAGGCTCGATCTGCCCGAAATGCTTATCAGAAAAGCCAACATCTCTGTTGACTCTGAGGCATCGACTCAATGGCGCAGAGAGAAAATTCATGGACATCCAGAAGATATGTCAAGGCTGCTCGGGGATATCACCCTTGGACGAAGTCCGCTGCGATAGCAAGGATTGTCCAGTCTTCTACACGAGGACGAAGCAGAATGCAAGACTGAAGACAGAAAAGTCTATCGTGGAGCCTGTTATGAAAGAATTGGCCGGGATGATTGTAGATATGGGTGACCTGGATTGGTAGGATAGTATGGAATATGGATCTGGGAGACCTGGTCACATGGCTGGCACTTTCTCGCGTTGCGTATCCGTTTAAGTTTGGATACGATGAGTTGGAGACGACATTGAGTTTAGTACTGCGAATAGAGGAAGCGCATGAGCCGTATAGAATAGCGTTTTGTCAGTTACAAAGTGACAGCTGTTCTTAGTCGGAAAAAAGGCACTCATTCCGCGCACCCCACGAAGGCCTTCTATAGAATCAACTACGAGGTTTTCTTCACATCTGCAAGATGGCAAGACATAATGAAGAACACGAGAAGTTTAAACAGTATTCAATGCGCGTCTTCAAATTGTTTCCGTCCCGTGTGCGAAGTAGATTGAGTCTGGCCTTTAAATCCCGGCCTACAACCGCAACTTGTTTCATCGCATTTCTAGGACGAGGCGGCAAGGCGTCCATCAGCCTTACCCTTGCTTGCTCTGCTCACGACCTCACGTTACTTACTTTACATACATACCAGTAATCCGTACCAACCCACCACTGCTTCTTCACAGCTTCTGGCCGCGCTCGCTTCCTACGATCACCGTGTTCACAGCTACTTGCCGTGGCTGTCGCGACTCAAGCCGGATAAGTATCGATGCCATTATGGGCGATCTGCTGAAGTTCCTCTTCGTTTACTTGCTCGGTGGCCTTACGCTCTTCCCGCTGGTCATTCTGGCAGTGTTATCCCTTGCTTACTTCAAACTTCCTTTACACAAAGAATCAGCAGACAAAGACTACGATGCAGAATCGATTGTGCAACCCGGCGACGACGTCGACGCGATCAAACGCGCCCAGCTGGGGGAGAAGTTTCAGCCTCGGGATAGCCATGAAGCTGAGGTAGCGGCGGGGTATTTTGCTGTGTCAAGGACATACGTGCCCGGAGGCGTTGGAGCCCTTCCACCGGAGAGGAGTACGCCTACGGGGTCTACAACTGTGTCTGCGCCGAGTCCGAGTGTCTATCAGACTATGTACAGGAGCATATTCGACCGGAAGCCCGTGAACAGCCCTATCGACAATAAGCCTCAAAGGAGAGGGAATAATGTATTCTACGTGGTTCTGAGGTAGCCCTTTTACTGCAGAAACGTATCGAAAACATCTAACACTCTACGTAGGCATGGTCATCTCATGTTATTCGACGACGACGAGCAGCTCGAGGTCAGGCACGTTGTTTCATTAGCTCACCACAAAGTCAGCATATATTCCGGGGGAGAGGAAACGCCGGAAGGGGAGCTATTCATAAAGCGGAATGCACTATGTCTTTCGAGGAGGACGGATGTTGGAGAGATCTCGCCAGATGGGAAGGCTTCGAAGCCCTTTTTCCTGTTCTCGGAGAACTGCTCTGAGAAGGAGGATTTCTACTTTGCGCTTCTACGGAACCAGGAGAGGACACCGGATGCCAAATACAACCCTCCCATGCCGCTACAGTACGATGTTAAGGATATTATAACGTTAGTGCAGAGGTTACATTCGTCAGAAGAGCAGCTGCAAACACGATGGATCAACGCTGTGATAGGCAGGATATTCCTGGCTCTGTACAAAACCCCAGAAGTCGAGAATTATGTCCGGGCCAAGATCACTAAGAAGATCTCGAGAGTGAAGACCCCGGCGTTCCTATCCAAGATCTCGCTGCCACATATCGATATGGGCGAAGCTGCCCCTGTGATCACGAATCCTCGACTAAAAGACTTGACTGTGGATGGCGAAATGGTGGTTGAGGCCGACGTGAAATATTCGGGGAACTTCCGCATTGAGGTGGCTGCAACTGCTCGCATTGACCTGGGATCAAGATTCAAAGCAAGAGAGGTCAATTTGCTACTTGCAGTAGTTCTGAAGAGAATCGAGGGCCATGTACTGATCCGTATCAAGCCACCGCCATCAAATCGACTCTGGATGACCTTTCAAACGATGCCAAAAATCGACATGACCATAGAGCCCATTGTCAGCGCGAGGCAGATCACGTATACAATAATCTTGCGGCAGATTGAAAACCGCATCAAAGAAGTTGTTGCCGAAAGTCTGGTCTACCCAAACTGGGACGACTCTCCCTTTCATAATAGCGAGGACAAGCTTTGGAGAGGTGGCATCTGGGCTGATGAGGGCGTATCCGGGCGTCCCTTGGACGCTCAGTCGACAGCAGCGCAGGAAGGGGACGTTGACGAAGTGGAACGCTTAGATTGCGAGCACAACGAATCCGCAATTGATCTGCCTCAAATTGAGAAGAGCATAAGCGCCCCTCTTGTCGACGCTTCTCCTCCAAGTACGGTCTATGCACGAAAAAATGCGAAGTCCGCCCTCAACCCCACCAACCCAAAGCTCAATGGTTCGTCCACCAGTATTGACACTCTATCTCCTGGCTCTGAGAAGCCAAAGGCTCTCCGTTCAGGGTCCTTTACCGGTGCAGCTACACCGGTTGTTAGCACAAACATCACAAACGCAGATGCTATCAAGACCACGGCAACACCGGAACATAGTCACGCCATGGCGGCAATTGCAGCTCTCTCCCAAACAAATTCTCCTGTTCATACTCCTGTTGGATCACCGTCACAACCATCGCGTACAGAAAAATTCGGCAGTCTATCATCTGCATCTTCCATGGACACCTCGCAATCAAGCTCGGAAAAGGATCTGCAGAACGAGATCACACCCCAGCCTTCCGCGAATGCCTCGGAATCCCTTGACCGTTCTCCATCTATTAGATCAGAAGCAGCGTCCACAAGATCTTTCGGGTCTTTTGGGTCTGACTCAAGACGTGAAACCTCGACTTCCTCATCGAGGTCCTCGGCAGCAGAGACTAAGCGAATCTCTCTAGCTGCTGTGACCAACGCCGCTGCTACGGCAAAGAAATGGGGTTGGAGTGCTTTGTCAAGAAGTTCAGACAGGACGGACACATCCCCCGAAGAGACTCCTTCTCGGCCCCTTGTCATGGGACGTGGGCAGCCGCTGCCTCCTCCTGGAGTACCTCTACCTCGCCCGGACAAGAAGACAAAGACTGCACCGATTCCCGTTCCGAAACGAAAGCCTGTTGTACCACCTCCTGATCTGCCACCAAAGCCAAGTGACTCTCCATCAGATACACATGCTCTCCGCGGCCAGCAGCATGCTGTACCACCACCACTTCTTCCCAAACGTAGAAGTAAAGAAAACCAGAGGTCGAGTAACATGTCTTCCGATGATGGAATGCTTGTGATCGAAGCACCAGCTACAGATTCTGGCTCATCAACACCGATGACCGAGAATGGGCTCGTTTACATGCAACCCTGGGTAGACGATGTAGACGAAGCAGATGAAGCAGGAGCTCCAAAACCGAGTCACCAACCTGCTTCGAGCCCGGGGCCACCTCGCCTGCCAAGAAGGCCTCCGCATCGGGTCTTGTCTAGTAGCCCGGAGGAGGACGGCCATAAACTACCATCTTGGATGGCAGCACAGGAGGAAGAGGCCAGAGCGAAAAGCTCATTTGTAGATGAAGATGCTGGTCTGTGATGGGTTTTCGTTGTATCTTTTTATGGACAGGGGAGAGCTCCGGGGAAAAGGTTCCAGAGGAGGACGGGTAATGATCAAAGTACATATGGGGAGGACAGGCGTTGCATAAAGTTTTCTCGGTAATGGTGGAACTGGAGTTTGGGGAACAGGGGGACATCTGGCGTTGCGTATGGGGGTCAGGCATTTTGAAATGGAAACAAGGAGACCCCATGTTAGCCAGCAATCAGTCTCCGTCTTAGAACAATTTGAGGGGCAATGATGACTATCTTCCTCAATGATCAGTATCCCGATGCATGAGTTAATCCCTTTATTCCTCAATCATCTAATTGGTAGAATTACTATACAGTTACTGTACACAGTATTGACGTAAAAGAAAACCGCCAGAATTCTCAAACTTCCTTCCCGGAGGGTGAAACTTGAATAAGTACGGGGTCCATAATTACATACAGTACTGCTACTGCCTTCAACCTTCTACGCTTCCATGCGACCAAGCCGGCCAAACTTCTTCATTTCTTAAACCGTCCCTGCAATAAATCCCCCATAATCTCCACCAGGTTACCTTTTCTTACTCCGTACAACTGGAGCCGTGACGTTTCTTGCCCAGCCCGGATTTGCTGGCGCCTACCGCCACATTACGCAACTACCGCCGAGCTGGAGGTGACAAGGCGTCCAGATAATCCTAGCCTACGACGGCTTCCTTTTTGTACCCTCCATCCTCCTCACATTTCTGTCGTACATTGCTTCCTGCCCTTCCGCTTCCTGCCCTTCCGCTTCTTGCCCTTCCTGAGTGCATTCGGCATCTGCGTGTACACCGACGAGCGTTTCCAAGGATGAATAGCTACGCCCCAACCACGCGAAATGTCGACCTCACAAAGTCCGTTGTCCCAGGGTGTCCAGGCACTTTTGAAAATCTGCCTTTCATGCTTCAGCCTTTGTTCAGGACACTAATGCGACTGTGATACAGGTCCGAGGGGGAGCTTGCGATCAATATCCGGAAAGCCACGAGTATTGAGGAGACGGCTCCGAAAAGAAAGCATGTCCGAAGCTGCATCGTTTACACATGGGACCACAAGTCGTCTGGGGCATTCTGGGCCGGCATGAAAGTGTTAGTTGGTACCGCGTGCTAGAGAACGGTGCTTGGGAATTGCTGCTGGATGGCCTCAGGGCTGTTTCACCCCGGGCCGGACGGCTGTCAATTCTTTCGGAGGAGGAGGCTGATGTGAAGATACAGGCAACCGATTCTTGCAGACGAAGTACAGACTTTTAAGGCTTTGATTACGGTCCACAAGGTCCTGCAAGAAGGCCATCCGTCGACTCTTAGAGAAGCAATGGCAAATCGGAGCTGGATTGACAGTCTGAACAGAGGAGGAGCGCTAGGAGAAGGATTGCGAGGATATGGTCCACTGATCAAAGAATACGTGAATTTCCTGCTTGCGAAGCTATCCTTCCATTCGCAACATCCAGACTTCAATGGGACATTCGAATATGAGGAATATATCAGCTTGAAGGGGATCAATGACCCCAATGAAGGCTACGAGACCATTTCCGACCTGATGGCACTGCAAGATAGAATCGAACAGTTCCAGAAATTAATCTTCTCGCATTTCCGGAGCGGTGGAAACAATGAGTGCAGGATCTCCGCCCTGGTGCCCCTTGTGCAGGAGACTTATGGAATTTACAAGTTCGTCACGAGCATGCTGCGGGCTATGCATACGAGTAAGTAACAGGCGGACTCATGCGACAATCAATTTTCTGATGTATTGTAGCAACTGGAGATGATGAGGCCCTGGAACCCCTCCGAAGCCGTTATGATGCCCAGCATTACCGCCTGGTCAAGTTCTATTACGAATGCTCGAACCTCCGATACCTCACAAGTCTAATCACCGTCCCAAAACTACCCCAAGACCCTCCGAACCTCCTCTCTGAAGACGACGCTGCCCCAAGATTGCCCCAGCGGCCGAAGCAAGAAATTGAGAGGCGAATCACACCTCCGCCAGCCCCAAAAGCAGATGAGCCGGATGACATTGGAGAGTTCTGGAAGAACGAGCAAGCGCGACAGAACAGAGAATATGAGGAGCAGCAGAGAGTTCTGGAGGAGCGACAAGCCCAGCAGCTGTATGCGCAGCAACAGGCGGCTCTCCAAGCCCAGCGTGACTTCGAGGAGCAGCAACGGCAGCTGGCTGAGCAGCAGAGACGAGATCAAGAAGCTCTTTTGAACCAGCAATTCCAGCAGCAAACACAAGGTCGCATGGCACAGCTGGAGCAAGAGAACTTCGATGCCAGAGCACAGTATGCACGGGACCAACTCATGCTCCAGCAGTACGACCAGAAGATCAAGGCGTTGGAGGGCGAGCTTAGCCAGCTGCAGAATAGCTACGGCCAGCAGATGGGGAGTAAGGATGACCAAATTCGGGCTCTTCAGGAGCAAGTCAACACCTGGCGCACAAAATATGAGGCTCTTGCCAAGCTGTACTCGCAGCTGCGTCATGAGCATCTGGATCTGCTGCAGAAATTCAAGGGCGTGCAACTGAAGGCTGCTTCTGCTCAAGAAGCAATCGACAAACGGGAGAAGCTTGAGCGCGAGGTCAAAACTAAAAACCTCGAGTTGGCTGATATGATCCGGGAACGAGATAGAGCTATGCACGAAAAAGATCGCTTGACCGGTGGGAATCGCGAGGAGCTGGAAAAGTTGAAGAGGGAGTTGAGGATGGCACTCGATCGGGCTGACAACTTGGAGCGGAGTAAGGGCAACGAGCTCTCTTCCATGCTCTCCAAGTACAACCGAGAGATGGCGGATCTCGAGGAAGCTCTGCGGAAGAAATCCCAGGCTCTCGAGGATGTGCATAATAAGTACAGCGAGGGTGGATCAGATGCCGAGCGCTTGCTGCGGGAGAAGGAGGACGAGCTGGAGGTCTACAAGCAAAGTCTGGATGATACTCTCATTAGACTAAATGAGCTGGAGATGTCCAAGGGTGACACAGACAAGGCTCTAGATGGTGAGATTGATGCCATGCTTCTTTCCAACATCGACAAGCTCAACGATATCATTGACTCTGTACTCCAAAGTGGTGTTCAGCGAGTCGATGATGCCCTCTACGAGTTGGATTCCTCCATGCAGGCTGGAAACCAAAATGCTACACCCTCGTATGTCCTCTCGCAGATTGAGAAGGCTTCCTCGAGCTCCATGGAGTTTGCAACATCATTCAACAACTTCATTGCAGATGGGCCGAGCAGCAGCCATGCGGACATCATCAAGAACGTCAACGTCTTCTCAAGCTCTATTGCGGATGTTCTAAGCAACACCAAGGGTCTAACAAGACTCGCCACGGATGACAAGAAGGCAGATCAGCTCACTAACGGTGCACGTCAGTCGGCGCTGTCTACCGTCAAGTTCTTCCGCGGCCTCCAAAGCTTCCGACTCGATGGCATGGATCCAATGCAGAAGACTGATGTGGTCATCAACAGCAATAACGAGGTACTGATGAATCTGCAGAAGCTCAGCAAGCTTGCGGATTCGTTTGCGCCCAGCAGCGGCAAGCTGAACACAAAGGGCGACCTGGGTGACCTAGTAGACGACGAGCTGAACAAGGCTGCTAATGCCATCAATGCCGCTGCAGAGCGCCTCGCGAAGCTCAAGTCCAAGCCCAAGGACGGCTACTCGACCTACGAACTCCGCATCCATGACTCGATCCTCGACGCCGCGATCCAGGTGACAAACGCCATCGCAAGACTGATCAAGGCCGCCACGGTCACCCAACAGGAGATTGTGCAAGCAGGTAAAGGAACATCCTCCAAGAGCAGTTTCTACAAGAAGAACAACCGATGGACGGAAGGTCTCATCTCTGCCGCCAAAGCTGTCGCTACTTCGACCAATACCTTGATCGAGACGGCAGATGGTGTTCTCTCCGGCCGCAACAGCCCCGAGCAGCTCATCGTTGCCTCGAACAACGTTGCGGCCTCGACGGCACAGCTGGTAGCTGCTAGCCGAGTCAAGGCTGGCTTCATGAGCAAGAGCCAGGAGTCCCTGGAGCAGGCGAGCAAGGCTGTGGGTGTTGCGTGCCGATCGCTTGTGAGACAGGTGCAGAGCATGATCAAGGACCGCGACCAGGAGGACGAGAAGGTCGATTATGCCCAGCTGGGTGCGCATGAGTTCAAGGTGCAGGAAATGGAGCAGCAGGTACGTCTTCTACATCTACGGATGGCAGGGATATGCATCTGTGCTAACTGTATGACCAGGTCGAGATCCTCCAGCTGGAGAACAATTTGGCGGCGGCGAGGCAGAGATTGGGTGAGATGCGGAAGGTGTCGTACCAGGAGGAGTAGGGCCAGGGCGTGGGTGGGATGGGGACGTGGACGGGGGCTGACGGGAGGGTAGACAAGAGGGGTTGTGTATATGTAGCGCACACACTCAGTGGATGAATGATAAAATTGCCCGGTACCTACTTCGGGTCTCCTTGCGCGTGCCGGATACGTGATGCTTGATGCTCTCGGTATGCAAAGGGATGTCACGGCCGTGGATCTCAAGGCAGGCGGTCTCTTGTCTTGCCGACTGGACACTCTCTTCTGCAGCGACGAGTGAGCGCTGGAGGGAGTGGCAGCATGCATGCCCAGCAGGATGTACATCCGTTCCGCCTCGTATTCGTTCTACCATAAGTACCTGCTTTGCTAAACTGTCCCTCTCTCTCTGCAACCCAGAGCTTCCAGGCTTCCAACCTCGCTTTGTATGTATGTGTGTATGTAATCAATCCTCCTGATCTCCTGATCTCCTGATCTCCTGATTAGCTTTTAGTAGCCAGTTTCCAGCAGCAGCTTCCAGCAGCAGAAGGTGGTAGGTGCCTTTCGTATGTTTGTTGTGTTGTGTGTGTATGTATGTGTATGTGTGTGTATGTGTGTGTTGCCCTCTCTCTCTCGCAGTTAGTGACGCAGTGAGCGAGCGAGCGAGTGAGTGAGTGAGTGATGCAAGGAAGGAGGGAGGGAGTGAGTGAAGCTTTTTCTAGGAAACATCTCGCTCGATGCTATCCACCCAGCCTTGGTCTTGAGCCGTGCTGCCTTCTTGCTCTTTGACGGTTGAGGGCTTTCGCTTGCTGGCTGGCTGGATGGATGTATATCTGCCGTCTTTTTGTGTGTGTGTGCGTCTGTCTGTCTGTCTGTTTGTCTGGAGTCGGCGGAGGGGAGGAGAGGAGAGTTGGTTAGTGCGTGTGTGTGTGTGTGTGTGGATCCTGCTTGCTTGCTTTCTCGTGGCTTGCAGGAGGGGGAGGGGAAGGGGGAGGATGGTGTTGTGCTCCTCTGCGGGATCTTCTTCTTCTCTTGTCCTGCTGTTTGCTTGTTAGGGAGGTATCTGCCTCCTTCGCGGTAGGCGGAGTTGGTCGGGTCAGTCCCTGACGAGCTGGGTGTTTGGATTCTGCGCTCGGTGCCTTGATATAAGAGAAGTAGGGAGGGGGTGGGATGGAGCAGTAGTGTAGTGTCGCATCGGTGTGGACCTACGTTCTCTGCTCTTTCCTGGCGCATGCATGCTTGAGCGGTCGATGTAATCGTAGTCTAGAGAGAGGAGAAAGGAAAATCCATACTGGGGTAGATTTTGAAATCATGCTCTTCTCTTCTCTTCTCTTCTCTTCCCTCCTGTTGCTCAAGTCAGCCCATCTATCCATCCATTCATCTTTCCACCAGCTGTATCCAAGAGTCCTCCTCCTCATGAGAGTCTGGAAAGGAAAGGAAAGGAAGATAGATCCCGACGCCGACGCAGCGTTGGAGTTTCTGCTCTTCGCGTCATCTTCAGGATCCCTGGAGCCCAGCAGCATCTCGAGAGTCTTTCTTTTCCTCCTGTGCCCTCAGGAATTCCTCACACGAAACCCTGCGCCGGAGGAAACGCTCGCTGTGACATTCAGCAGCAAGCAGCCAGGGACTTGAGATTTCTGTTTTACACCCTCGCTCGTCCTCGCTCGGTAGCCAGGTCTGATGGGGAGCACACGCGGCTGTCTCTCTCGATTCCCAGACTGTCTGACCATCTTCCCGAAACCACGGGAGAGGCTGAATCCTGCATCTTTCAGGTCTCCCCCACCTGGCCTGACATCCACGCGGTCTAATCTTCAGCCTTCGGCAAGAGCAAATCTGCATCCGTAACTATAACCGTAGACCACGTGTGTGGCTTCCAACGAGGAGCTTGGCTGGCTGTTCTTGGGCCGCCTAGAGATTGAGATGGGAGGAGCAGTTGTGGATGGCGATTGGGAGCAGGGAAAGACAGACAGCAGCGCGCAGAAGGGGTTTCTTGGGGTTCAGATGGGTGAGAAGATCGTCGGCTCTTGAGCTGCGGATAGATAGATGTACAGACAGCTGTCACCATCAAATGCATATTTCATTAATTGTGCGATTGTGCAATTGTGCAATTGTGCAACGATCGCGGGGGGAACTCTTGAGGGTGATGACCTCTTGTTGAGTACTTCTGTTTGAGCAGCCTAGAAGACAGACAGACCTACATACCCATCGGTTGCCTCTCAGTGTCTCCGAGTCAGGTTGATGGTCGTCGAGTCGCGACTCGGTAAGAAAGCTGACAATGTCCTGGTCAGGGCAAGAGTCTCGGACAATAATTGAAGCAAGGGGAGATCATTGGCGCCCAGAAGTGCCATCCAGCAATGTGGGACCAGGGTCCAAGGGTCCAAGGGTCCAGACGCAGCAACAGAAAAACAGGGCCTTGGAATCCCCCATCCCTTACTCCAAGGACAAAGAATTGGACATGGGAAAGAATTCGAAAGCGTTTTTTACAGAGAGTGGCGGATGTATCCATCACGAACAGTAATCTGTCTTCCTGTACCACTTTCCTCGGGAAGAGAACGAAGAGAACGAGCAAGACTTGGAGAAGGAGATGTGGTTTGATTTGACTTGACGGCGGCATCTAAGACTATCCCGGCAGGTGTAACCTTGCACCGGCGTACATTAGCGTCCAGCTTTATTTCCACGACCGAACTCCAGACCCCCCAGAGCTGTAGATTCCTGTGACCGCTCATAATGCGCTACCTGCATACGTTTTCCCGGTAACGCTATGATCCTGCCGGCAAGACTTTTTGTGAAGAAGTATGTGCGGCTACTCGACTAGAGTACGGTTGATGTAGAGTTGCAAGGGCTGGGTTGGAATGTGCTGTGCTGAGCCATAAGAAATCTCAGCACCCAGATTCGTCTGAGCTGATAAAGGAATGTGATAGCCATACTCTCGCGGCTCGGGAGCCGTGCTGCATCTCTCCAAAATGATATGAGTCCGGCTTGATCCCAATGACCACGGCGCGCGCCAAGGGAGAGTCCTTTGATGCATAAAGCTTTGCGATAGATGCAGCTAGCTTCTGGCTCCCATCGCAGCCCTTTCTTTGTTGAAGCCAGTCGACTTGGCCTCCAGACATACAGGTCCCTTGACTTCTACAAGATTTGGCTATCAGTTCTTCAATCTTCGACCTTCCAGATAGACTTGTACTCTAGCTTTCCTGCCTTTCGTCATTGGCCTTTCCACAAGTATCAGGTGTGTTGTATATTACTCAGTGAGTAATCTCTGTTCTTCTTCCTTCATAGCACCGTTGGCTCTTTGCTGCTCTCCCACTTGGAATGAATGGATGTTTGCTTCATGGCGTGTATTGTTGGCTGCTTGTTTCATGCCGAGCATCGTGTGTGCTCTTGCTTCAGCTCTGAGGAAGAGTTTGGATATTAAACAGTGTGAAGCCTCGACTCGCGCTTTCTCTCTCTGGTGCTTAACAACTAAAACTATATCAGCTCATGTGTATATCAACTACGCTTTGGCAACTCACGAATGTCTGCAAGGCTGGCCAAGTCCAACCGTGAGCTGGCATTTCGACTGGAGACAAGCTTCGTATCAGGAGTGAACTGCGCCAAGAGCAGAATCTCTGCCCTGTTCAAATTGCCCTCTACTTGATTGCAAATTTGGATGATAGGCGAAACATTGTCATTATCGTATCGAGTGCTCCGCAAGAGACGGTGCCTGTTGGCAAATTTGGCAGTTGTCCTAGAAGTTCGTGAGCCTGCTTCCGATTCAAAAGAAAGAAACTCACTCTTGCAGATTCTTTCGAATAGCATAGCATTGTATGACTGGCAGCCAATGCACCGGGTCTTCCACGCCAAAGGCTGCAACCATCAGTGTAGCTTCAGTCTTGAACCAGTAATCCCCAAGAATCTTTTCCAGTCGGACAGCACCAGTAAGCAGTTGGAGGCGCATCTCTGCTAAGTCTCCATCCAAAGAAGGCTCTACTGCATATTTGACTGGCTCAATACCTTGGTCAGCTATCGGAGTCGATATCTTCTCATCATCTTTGAAATATTCGAAGTCTTTGGCAAAGGCCTTTACTTCTTGCAGCCATGATCCCCCTGCTTGGGGCATGATGGGATTTTCGGTTTCTGTGTCGTGAACCGAATCATCTTCGTCTCTGTTATCCAGCATCTTGATTATTATTTGAGTGTCCTTGCTGATCGATGTTGTCTAGGCGCCTTCCCATTTGAGATCAAGCCGCGCATACGCATCATAAACTGGGCTGGCAACCATCTGGCCAACCTTACCATTCTATCTGTATTCGTGAGCGTTGTCGGGCTCACTTTTGAGTGGGTCTGGAAGGTCAAAGAAATAGGATGACGAGGCTGCCATTCACTTCGTGACTCTCGCTTCCCAAATTAGCGCCTTTCCACACAAATTCAAAAATATAAATTCCTCTCCCTCTCCACTCTGAAACTATCTCGACATCAACCTCTACAACATCACCACACCAACCAAACACCAACACCAATTCTTCCTCTTGATTGCTCCTTCATATCATTGATCATCCCTGGCCTCAATCTTCGGATTGAACCAACCCAACACAACCTCAAGATGGAGGCACTTCGCCCCAATCAGTTCGCCCGCAACCCGAATGTCGAGGCATTCATCCGTTGCCAGACCCCAGGCCATGAAGAGCTCCTTCAATGGTGGGAGACAGACATGAAGACTCAAGTGTCTGACTTCAATTTCGTCATATCCATTCCCGCAGAAAAGTTCGCAGAGTGGGACTCGGTCATCCGAAAGTACACCTGTGCGATGTACTCGTGAGTTTATATCCAAACTTGTGCGTACAATACTAACTTCCCTGCAGCGAAAACTTCGAGTACCCCGATCCTATGTTTCTCCGAGACAACAAGATGCCTCGTGTGTTCCTTGCCCCAAAGGCCTTCTGGGATCGCTCCTGCAACTACATCAAGGTTCCTGGAGATATCCCTATCATGGTCACCGAGAAACAAGTCGAGGAGGGTGAAAACGGCAATAGCAGCGGCACCGCCGGCACACAATACGCCACCAGCTTTGATATCAATGCATTCAATGCTGATGCAACTGCTGATTACCTAGCTGCCCGCTCCGCCCATCAAGCTGCTGGCTCTGCTGGTTCATTCAACACCTTCAATCCCAACAGCTCCCCAAGCGCCAACAACCGTGCAGCTGCGGCTCGCAGATCAGCAAGAGCTGTGATCCCCCGTCCACCAAACTGCTTCATCATCTTCAGAAAGCATTTGCACGCTGCTGTCGTTCGTGACAACCCCGGAATTGGCAACAACCAAGTTTGTAAGTTTGCTCGCCCCCAGCCTCTACTTCCTTGTTAACTTGTGACAGCAGCGATTGTCTCTCGCATGTGGGCGGCAGCTCCTGCAGGAATTATCCACCGATACAAGAAGTTGGCAGAGGAGGCCAAGATCTCGCACGCCCTGCGCTATCCCAACTACTCTTACCAACCACGAAAATCGTCGGAGAAGAAGCGTCGGATGACCAAGAAGAAGAGAGAAGCCTTGGATGCTGAGGCCGCCCGCCAGGCTAATGCTGCTGCTAATTTCGAGGCTGCGCACCTCATCATCCCAGCAATCCCAGAAATTCCAGCAATCCCAGAAATCCCAGGAGCCCTAGGAACCCAAGTAATCCAAGCAACCCAAGCAACCCAAGGAACCCAAGGAACCCAAGGAATTCAAGGCACCCAAGGAACCCCAAGCAACGCCCAGGCTCCATCTGCCTCAGCTAGTCTCAAGTACAAGCGTAAGCTTAACAAGCAGAGAAGAGATGCCGCCCTCCGGATTGCTGCTGCTGCTGATCGCGATGCTGCTCAACTCACCGTCCCATGGATTGGAGCAATGCCAACAATGCTAGCAATGCCATCAATGCCAGCAACTCCAAGCATCGTCCAACCGTTCACTGCAACTCCAGTTGCCCCAACTCCAGTTGCCCCAACCCCACTTGCCCCAACCCCAGTTGCCCCAACCCCAGTTGCCCCAGTTCCTGCTGCGCCAGCTCCTGTTGTACCAGCTTTCGTTGCGCCAGCTCCTGTTGCGCCAGCTCCTGTTGCGCCAGCTCCTGTTGCGCCAGCTCCTGTTGCCCCAACTCCTGCTGCGCCAGCTCCTGTTGATGCCACATATCCCCACATGTCGGCCGGAGTGTTCATCCCAAGGTATGTTTGTCCCCAGTCTTAAGAGAAAACCATCAACTTACAAAACATGTATACTGACCAGGACTTCCTTGTAACTAGCATCATCCAACCCCAGAACATCGCCTCGGACATGGTGTCTGGTGTCAACGTATCCTTCGCCGATGCTTCCAGTTCCAACTTCTCTAACTTATTTAACATCGACAACAATGATCACTCATCATCCGTTCAGACCGACACTGCCACGATCAACAATGCTTACGAGTATCATGATGGAGACTTTGATTTCAATTGGGATGATTACTTGGTCGCAGACGACTTTGCCTGATCATTCGGCCCCTAGCACAACCTCACCGGGTTTCTGTCCAGCTTTTCTCCTCGCTCATAATATTCGAAGGCAACAGCTGCCGCTTGCTTTGGCATGGCATAATCATCTGTACATATCTGGCGGGTTTTCTCAGTCTCGGTTCTCTCCACTCAAGAATGGTTTTGTATTACTGATCGTAAATATTGATTCTTTCAAAGAATCCTGTCTCAT